GCAGTAGGGCCCTTGGAGTGCAGTAATCTGAATGTTCCAGCCTAGGAAAAAAAGGAAGGAGAAACAAGTGGAGAATTTTTCTCTTACTGTAATTCAGTCTCATTGCTTAATTTTAATTGTAAAATTGTAAATTTTAATTGTAAAATGCTGAAAAATTAGTGAAGCTTTGCAGTTAAGAAGCTGTATATATGTTATTTTACAAAGTTCTTGGCTTTTATCTTTTGGATTGAGTAATTTCAAGCTTGGGGGACTCCTGTTTTGGCAGGTAAATTACTTTATATGATTGCTAGTCTTCAAGAAGGCAAACTTTTTACTTTGGGGAGTAGTTGTACTCCTTTTCTGGGATACATACTCCAGAAAACGAATGCAGTTGTGAAATGGTGGCTTTATTTTCAAGTTACTAAATCAATGGCTGAGTAAGTATGCATGCAAGTAACATCAGGCATGCAAGTAACATCAGGCCCTGATGGGAAGTGAATGGCAATAGAAAACTACCGCTCTGGTGTTTTCATCTGTAGGGAAAAAGTATCAGGCATCTGGAGTAAGGCATTAGCAGTGCATTTTATCTTTGGAAGATAACTTGATATCTTGGCCTGATCAATTGACTGATATTAATATGGACCTTGACAAATTAGAGACATGGGCAGTCACCAACCATATGGAGTTTAACAAGGGTAAGTGCCGAATTCTGCACCTGAGATGGGGCAACCCTGGTTGTGTGTATAGACTGGGAAACCAGAGGCTGGAGAGCAGCACTGCGGAAAAGGACCTGAGGGTCCTGGTTCATGGCAATTTGAATATGAGTCAGTGGTGCCCTGGCAGCCAGGAGGGCCAGCCCTGTCCTGGGGGGGCATCAGGCAAAGCATCGCCAGCTGGTCGAGGGAGGGGATTGTCCTGCTCTGCTCTGCACTGGGGCGGCCTCACCTTGAATATTGTGTGCAGTTTTGGGCACCACAATATAAAAAAGCTACTAGAGAGCATCCAAAGGAGAGCTGCAAAGATGGTGAAGGGTCTGGAGAGGAAGCCTTATGAGGAGTGGCTGAGATCACTTGGTCTGTTCAGCCTGGATAAATGGAGACTGAGGGGAGACCGCATTGCCACGTTCAACATCCTCATGAGGGAAAGTGGAAGGGCAGGTACTGATCTCTTCACTCTCGTGACGAGTCACAGGACTTGAGGAAATAGCATGAAGCTGAGTCGGGGGAGGTTTGGGTTGGATCAGGAGAAGGTTTTTCACCCAGAGGGTGAAAAAAAACAGTATCCTGTTCCAGGACACTGGAACAGGCTCCCCAGGGAAGTGGTCACAGCACCAAACCTGTCTGTGTTCCGGAAGTGTTTGGACAATACTGTCAGGCATGTACTGTGATTCTTGGACTCGATGGTCCTGATGGGTCCCTTCCAATTTAGCATAATCTGTAATTCTGTGGAGGTTATCAATTCAATTAAATGTGTGCCAGGCTATATTATTCCTTCATTGACTATAACCAGGCACCATCCAATAGTTCAAGATAGGAAATCTGTTTATCATTTTTCTGAAACTCCAGGGTCAGGTATTCAAATGCTTAGTGAAAAGTGACTTTTGCATTCAGAAGAGGTGCCGGGTTAGGCTTGAACTGACTCATGGTACCTTCACGTGGCCTCCCGTGGAACTGCAGTCGGAAACGACTGATGTTGCTATCTCAAGAGTTGAGGGCTGCATTCCATTGAATTCCCTGGAAGAATTTACAGTAGCTGCTTGCATGACAGAGTAAACCAATGAGCCCTTTATGGGCTGGCCTTTTGAGGTGGATGACCCTTCCTATGATACAGTATAGCAAATGCCTCAGATCTTATGTTGTAATAAATTATAGGAAGAAGTGGTTCTAGGAGTCTATTCTAAGGAGAATACAGATACCAGAAACTTAAGCTACTGCTTTCAGGTAGCATCATGATAGTATTTTTGAAGTAGACTACTTAAATATTCATCTAGTATATTCTGAGGTTTTACTACTTAGTTTGAGAAGCCTAAGGATAGCAAGCCTCCATGGGTTGAGGGGGAAGAATAATTTCAGCTATCATCTAGGTACTTGATTAGAACAAAATATAATTAAATGTTAATTAATACCATACCTGCTATCTATTCCTCATATGTGGTTCCCACCTCCATTGTAAGTGATTCTCTCTTAACTGGCTTAAGCTTCAGAGACATCCCGATTTCTTATTGTATTTAAATGCATTGTTAAAATACCTAGATGTAAAAGAGGTGGAAGTAAAATAATGAGTGGATTGTTATCAGTGACTATCATGTAATAGGATTTGACTTTTTCTTACATTTATCTTCCACTTTTACCCAATAAAATTCTTTACTCAGATGGTGACTTGGTGTGTCATTTCTTCCCCATTCCCTATACCTCCCATTTCTCATCTTCTGCTTACATTTAACTGTATGTCAAAATTCTGTTCTTAAGATGAAAATCCTCTGGGTGAGTCAGGATCAAGTGTCTCTAATTCAAGTATATAAATGGGCTTTTATAGAAAAAGTAATGAGGGTGCATAAGATTAAACCCTTCTTCTTAAACATGTCAGAAATTGTGTTTAGGTCTAAGGATGTAAATTGAAGGAAGATTTTGTAGAGTTCATTGACTTCAGTACAGAGCCTTGTATTATCTTTCAGAGAACTCTTTGATTTGGAGGTTTGTAAAGCACTTGTTTCACTTAACCCCACTAAAAAAAAAGGATAATCCAACTTATTTCACTTTAGAGGTATTAAGTGGAGAAAGTTAAAATTATGCGTGTAACATAACCTTTCTGACTCACGTGTAAACCCCAATGTTTTGTAAGTGAAGCCAGTGGCTGGTTTATACTGCCTATATGGTGTTATGTAAATAACTTGGGAATTGTCAGTGGTTTTGTGTAGTAGTAGTGCTGGTGCAGCACTGACTAAAAGTACCTTTCCTTTATGATTGCGTTTGAATTCTGAGAAATATTTTGTTTCTGCAGCACAGACAAATGGTGACAGGACCAGAGACTTAAACACAGATACTTCTGCCCCTGGCCTCCACTGTGTTAAGAGAAGCACACCATACTTAATGGGAATAGGTGATGGAGAAATAGTCAGTCAAAGATTGTGACATCTTTCACTCGATGGCTGAGAAGCTTAATAGCTTCATTTTGCTTCATGGATAGACTCAAATGTATTTTATCCTTCTGCCATCAAAATAGTAACTTGTCTGTTGTGGATAAATTTGTAAATTAATTTTTGTGTACTTTTCCTATACTTCTGTTTGAATTTAATCATGTGGAAAAGTAGAAGTGGATATATGACTTCATATTGATGTACTTCTAGCAAATGAATAGTAATAAAATAAAAACTTATCCTAAAGCATGGCTTATAGAGTTCTTCAGTTCTTTAGGTGAACTGTGTATTCCATTAAATCTTTCAGCTACTTTGCTCACAATGGTTTTTAAAAAAGTATTCTGTTTTATAGTAACTATCACATTCCATGTTGTTTCATAATACTTTAAAAAGTATTTTTCAAAAATAATCTTTAAATCCTAAGTTCTACTCTTCCATCATATATTTAAGTGAAAGAATACTCTAAAGTTAATGGAGCAAGACAGGGTGGTTGTTTTTTTTTTATTTGAAGAAGGTGTTAGTGCAGCAGTATGGGGAGAGATGTTAGTAAGCCTTCTATATGGCTTTTCTAGAAGCTACAGTGTTGTTAGAGCTCCAGTTTTAATTTCTTTTTTGTCATAACTCATACTTGTCTCTAGAACTTTTTTTATTTCACCTCTGAAAAACCATATGGAGGGTTTTATTTTAAAAATACCTATAACTGTTGACCATATCTGGAGACTTAGCTGAGATGGAGTTCTGAAGTTAGGCCCTGCTTTACTGCCACTGGATTTTCCTCTTGAGTTGGTTACTTCTGTACAACCTGCAAATAAAGTCCTAGTAGTTGGATAGCTTGCTCTGTCATCCAGCTAGTTAGCTTCTGTAATTACATCTTAATATTTTGTTCTGAAGGGCTGAACTGAATCTTAACCAACACTTACATTGTTACTTGATATTGTAAAGTAGATGATACTGAAATAGCATTGGTGTGGCAGGCAGGCTACTTGTCCTAGATAGTGATCAGACTAATACAGTTGTCTCTTTTTTGCACTGCTCTTGGCTTTCTCATTTGAGAGAATGTGGGGAAAAGGATATTAACGAAGTTATAAGCACCAAGAAGATCATCAAGACAGATTTCTATACACAAAAGGAAAATTATTGGGGGAAGCTTAAATTTTGAGCAGTTTTGCACAATGAATGGAGAGGGAGAAAGCTCTAGAAGAGATTGTTTAGAAGTCTAGGAGAGAAACAAGAACAATGAAGAGTTGGTATTGACAACATGAAATAAATAATAGATTGGAAGAACGGTCTAGAGATGAGGATTGTGGGACAAAGGGAAAAATAATTCAACATAAAGTGTATATGTAATATATAATCTCTGGAATAGTGAAGGATGGGATATGAAGAAATATGCTTAATTTTCAGACAGATCAAGACTGGACATAATTCAATAAATTTTATTACCCATAAGAAATTCTATGTAGCTTATTCTTAATACTGTGTAATGATATATTTTCATCTTAAGCAGTTGTAGAATCTTTATCTAGGATGTCAGCATGGCTTAAATGTAGATCATGTCTTGATATTCTTTACTCTGTAGTTTTGGTCAAAACCAGACTGCATATCATGGGATGAAGAAAAAAATTCTGTAGTTAGTGTGTGTATATAATGAGAAAGGTAGTTACTGGAATATCTTAAGCTGAAGCTACAAATGAGTTCAAATTAATTGTTACTGTTGTCCTCTTAAATGAACCAATGAAGGACTTATCTGTTGTTCCATGTATATTGGCTACTCTGTATCCTGCAAAAGTTACTAATTTGCAGCTTTAATTATCAACAACATGGACATTGAAATTTGCCTAGCTCTTTTGTATGAATAACACTGGTTTTTGGTTTTTTTCCCCAGTTTCTATGGAGATTTTGGACCTTTAAATTTGGCAATGTTATACAGATACTGCTGTAAACTAAATAAGAAACTAAAGGTAAGCTTTGTTTAAAAACAATGTTCCTATTTTTTTGTGTTTTGAAATTGAAATAAAATTATACAGTTTGAGAGTGGTGATTAGTTGCTCATTATCTAGATGGTGACTGCTAAACTTGAAGGATGTTCTTTGTTCTGAGTTCTTTTCCCTCTGAAGAGTGAAAACAATTAATATGCCTTCATTATTGCTTATGAGATGAGGCACTGAAGGCTGTGTTCACCTTTTTTCATAACCTTACACTTTAAAGACAATAGTAATAAAAACCACTGGTTATGCTCCATCCCAGCCAGACAAGTACACTGAACATGTAGCTGTGGGCTTAACCTATTCTCCAAATACCTGTGCAGAAGTGATTTGCAGCATGTATAGGAAATCTATCAATTTCAAGAAATGAAACATATTTTAATTTCAAAGTACTAATTACTGTAACTTCTAGGCAAGTAGTGAGGAGACCATCCACTAAATATAACAGGTTTTAAATCTTTATAATATAAAATATTAGAACTGTTACTGACAGAAGGGGAAAATGAGACTACAGAAGTGATAACTTGGGTTACTGTTCAGAGGGTCCCTTTATCAAAAATGGCATTATGTTTTGTGGCTAATGTTTGCTGCACAAACATTTGCTGCACAATGCACTTAGGCAAATTGATTCATGCTATCTGCCTCTTTCAGGGACATGCTGAATGCACATGTTCTTAAGGGGAGGTTCTCCAAATTCAGGGATTTATGGAGTTGCTATAAACTTTTTGCAAAAAAAGTGCTTCTAGTGAAAATGTACATTGCTTCTTAACTCTAAAAAATTACTTATAAAGAGAAAAAGTTAAACTCTACTATTTCTAATTTTGTTAGCGTGTGTTCATATTGGGAAAACATTGGATTTGTCATTTCACTAAAGAGAACTTATAACTATGTTACCATCCCATTTTCCAGTGCCAGTATCCCATTCAAACATGTGACCAAAGATGCTCACTCAGTAGGAATCTGGTTTTTTTACCTTAATTCTGCTGTTGTTGACCTTTTATTTGAGTTAAAAGTTGGAGTGTGCTTGCTCTGTGAAGCAGTTACTCCAGAGAAGAACCAATAGTAAAGCTACTATTCTAACTTCCCGGTGCCCTTGGAAACTGGAGAGATCAGTTCTGTCTTTTCCAGATTCAGATTAAGACTGTGATCAGTTTGGGACCCGAATAGAGTCTCGTGTTACTGTTGAAGTGTATCATCCTGCTTTTATGGTTGAACCAGAATGCCTTCAATCCCGAGCCTAGGTGCCCACAGTTTCATCCAGGAAATAAGTATACAACTAATAAATATCCTGGGATTGTTTTTAATGGTTCAGTATTGAACAGGAATGTCTCTACAGGCTTTATTCTTCTTATAAGGCCATCATCTATGTTGAATGAGGCAAGCATGTCATCAGAAGTGGCTTGTAAGCATGATGAACAAGGTTGGATATTATCATGGAAAAAATAAACAAGGGAGCTAAATTGGAACTGAACTACTGACTGATATTTGCAGGGCTGATTTAACAAACTGTGATGTCACTTTAATGCAACATTTACATTTGTTGAAAAAGCAAACATACTGACACTGCTAGGTGAAGATTACAGCTGATGAGAAGTCTCAGCCCCTCTGGGAGGAGGTGCTGTTTGTTGCTGCCAGAGGCTAATTCCAAATAGGTTAATTTAAACTACTAGTGTATAAGAGGGAAGAGTAACCTGATAATGCAACCACTTGAAAGTAATACCTGAAATCAAACAGCTAAAGCTTGGAATACCGCCAAAGTGGTATAGAAACTTACAGTTGAATAGATTCCAGTCTGGCTGATTGGCACTACCCCTGGGGTAGGCCAGTACAGCTAATGTAAGCTTTGCTCTTCTAATAGTTAAAATATATGCCAGACTGCGACCTATTTTAGATACTACCTGCAGAGAGTAAGTTGTCTTGTAAGACCAAGTCCCAGGGCTGAAGCACGTACATGTACCTGCATGTATCAGAAGCACACATCTGCAGGCCTTGCTAAATGACTGCTGCTCAGCTTTGCTCATCAAGAATTACGGATTCACAGTTTCTACCCTTCTACACCTCATCTTCCCATGTCTGCCCTTCACAATTGTCCCAAAGAGGAGTTCTGAGGCTTGAAGTAGCGTGTGTAAGGAGGAAGTTCGGGTCACGAGAGAGAGTCCTGTTGGGGCAACCTGCTGTTTGCATATCCTTGCATTAAGAGTTCCCTGTGACCAGCAGCAGGAAGTGTTTGATCATAGAAAGTAAAAGATACTGCAGATTATGATGGGATGGTTGCTATTGCCATACTACAACGCTTTTGGGACCCTGAGGCAATGACAGTGCTTAAGCCCAGATGACTTGGTATATACTTGCTTGGGTAAGCACTTCATGTGCTTTTCTTAAGAAAAGAGTCTTGAAGTGTGGCACAAAAAAAAAATTACAAATGTGATGGATTTTGTATGGATACACTGTCTCAAAAGGAATTAAGACTTAGACTTGTTAATTTTGAAGCTTCTGTGAATAGGAACAGGAGAAATGAGAGTATAAGATCTCATTAAAACAAACAAGCCACAAACTTCCCTTCCAAATCTTTCAGCTGTATCTATTTCTGGTTTGGGAGGAAAGTTAGACATTAGAGGCAGTTTTCTGTTTTCCTCTCTCCTTTCTTGTGCGACTGGTGAGGATGGAGAAGGGTACCAGTTTGAAATGTGCTAATGGCAGACCAACATTTTAAAGTAAACTATGGTAACTCTGTGTTGACTGATATTAAAAACAGTAAATAATTCTGTTTTGAAGAGCTGAAGAATTTATTTAGATATCCATTTACGAAGAAAGTTTGAGGTAAAATCCTGGTTATGCCTTACAGGAAAACCTTTTGGACCTTGTTTGTAATGCTTCAATTGCTGTGGAGATGATTTTGACTACCCGAGTCAGCAGCAAGGAAAAAAATGCTTGGCTGTGCTATCTTTCTACTTATAATTTGAATTCTGTAGGGGGAAAAAATGCTTGACTAAGCAACTGGGGTTCATTTATGAAAGAAAGATTTTGTTTCTTCTGTTTAAACAACTCTGACTTCATAAAAACTGCTTTAAAAAACCTTCTGTGTTTTATGTGTGTATAGCCTTACACATTCTCAATAAATCCAGGAGCAGAGGTGATCAGGGAGTGTTGCTGATATAAATGATACGAATATTGGAGATCAAAGGCAGGGGAGGAAAAACACTGGCAGCATTATGAACTATGGGGTTTAATATTTTTTGTGTGCTAACTGTATTGCTGCTGAGTCACAGAGGAGTTTGGCTTATTTGTTGTTTTAGTATAAATAAACTGTTGGGCATACATGTGGAACTGTAGTAATTGCAAGCATCTCCTTAGGACAGCCTAAATTTTGAGACAGGGTTGAGTGCACGTTTTAATAAACCATTTTCTGTGCAATTTGCCACCCTTGTATTCACTGCTATTTATGTGTACATATTACATATATATACATCTCTCTATGTATAAAAATAGAATTTGCATAGATCCAGGCTTATTAAACATACTGCAGTAATTTCTTGCTTGAACAGTACAACTGTGTTTAACCATATCCATTATATGAAATACTGACAAATAATCTGGTGATTTTACACAGCTGACAATCTAGTAACGGTCTACCATGGCACTTTCTAAGCCTGTCATCAGTTTCTCTGCAAGCAAATCTCTCTTGAGGCCTGCAAGAAACAGGAACTTATCTATTATTTTTTTAAAAAGTAATCTTATAATGAAAATAACATGTTCTGGAACCCTCTTGTAATCTTATAAATTAGTTTTATCACCTAAACCAAAACCTGCCATGCTTTCTGTGGAACCTCTGCTTTTAATTCAAAAGACTGTCTTTTAGTATGTTCCTTTGGGATATATCTTGACAGATACTGTTGTTACATTTTGTCTCTTAATGATGTGTGAAACTGCTAAAATTTTCTTACTGGTAAAGAAGAATACTCTTAATGCTTCATAATGCGTGCCTTTGTTTTAGGAAAGAAGATTACTCACAACTATGTTATCTAAGGTCTGGCTATTCTGTAGGATAACCTGTATTGTAAAAGTTCTTGTTGAAACAGTCCTGGTTCTTCAGAGTTGAACAGTGTCTCAGGGAACTAAAGCCTTAATCCATTCAGGTGGAGCTCTGGAGCTGTAAAAAGAGTTACCTTCCAGAACTGTCTTGAAAGCTTGTTATCATTGAATCTATCCAAAGGAGGACACATAGCTTATTAAGTATGGTGAGAAAATCAGTATTTTTGAAAGTAGATCATATAGCTTAGTATTGATATTTAAAGTGTACTGAGTAAACAATTTGCATGTTAACGTTAACAGAGGCATTGCATTGACACTTCAGGAAACACTTATTGTAAAACTTGATTTTCTGTAACTAGTGGGCAAATAAAAACAGTGGTTTGTCTTATAGGCTTTGGAAAAGTTAAATCATTTTCCACTGGCTACTATGCTATAAACTGTTAATGTCAATTAATGTTAAGTTCAATTTTGTATTAAAGCTTTAGTCAGGATATGTTTTTTGAATATCATATAACCTTACATTTTGAAAACTATGCACTAAAACTGATACATTGTTTTCATTAAAATGTTCTGGAAACTTCTATTTTTCACTACATCAGGTACAAAGTGTCTCAAAACTGAAATTACTTGATATACCCAAAACATTAAAAAATCCATTCCATAAAATAGAACAAGAACTATGGTCTCATTACATAGAACTTCTGACTAGTTAGCTTTACAGTTTAAAATAGTGGGTTTGGTGAACTATAAACTGCTGCAAAGAACTTTGCTTTAAAATAAGTAGTAGTCAATAAGTTATAATTGAAGTTCTGTCACTGTTGCATAACTACTGTAATCTTATCCCACCTACACATCATGGGTGGAATTGCAGTTAGAGAACACTAAAATTAAAAAATTGAGGAGGGGGAAGAAGGGAGGAATCTTAAAATACTGGGATTAATTTTGTCAAGTTTTAATAATAATTGAATACTTCACTAATTAAATAACTACTTGTGCTTCGTATGTTTGCATATACGCTGAGAGAGATGTTGCTGTTGGTCTCTAGATACAGCTTCTTCCAATCAACAGCAGCCAGCTATCTTGGGAATTACAATCCCATTTAGACACACTGAGTTGCATTAACTCTCACTCCTTCTACCTCTGGAAGTTGTGGCTAATAAGACCAGACTGGAATGTACAGTTAGAACTGCTATAAAAGGTGCTGTTGCTGGGGGTTGGGAGTAAGAAGCTTGCTGTGATACCTATATCAGTTTTCTCCTGAGTTTATCAGCTATTTGATTTTTTGCAAAATTTGATTCTATGGTTAAAGTTATTCTAAAATCTGCAACAAGAGTTAAGGTGAGAGTAGACACAGATCTCTAGAAGTGAGATACAATTGGCACTACTTAAACAAATAAAACACTATTCTGCAGCAGGTACTGTATGTTCCACTCCCAAGTGTCAACAGTGAAGCCAGGTAACAGCAGCATTGGTATTAGAGCATTTTATAGAATGTGCAACTTTTAAAAATAGAACGAGCTTCAAATATTTAGAAACGGAAACCAGAATATTTGTTGATAACTTCCTTAAAACTGGAGTTGTACTGTAAAAATCTGTCAGGACAAACATGCATCACAGTGGTAGCAATTCATGAAGCCAAAAAATTATTAATGCAGTAAATCGTCCAACTTGCCACTTCTAAGTGACAGTTTTGTCTCTTTCTGGCTTTAAATAGTTTTGCTGCAGTTTGTCATTATTGTTCTGTTCTGGTGCATGTTGGTTTTGTTTTCAATGGGAGTTTTGTCCACAGGATTCTGACAGAGGCTTCCTTTCTTCCTGAAGAAAGAAGAATTGCAAGTATCATTAGTTTTGTCTTTGCCTAGCCTTTTTTCCAGGCAATGTTTTCTTTTTTTTTTTCTTTTTTTTTTTTCCATTTTAAATCAATTCTTGCTGTTGAAGTTTTCTGAAGATGTCCATTACCCCATTTTTAGGTAGTATATATGGAAGAGTGTTTTAACTTAACTTGATTGCTTCAATTTTTCTTTTGTCTTCGCCACAGAATTATATGCAAAGAGATTCAACATACAGGAGGAAGTTTTAGTCTGTAAATGTCAATGTCTTTTAATCAGTGTTCATAAGCTGTTCTTTCAAATACTTAAACTTGGGGAAAAAAATTCAGTTTTTTATGCTGAACATTTTAGTTCAACTGCATTTTACAGAATTTTTTTTTACAGCTAACAAAGAGATCTGCCCTGATACAGTGGCTGCTTCTCTGTGCTCTTATCTGTGATGTAAGAAGATTGTTCAGGGTATCAGTAATTTTTTCTCCTTTAATTTTAAGAATCCCTTTATAAGTATTTTTTTTTTCAGTTTGGGAAAAGGGATTTTTTGAAGTGTTCTTAAAGTGCATTCTTTTCTTAGTAACTATGATATTTTGTTTGTTTCTTTCTTTAAACAGTATTTCAGTCTATCAAGAAAGAAGATAGTGTACTACACCAGTTTTGACCAGCGGAAACGAGCAAACGCAGCATTTTTAATAGGTGCATATGCTGTAAGTATTATTGATCACATGGATACTCCTAACCTTCCTTAAGAGACTTCTACTGTGTGTAAAACAGCTTCTCAAGGGATGGATGCAGATTGTCATTTCATTCTTCTCTAAGCTGTCTTTGGAAATTCTGCTGCATGAGTTTTAGAGAAACCCTGGCTTTGCCCCTTAACTCCATTTATTTTACTAGACATGAAATGGCTTTGACAGATCATTTGCACATTTTCCATAGGATACCATTTTCTTGAATGTCGAAAATTCAAACCACAAACTTACATTTAAACTTGGCTGCTTTAGGATTAATTGCTTCTCATGGCAGGAGCGGGATTCATACTGGGAAGGAGAAATATTTTTCTCTAAGCCTTTCTTAAAGTTACTAGACCAGAAGCATAGTGATTATTGAATTGATTTCTCAGTTTATTTTCTATGATTGTACAAGCTTTTTGAGCCTAGAAAATCTTTTAGCTGTGAACTCTACCAATATGTGAAAGTTAATTGAGAAGGCTTGGTTTATTTGTCCTGGTGTTAAAACATTAAGTGTAAAATGAAACGTGGAAAGCAGTGGATCAGGTTCTAGGAGTGGGTTTCCAGTGGTGATTATGCAACTTAGATTGTTCCATTAAACAGCTACTTAGACCCTATAGCTATTTAAATATTTTAATAAGAGATGTGAGTGAAAGTTAAATCTTAAAACTTCACTGGCAATATGCATCTCAGGAAGATGCATTTGATAAATTTCAGTTTTTACAGTGGACTTCCAGTACTTCTTTTTTAATCATGCCCAGTTGCTAAAATATTGTCCTTGTTCTTAAGAATTCCACAAAAATCACTTCTGTCACAAATTCAGATTAAGAAAAAAATATTTAAAGTGTTACAAGAACAGAAGAACATGCAGACTTCCCTGATCATGCAGAGGTTCCTTATAAATGACCAAGACTACAACACAAACTGGTCAGTGAGGTCAGAAGCTGGGTGCTACTAGGTTTTGCAAAATCTTATCAGGCACAACAGAGACTATATGGAAGCTAGTGTTGTTCAGCTTTTCTTTTCATCTGTTTGGAGATTTTACTTGTTAGGATTTTTAATCTAGCCTTCCACAATAGTTAATCTTTTCTTAAAAAAGAAGTCTTTAAAAATTGTTTTGAAATACAAGTCCTTTCATGCATACCAAAACTAAAGTAGCCTGGTTTGACTCAATTTGTACTTAGTTTCTGGGGGGACAATGAGTGTCAGGAGGTAGGTCTAACTCAATTATACTTAACTCCCCACTTTTTATCAAATAATTAATTCTTGGAGAAATCTTGAAGGAGAGCGCATTTTCACCTGTCTGATAACACGTATATGAATGGTGAGCTGGGTCTCTCTTTCCATATACTTAGGGTATGTTTTTTTACTGGTTGGAAACCGAGGAACACCTACCTGGTTGTGTACTCTGTCTAGTAAGGATTGAATTCCTTGGGAGAGAAGAGCAGGAGGAATACTGGTCTGTTTATATCAGTGATTGCTCTTGTACTCCTAGAGAAATGGGGCAGAGGGAAGAGAGAACACGGATATATGACACTTTGCTGCTTCTGGTAAATCTAGAGCTTTAATTCTACCCTGTAAGAAACAAGCAGTAGTTACCTCTTGCAATTCTTCAGAGACTAAAACGATTAGTGGGCCAAAATCTGACTTTTAAGCACTCTCGATGGAACATGCTTTTGCACTGTGGCAAACCCTGGGAAGAGTGAGCCTTTTTTCCTTTTCCTTGTAGATAGCAGGTGGGCTGGCCATATTTCACTCTCGTGATTACTTTAACTGTATATTTTGGTAGTAACAGCATTTATTAGACTTCTGTTATACCGGGAAGGGAGAAAAGCTGTTGAGTTCTTAAGGTTGTAGTTTTATTGCAGCAAATGACTGGGTAATAGCAAACTACTATGGCATGTTCAGTGATTTGCCTGCAGGAGTTTTTTCCTAATGTAAAAATTTAAATTGGACATCTCAGCCCTACCTGAAACTTTAAAGGTTTGTTTGCCGGTAATCTAAGCATGTCACACTACTGCTCAAGCCTGTAATCCTTCCCTTGGAGGGTCAGCAAGTACAAAGGCTTTTCAGTCACTGCAGTGTGTGCAGCCTCTTCTGTACACCTTTCTGCAGCTTGCTTTAGGTTGTCTTCACAGAACTCTTGTGGTAACGCAGCAGCTCTAAAGGGGAACTGTTCCAAATACTTCTAATATTAAAGTGGCAGATGCAGGTGGGAACAAGATGAATCCAAACTGCATTTGAAATATTGTGGATAAGTGTTAAGATGGGCTTGCAAAATACTAATTCCCTTTTTGTTCTGCAAGCTTTTTAGGACATATGGTATGAGTTTTCTTGACAGTGGGTATATCTGGCCTGTATTGCTACACATCACGTGCCAGCATAGTGTCACAATTGTGGGAAGCTTGTCTTTCAACCATTTCAATACTGATCCATGCTATCAGTGTGACCATGGTGAGTGGAGCAGCAACATTGGAGGCTGAGACTAAAATACAATTCCAAGTTAGGGGATTGATCTTTTGAATGGAGATCAGTTTGTGTAGAGGGTTTTGGTCCAAAATTGGACTAGCTGTTCAAAGCACTCAAATAGGTTGTATTTGAAAAAGAGATTATTCTGGACCATCTATTCATTGCATAGTGGCAAAGAGTTTTTCAGACTGTTTTATTTTAGTCAATTTTTTGTGTTTTATTTAATCCTTATCTTGTCTTTGCTGTCTGATTTGTCCATGCTTGAGGAAGAAATGGAAGAAAATCTACCTAATGTGACAACATCTTACAGAGTACTAAGAATGCCATTAACTTGGGACAAAAAGCTAATTGTAGATATTTTGGGAGTGACCATCACTTACCTATGTTCTAAGGTGCTCAAGGTCAAAAGCTAAGTAGAGCTTTTAAATCAGGCACTCACCTGTGTCCTGGTTAAGAAAATAATTACTAGAGTACTTTACAGTCAGTAAAATGTGTGTAGAGCTGTAAAGTAGCCATGTAGATGCTGGTGGTAAGGTGAACAGGAGAGAAATGGCTAGGAAAATCATGTGGCTTGGTTTGTAATAAATGTTTATATGTGTGAAATATGCCACTCCAAACTGAATGAATTTCATATTTTGTAAATGAAGTACTTGCTTAATATGTATTCTGAGTTAGGTTTATTTTAGGACTAAGTGTACTGTACGAATAGGAATTGAAATTCAAAAATATGTACTTGTATTTCTTACTTAAGCCAGTGCAGCTATTAGAAGAAGAATGAACCTTGGCTGTGGGTGTAACTGTATGTTGGTCTCATAGTAACACGTTCAGCTTGTTGAATTGGATATTTTTGTTAATTAGTAGTTTGATATTGACAATTAGGAATCAAAAAATACTTTTTGAGATGTGGTGGAGAAATGTTTCCTTAGTCAGCTGCCACAATGGTATTTTGACTCATTTAGAGAGAGAACTCCCAGTATAGATACGTGTTTTTCATCTTAATATGATGCAGAGTCTGTCCTAAACTCTCTCAGTTGAGCAATATGTGATTTTTTTTTCTATTTTCTTTTTTTAAAGTAGAGGAATGACACAAACCAGAAATTCCAGTTTCTGTTACCTTCTATTGATTTCTGAATAATTTCTTTGTGTAGGTATCTCTTTTCTGACCTGTGTATGTCCATAGGAGTAGCTCATGAGGGAGTACAGTATGTATTCTTAGGAGTTTAGTGGGCTGAGGGAAGTTAACATCTGGTTCTTGACTTTTCAGGCTCAGGGCTGATTTTTTTTTTCCTCTTGCCCCATCCCTTTTAGGTAATATACTTGAAGAAAACACCAGAAGAGGCTTACAGGACACTTCTGTCTGGATCTAATCCACCGTATCTTCCATTTAGGTATGTGAACACAAGAAATGAGCCTAGCTTTTCTGGCTTGGATTTTGCTAAATAAATTTTTTTCAGATTGCCTTCCTAAAAAAGGGTTTCTTTTCTGTTTCAGACATTGTATCAAAATGACTGATGTCCAGAAAAAATAATTTTTACATCTGGTGGTATTACTTGCTTTGTATTGTGATAATAAATCATTTAGATTGATACAAGTTTTAAGTAAGATTCCTTGCAAACTGTCATTTTTTAAAAATAGTTCTCAGCATGTTTGCAATTTAGCAATTAAACCTTTTCTTCATCATGTATCATGTTTTACTATTTGGAAGTCATTCAAATATTTTAAATCTGTAAGTAGGTAGAGTTAAAGGAATAAAGGGAGTTGTATGCTGTTATATTTTCTCTTTTACAGAACAGGCGCTGATATTTGAGTTATTAAATGTTTTCAATTAATCATAGATAATTTCCATCAATCTGTCTTTATTCTCTGTACTAAGATCATATTGAGACCCAAATCTAGGGAGTCTTAGCTATCATGCCTATCTAATAAAGAGACTTCCAAATTTTTTTCATGGTGTGAACTATGCCCTTGTGCCTTATGAATGAGAATACCTCATGGTATTCCTATGCAAACACTGGCAATAAAAGTCAACTGCAAGAAGGTCAATATCCTCCTTTTCAGGGGAGTCAGCATTTTACAAGTAGTGTTCACTGTCAGCCAGCGCATTTGTAAATGTAGGCCTACCTTGTCTGTATCAAATTCATCTGATTCTTCAACCACTCAGCAAAGGAAGATCAGATTAGCTGTTCTCATACTTTGTATAGGAACCAGATGCAGTGTAAACTGTTGGGATGGTAGATTTTATGTCAAGACCAGTTTGACTACGAAATCTTAAACCATCAAACACGTTTTAAGGAGGTATTAAATCAGTGATAGCTTTTATTGGCAGAGAGCTTATACATTAACCAGGTCATTGATAGCTCTCCAAAGCCCAAGAAGTTCACCAAGCTAGTGGTATCCATATTTTTTCAGAGAATGATAAAAAATACTTGGTACATGGCATAAGAAAGTCAGTTATTTTAAATGTCAGTGTTTTTTAACTTCTCCAAATTCTGTATAAAACATGGGGGGGTGATCTTCGTTAGACAGAGAACAATGTCTTGCATGTGCCTTAGTATTGCTTGCATAAAGCTGTGCTCTATAATCTTCCTAGGCACAAAGATGAGGCTCAGCAGCCTGTAGTTCTCTGGCTCTTCCTTTCTACTCTTTTCAAAAACAGGAGCAATGTTTCCCTTTTTCCAGTCACTGGGGATTTTGCCTCACTGCCGTGACTTTTCAAATAGGATGGAGAGTGGCTTGGCAACAACATCAGCTCCCTTAGGACCCTGGGGCACATCTCATCAGGCCCCATGGCTGAATAGCTGCATCTTGTTCACCAATTAAAGACATCTACTGTTTGGATTTACAGTAAATATAGTTTTTAGGTTTTTCTCTCCCCTACCAAAGTAAAGGTTAAGGTGTGTAAAAAGAAGTTCTGACAAAGCGAAGAACTTTATTTGTCAGATCCCAAAATTGTAAGACAGAAAACTTGGGAGGAATACTGTGTTTACCAAACAGTCTCATATGATCCTATTTGCTCAAACCAAAGGCTACAGATCCTTGCCTTGCAACTAATTCCTCATAATAATGATGTTGATAGTAGTAGTAATAATAAAGTCGCTGTTTCTGCTTGACTGGTAAGGAGTAATGAAAGTAATTGGCTCTGTGATTTCTTGTGAGGCTGATAGGAACCACAGTAATAAATTTAATGGCACAAAAAAATTTCCTTTGAAGTGTTTTTAAATGATTATTCGAAGGAAATCCTCATGACTTTGGATTCATGAAATTCTGTTTCAAAATAGAATAGTTACCTAGTCTAGGGTCAGCAAAGAAGGCATCAAAAATATAGAAGAAACACAAAGATTTTCTGAAGATAACTTTTTATTATATACACAGAGCATTTTGTATTTTCTAAGGGAGAGCATACTAACCAAAAACATTGGAGAAGACAATGTCCGGCAAAGGGACTACTCAGTTTTTGCTGTCTGGGTTGGCAAAATAATTACAAAATTATAATTGTTTCACTCCATTTGTCAGCTTTAGGAGAAGAGGGCAATAAATTTAGAGAGTAAGAAGTATTCTGGAATGGAATTCCTTTGCAGTCTTTGTCTGTGTATTTCAAGCCCTAGGTTGTGTTGGCTAAAACTAAAGCACTTTTGACAGGTTTTGGGGTTTTTTGGTGGGTTTTCTCTGGTGTGGATGAGTTTTGGTGTTTGGGGTTTTCTTTGTTTTTTTAAACACAAAGTTTTGACTATTTTAAAGGATGGGAGGGAGGCAATCTTCTTGAGCAAAGCCTGGCTGTTTCTAGAAGGAATATAGTATTATGAGCTTTTGCTAGAAGAATTAAATGTCTTGATTTCTTGAGCATTCCCTCTTATATGGTGTGAGACTGGAAAGCACTTAAGTTTCTTTTGGATCTGCTTTGAACTACGTCAGATCTTGGCACTGGATTAGAGCTTAAGTAGATTCTGTTACCTGCGGTGTAGTTTGTCCTGCTGAGGAAGATGGGTGTGTAACCAACCTGTACCAGAGGTGAGACAAAGAGGAGGGAGGAAATAAACTGAAGGATTATGACAAGATAGGAGGCTGGATAAGAAGTGGGATATCTGATAGGGAAGCGGATATTTGGGATATTTGAACTCATAGGTAGAGTTTGGTATAGATGCATAAGGAGCTTAAGAATTACTCAGGCTGAGAGAAGGACAAGTAGATCTGATGGTGTGCAGTGGGGCAATCTAGATCAGGAGGGAATGGGGAAGAAATTATTTAATCCTCCTTCCTTGGTTTTCCAAGGCCTTTGAGATATTTCCCCCCGTGTCCATTTCAGGACATTTGAGAATCTCTGTTGCAAAATATAGCATAATACAGAGGCTCAAGCAATTGAACCCGTACTGGAAGCAGTAGCTCTGCCTTAGGTAGTATATCTGCTTGACACCAGACTGTACTGTGAAGAAACAAGTTGGTCTGTGAAGGAAATAATTTGAGATGTTAATCACTGCGATTCAGAGTTTGTTCTTGCAGCCTGGAACTTAGATACTATATAACTTCTATAGTATAGGTCAACTCTGTTTGAGTAGTTCAAGTGAAGAGTTTATCAGAGAGCAGTGATCAGTTAAGTGTTACAATTGGACTGTTTAACAAGTTTGTTAATTTGATATCTGAAGTGTCCTCTATTTGAAAAAAATAGACAACTTTGAATAAGTAGAAGCTGCAGGATTGTCAGAATCTTTGTGGAGTACTGAGGTAAGTTTACATGAAGTGATCACTGGGAAACTGATCTACTTTCATCTAGCTCAGTGACCTCAAAAAGCCTTAATCGGCTTAGGTCTTCAGCTGGTATTTCATTTAAAGACAGCTTCAGCAAATATAGTTCAGAGGTGGAAGGAAATCAGAATTCACCTCTTACAAGATACATGGAAATTTTGTTTTGTTTTTATGCTAGAAAAACTAAAGGCAACTTGAGATGATAAGGCACACTGTATTTGAGACACTTTAATCTTATTTTTGGCTGATTCACTGTCACTTGGTGACGCTCTAGTCTCTTGAAGATCTTACACATATCTTCTCACTTCCATTTAAAAAACAGTGCTAACACCAGTTAAAATTGTCATAAATACCAGTTACGTAGTGTGAAACAGTTTCAAATTTTTACCTCAAACTACTCTGTATTGACTTTATGTTCAAGAGAAAAAACAAATATATTTTAATATTATTATGTTCAGTCTCTAAATAATGACGTGAATTTCAGAGTTAGATTTTAGCGTGTGGTTTTTGGGGTTTGTTTCTTTATTGGCAAGTGCTGGGAAACAAACTGTTTTGTTATTGACAGCGCTTAGAGGTTTGGTGAAAGGGAAAGCATTATGCAGTATTGAGGTCAGCTACAACAACTGTGAAATGGGATGGGGGATATGCAACTCTGTAATGCCGGCTCAGATTCGTACTGAATCTGTGTTTCCTAGAAATATTCACATTTATTTCATTTTGAAAGCAGATAGAGTACTGTCAGGTAATAGCTGGTAAAACACTACTTGAAAAACAAGGTGCTTATACATTTGGCCATAAAAGACTGAAATAATACTGTAATAAAACATGTAATCAGCAACAAAAATCAGAGTGCTGCAAAGCAGCGGGAGATGTCTGTCTGTGCTCTGTTGCATTATTCTGATGTGAAATGAGGTTTTCCTTTTTCTTCTATGCTTTCTTAAACACAGACTTTGAGTTGAACAAAAAGGTGTAAGATTTGAAGTGCAAGTTTCACTTAAATGTTTTTGTACATGCCTATGTAGTCCCAGTGAGTTAAAAATTACTATTATCTTAAATGTAAGCACATGCATTAGTTTTCTGTAAGATACTATGCTGACTGTGTACAGTGGACAAAGGAGTAGAAAAAGTTTAAATAGGAAGGATGTCTGGAACTAATTTTAATTTAATCTAGAATATGTTTCTTTAAGATTAGTGAAGGTATTTTTTCTTTACAGTGCTCTTCCTCATGACTGTTAGTCCTTGCATTTGGTTTTACTGTGGAACAAAGTGTAACCCATTCAGAACCTATTGCATTTTATGCAAGCTAAGATCAGTATTATTAAGTATTGCTCTAAAACTTTTGGGATATATCTATCATTCTTAGAAAGAAAATGCATGCTCATGGATCTAGTGCCATGTAATAGCCAAAGTGGTATGAGAATAGCTGTATTTCTAACAGAATTTTAGTAAAGGTTAGTACTACTTCTGACAGTATCCAATGTTTTTGTCCACGGTTTAGAAATTTGTACAAAATCAGTAGGAAGGCAGGTTGGCACAAAGAATAGTGAAATTGCACAAGCTGCTCTGCATTAGCTTTTAATTATTTTGTTTTCTTCAGTAAATACATTCATTCAGGAGGATTCAAAAAACAAGTTTAAATTTGGGGATTTTATTTATGAAGCTTCTTAATGATTTCACATGACTTCTGACTGATTTCTCTGGGATAGAAAAAGAATTTGATAACCCAACCTCGGCCTGGAGGAAGTCACCTAGGTAATTGGGGGGAGATTTGATTTTCCTTGTAACAAATAAAGTATCAAAACAATTAGTGACTTAAAATACCTTAGCCAACTCCCTCTAAACAAAAAAGATATTTCACTCGAGTAATTTATTTAAAACATTCAGGAATTCAGGTCATGGTAAAATTCTTAATCTTTGCCTTTTGAGTATTTCATGGCCTTTCTTGAACATGTAGTCAGCAGTAAGATTGGCATTGTGCATCTGTCCTCTCTCACACTTCTGCAAAATACTTTTTGACTAAATTGTAAAGAAATACTGATGCTTCTCTGGAATAATGCGGAATCATCTTTTTGATAGGAAGACTGAGTATTAAAAGATGTCACTTCATAAGCATACTGTGACTTTTTGTCATAAATCTTCTTTAAAACATTGTTTTAATATTTAAAACAACTCTGTAAAGTGTATTTTGTGACTTGCTGTATGTTCTGAAACTTGTAAAATGGGTTTCATCTCCTAATACTGAATCCACAAGCACTTGCCTTACCTGTACTTCAGATATTGCTGTACTGTGTCAATAGATCCAGCATGCAGAGTCCTCATGGATTATATGTACAACTTCTGCCAGATTAATTTCTTTGTTCTTAGACCTAAAATGTAATACCTGCAGATAGTTTGGTTTAAAATTCTGGAGCATAAAACAGTAAAGTTTCAGAAAGTTTTGCATCTGGAATTGATTCTAATCAGCCAACTGTGCTTTTGGAAACTAGAGAAGAAAATATATATGTATATGTATTCCTGGCTTTACTCCAAAAAGGATTGGGAGTGCTAAAATAAAAATGACTGTGGCTTTAAAGAAAAAAAGTTGCATAGATTTTGTTCCATTATCTTGTTCTCCAAATTAGGATACAAGGAACTTTTATGATTTGCTTGTGTTTTCTTACCAGAAGATAGCTGAGGGACAGAGCAGGAGAGAGATATTATGGCAAGGTCTAATATGATATGCTCAGTACTTGCCCTGGTTCATCAAACAACATGATGCCCTTGAAGCCTTAGGTAATATAAGCCACTGCTTCTGGGTGTTGTTTCACTGCCACATTGCACTGTTGTTCATACCTGTTGCTTATGTTTTCATTACGTTATTGCATTCTGCCATGAAGGATAGATGGGGGTGTGAGTTTTTGAGATGTCAACTCTTTAAAAAAACATTAGAATACTGCTATTCTTTGAGTTTCTGGAAAATTGGGATTAGGTTTAAACAACTTTTTATTTGGCCATTCCAAAACTTTGACTCTTTTTAATTTTCCTAGCTTTCAGTCTTCCTACTGTTTCACTGTGTGTGGATGGCAGGTGTCAGTTGGGGCACACCTACTTTAATGATTAGGTGCACACCAGCAGAAATGAGAGGTGTGAGACATGGATGGTGGAGGCAATCCATGTCAGCTGCCACCATCCCTGTGCACGTCACTGGTAATAGCTGTCTGTGGGAACTGGAGCTAGGAGTTCTGTACACCTGGGATTCTGATAGGCTTATCTTGTACATCTAGGTCAAGTTCATTGTCTTCTCTCCCTCTCTCATAGTATTTCTTATTAATGGATTAGAGATTATGTGGCCTTTTCCCTCAATATTGTTTTCCTGTACTGCACTATCAAATGCCTTATCAGTCAAAGAAGTAGTTATATACATACAGATAAAATATAACTTATACTTTTGTTTTAGCAAACTAACATGTAAAATAGAACATCTGCTATGATCATATCTTCCATTCATAGTTCTCTAAATATTTAATGGGTTTGGATTTTATTTTTGTCGGCCTCTTCAGAAAACCAGTGCAGCTTTTAAAAACTTTCTGCTCTGTATGTGTTTCCAATGGGTCCTTCAGTTTTTTTGCTCAGAAGACTTTTTTGTGTGCTAAAATGCTTTTGTGCTAAAATGATCTATTATCCACTTTTACTTTGTCAAAAATGTATTGTCTGTAAAGTTCATATTTTGCTGCTTTGATATGTTCTGCTTTATCTAGTGTAATGAAAATACTGGGTTCTCGTTTTTTAAAACTTCCCTGTTGGATTTGGATATGGAGAGTTTATACACACTTAAAAGTTCCCTTTCCAAAACATTATGATTGTGCTTTAATAATCTAATTATTCAAAAGCTTTTCTAGAGTAGCCTGTCTGTAATATGACACTGCCAAGGATACAGCTTTTCATTTTCTTAAAAACATTTTCTATGAACATCATTGCTTGTTCAAAACTGCTATACTTATTCTACTCTTAAAGAATAGGTGAGAATATTCTGCCCTTAAAGTACTTGAGATTGAAGGAGCATATCAGTATAACAAGCTTCGTACTGCTTATAGCAAGTTTTCAATGAAAGATTAAAATTTTGAATCAGTTATAGATTAAATATATATTTGGGTGAAATGTAAAATTTTGCAGTTCTGATGAATTGCAGTTCTTAGGACTCTCTAAGATAGCTTAGAGCAAAGCTAGAAAAGACTTCTTTAATGAGTGATAAGGAAATAGTCTGCTCAGGAAGAATTTGTTAAAATCGAACTGGTCTGAAAAAGTACTTTTTCATTTTTCCACAATGCATTTTTTTGGTGGTGGTGGTTGGTATGGGGTTTTTTTATGTTAGTGTCTCTTACCACTTGAACATGTTTTGATTTGGAGTCTCATTTCATCTTCTAAAGACAAATTGTAATTTTCATAGTGGTAGAACTGAGGTTAAGTAATTTTAAATTTAGTTATATCTGGATAACTTTGAATCACATCTGTAATCAGGCATCAAAACGAAGGCCTATAAATTAATTCCAAACTAGTAGTCTGTTTGCTTGTCCCTGTTAGACAGTGTAACTCAATTAAGATTTGAATAATGGTTAAAGCAAGCTTTGTTTTATTTGCTGTTGTCATTATACAATTGAGAGAGGATGCAAAGCTTCCTGTTCCAGTGTAGTATAAATGATTTGAAAAAGGGCACATAGCTAGCTGATGTAAAATATGCACTTAAAATTACATGCAGTATCTAATTGCACTTTGAGCTGCGTCTTGGGCAGGGGAGTTTTTTAGCATGAACAAGCTTCTAAAAAGATGTCTTCTTTGGGAATTCAGAGTTCTCAAAAGGAATTGAATAGCTGAAATGTATTCTGTTGCGTGCTGCCTTTCCCCAAGTTCCTAAAATAATTCTGTGTATATTAAATTCATTTGTATTAAATCTATAGGGATGCTTCATTTGGAAACTGCACGTACAATCTTACCATCTTGGACTGTTTACAGGGAGTAAATAAGGTAATATTTTTCCTTAGCAAAACAGGTTTAAATTGATTTTTAAATCATGAAGGAAAATACTGTTAAAATAGCTTAGAAAATCTGATCTCAAAAGGTGTGCGAATGAGTAGTATGCTCTCATGAAGCCTGAGGTACTGAGGATTGTGTTTGAGTAGTGCCAGCGGAGGAAGGTTACACTTCTACTGGCTGGCCTAGCCTTTGACAGCTTTCTGAACTTCACCTCATGACTTGGAACATGCAAATGCACCAGACCTGGCTGGAGGCAGCTTTTAACAACCAAGGCACTGTGCTAGATCTGCTAATAGATCATTTATAACCATGGGGAAGAGGGACTAACAGGTGGATAATGTCAAGTGATACAGAATACACAGGTATACTGTGACTTAATCTGAGCAGTTTTTGCATGTACTTGGGCCAAACTTTCCCCCAAAACACTTGGTTCAGTGTTTGACGCTAATCTTTTCAGAATTGTTTAAAAACAATTGAAGCTAAGGTATCTTATTGGTGGTTTGATGTCTCACTTTCAATAGTCCTGGGCAATATTAAGCTCCAGTATTGCTTTTTTAAAAAAATGCTACCTCACATTTTACTTGTCAGCCTTTAAATTTTGTTTATCATTTCCCATTGATCTTGATGAAGGGAGCAGGCTATAGGAGCAGTTCTGTACAGACACTTTATAGACCATTTGTAATCCTTAAAAGTATGGCAAAACAAGTGTTTTTAAAAATTGAAAAAAGATCAAGCTTAATATTTTTAGTTCTGTGGGGGTGGGAAAGGAGCTGTCAGTTAACAGCAAGACTGTAATTTGTGAGGCATTCTACAGATCCTGAAGCTCTGAAGTAGTCAGTGCAGTCATTGTAACTTATCTGCAACAAAGACATCAAAAGGACTGTGAGAATCAGTTTTCCTCCTTTCTTCTCATAAAATTTATTACTGAATTTTTGTCCAGTTCACTTACAGAGGAAAAAATACTTCAAGCAGAAACCCTATGCCTTAATTTAAAGTAGTCTTACCTGGATAAATTTGGTGTTCCTGTGCATGTACATCATATACATGTAATTCAGGAGGCCTGCAAGTTCTGGAGTGCAGCCAGCCAGCCATGCTTAAATGAAATACCTGTCTCAAAATCAGCTGTTCAGACAAACCTCTCAGTATCTTAGGTTTCATGACAGTCCAGTCACTGAGCCTGTGTTTTCTGTAATAAAGCTAGCTGTGATTTTTGTTTTGTCCTAAAAAGGTGCTCTATATGTAGGAAATAATAGCAGTCTGATGATTATTTTTTTTAAATCATAGATCTGTTAATTTTTTATCACTCCTTAATCCCAGAATATTGTGTAATATCTACACTTCTCAGAATGGAATAGATTCAGTATAAATACATGCTGAAGAAATGCCTTGTGCCTATTCTTTGAAATAAACTTGTGCTATGAATTCTGTATTCATAGAATTGTTTTCAATATGGTATTATACACAAAACTTCAGTACAAAATTGGCATATTTAATAATAGTACAGTAATCAAATACAAAACTTCTTTCAATCCTGTAACAGACACTGTCTAATGTAGTCTAGTGAACTTTATCTGTGTATTAAAAGAAGTAATAAAATGCAGGTTATGCATGGTACTGTATTCTGTACATGCCATTTTGCCTAGGTATTATGGTGATAAAACCAGAGTATCATATAAAGTATGGAAAATGAATAAACTCTCAATGTTCTCAATGTTTTATGTCCAACTGCATGAAAATACATTCAAGCATAGAAATCACTGAATGAGTGTATGACAAAAAGGGAATTGCTTTTTACTTGTCATCTGCAATACAGAAGAAAATCACACATGGTGGGGTGGGGAGAATCAGTTTTATAATTTAAGTGATATGCAACAACTTTGTGTCCCATCATATTGTCTTTGAAGGGGAAATAATGAATCTAACATGTTTCAGTGACATTGTTGTAGTTTTTGTTGTCTGTGTTGTTAATCTGTGCAAAATGTAATGTTGTCTTAACAAAAAGGCTTCAATAAACATAAACAACTAGGGATTTAGTTCTGATTCTCAAAGTAGTATTATAAAATGAAATTATATATCTTATTTCAGTATAAACTGACACCTTGTTGCCTTTTAGGCTTTGCAGCATGGATTTTTTGACTTTAAGACATTTGATGTGGAGGAATATGAACACTATGAGGTTTGTACATTTAATAATGAGTTGAATGTGTTTGGTTTACCTAAAATAAGAGTACACAGTATCCCACAACTTAAAACGTACTGGAAACACATTTTAATTCAAGTAAAACCCAGTGTTCATACGTAAGGTATGTGATGATGATGATGACATTGAAACATGTATGCTCTGTGTGAAAAACACACAGCATTAATATCTTTGCAATTTCAGTGCATCACATAATAAATCTACCCTTTTCTTGCAGCCTTTCTGGCTTCTGTGATGTCTTTCATGTTTTCCCAGCCTTCCCCCAGGATCCGATCCAAAGTTTCTCAGCTGACTCACAGAATATGTGTTTTCTTGCAGCACTTCTTAGCTGCTTCTTGTGTTCCTAATAGTCCCAAATATATGTCAAATTTCTTTATTCCCACATAGATTAAGGACATTTTGAACTTTTTTTTTAGTGAAGGAGGCATTATATGGAGATTCTAATAATGGAAATACACACAAAATATTTCCTGATGAAGTCCCAGAAGGCTAACAGATGTCATTTGTTGTTTTACCAACCATTTTACAACTTAAGTATAGACAAACTCTGGTTGTCTCTGGATGCTTCTAGGGCTTTGTAACATACACACCTTTATCTGCTGGAAGAAGAAAGTTATTTCAAGCTACATTACCTTAGAGAAGCTTTAAAATGTGCCCGTGCTGTAGCTGTGAATTGGGCTGTGTACAGAGGAAATTTCAGGCACAGAAGGTGTATGTACATATGGTCCAGAACAGTTGTATTGGACCTCGTCTTTGGAACTCTCCTAAATTCCTGAAATTTTATTGGTTAAGCAGAAAGATATATATTCAAATATTTAGTATACCTCTAGTCTATGTATTAAACTCTCTGGTTTTTTAGACTTGTGTTACTTTACTGTAGCCAGTATTCTTCTGCTATTCTTCCCCTCTATTGCAATTTTCAGAAAACTTGGGAATAGAGTTGCTCAGTCTGAAAGCGTCCATTTTAAGAGCATTTCCTGTATGTATTTCAGATACATACTGAATTACATCATGAATGTTGAAGACAGTGAAGGCAGAAGAGGAATAAACAGTGGGAAAACATAATTAATAGCACAAATCTGTACAGTATCTGTTGTTTGCAATCAGCAGTCTGTAACAGAGAGCTATTCACAATACTAGAAAGCATTTGTAGGATTTCTCTGTCCTGTAATGTTTCATATTGATTAGGTTGAGAAATTGGTATAGCTTCTGCTGAATTACCAAAATTAAATGAACAGGAACAAAAATTGAAAGTATTGCTGCTTTTTTTACTTAATCTATGTACAAAAGGAAAAGGCCTGTTTTAGAAATAAATGGTACTTGGGAATTATTAGGAATTCTAATTCTGTCTATGAGGTAGGCATTAGTTGGCCTCAAAAAAAGTATTATAATAATTGACTAAAGGTATTTCATTGTCTTGTTTAATGCTTAACATCATTTTAGTTTGTGAAAAGTACATGTGTGTGAACGATGTTTACAGTATGCTGCTTACTGAGTTTAAGAAGCAAGAACTTGGAATCATCTTTAGTTTTTTGTCCATTTTTTGATATGTCTTCTCTTTTTTTACACATCGTGGTCAGCTTTATGTGTAGATATGTCCTGTGCTATATTTCAAAAACTTTAATTGTTTCAGGTTTTTGCTATGTTAGGTCTTCAAGTGTGTGGTTATGTGGAGAAAAGTTGCATACGACTTAAATGGAGCAGGCTAAAGGAAATTTTATTTCTCGTTTATAGTTCTTTTATCGTACTATATTATAAAGGCAGCTAATTCCCCTTTTGTTGGACTAGATGTAAATTACTGAAGTTCTTAAGTTTTTGAGTAATAATGTTGTTTGCATGTACGTAAATTTTAAGCAATATGAACTGCAGATATCTAAGTGATTCGCAATAACCCCTGTAACTATAAAGAACTACTTAATTCACAAATAAAACTGGTAATACAAATACAAAAATACTTCTAACTTACTGAACAGGACTTCTTCCCTAAAGGGAGTAAAGGTGCTACAGTCTTGAGTTTGTGGTCTGTGACACAAATCGAGCGCGGGGTCCTGGCTTGGCAGTGAGGTTGGCTCACTAGTGCTTATGCAACCCCTGTGTGAGGACATTTGGAGCAAGCCTAATGCGTTCAGCTAAGCCAACAGTTGGTGAATTGATTACAGTGATGTCCATTATCAGAACCTTTCACTCATTAGGATGTTTTGATGAGCTGAGAGCTAAAAACACAAGCTTAATAATGCAGTTGAACTGAGTGCCATGTCCTTAAAAGTCACGCTGAGAATAACTGCATTGCCAAATGAGGAATGAGCAGTCTTCAATTAAAAAAAGAAAAGAAGGCAGTTCTGAACTACAGTTCATGTTACGTATTTCCAAAGAAGCTTTCATTTTTAGCACTGACAGAATTTGAAGAGCCTTTTCAAAGTTTTTATGTAAATGTGAGCAAGAAATGCAAAATGTCAGTTTGAAAGTTTTTTGGAATTTAGTCTTTTTATTTGATTTATACTTTTCTTTGATTACTGGCTCATCAGAGCTTATGCCAATATGTAAATTTCAGTTTCTACAGGGAAAAGATAATTCTTTTGGAGGCTAATTGGTTTTTTATTAGTTTTCTGTGATTTGGGTTTTTTAGCCAGTGCCTTACAGAGAAGCATTTTTCTTTAGTCTTTGATTAAAACATAGAAAAATGTCGGTTTGTCAGTGTTGATATTAATAGGTATCCTAAAACACTGAACAGTCTAAAGGAGAAATCTTAGATAAAGGATATGTCAGCTTTTATTGGAAAACTTCAGCAAGTTTTGTTTCCATTTTATTTTATTAAGAGATTTCTGAGAAGCAGCTTATGGTTAGTTTGTCCCATATAGATAAGCTAGCTAATTACATTTGAAGCATTTTGTTTTAATGCAGCAAGAACACAGTAAAAAATAAAATAAAATATTGAGTAATTTTTTTAACCTTGTATAATCAGGTATTAAAATGCTTTCCTCTTTCTCTTCTGAAATTTTTGTAGCGAGTGGAAAATGGTGACTTCAACTGGATTATTCCGGGAAAATTTTTGGCTTTTAGTGGACCACACCCAAAAAGCAAACTTGAAAATGGTATGGTGTATGTTTTAATGATATTCTATGATCTTATTTTTCCAGCATGTCGAATTGTCAGAGCAAATAAGAAGATAAAGAGGTTTATAGATCAGTTTTAATCCTGAGAAATAATCATTCAGTGAGCATTTTATATATGATCATAGAACTTAATTCAAAAGGTTTTGGAATTTTTGCTAGAAGAGTTTTAATTCTTCTAACAGTCAATGACTTTCATTCTGTATCAAAGTGCCTGAGAAACTTTGGTCCCTTAATTTTCTCCTGGAACCTGGAGACAGTAAATTGATACAGTAAATATGCAGAATTAAAGGCGAGTTGCATAAAGCACAGAAGACTGTTAAAAAGTTTGTAACAAAAACCAGGAAAGACTTTAAAAAGAAGCTTGCCTTTACTACTGAAGAACTATTTACAACATGTGTATAACTGAAAATTGCTAAATTAGCACTAACACTAAAATCCAGTTGTGAAACACTAAATAAGCCTCACCCAGGTGAGTGTAAGTGCATATCATAAACCTACATTTTTCTCATTATGTTGAGATTCTAATTGCATTTATTAATGCATATATGACTTGTCCTAAGCAGCTGTGTTGTGGTTGGTTTTTGACCTCCCTGCCTGTGCCCCCATCTTCATCTAGAGGATCCTTTTGTCTCTCAACAGAGAACCAAGGCAATAAAGCTTTTTTACTGCAGCATAGGGCAAGAATGTCTGTAGTGCTGCAGTTTATTCTTTGACCCGTTTGTTCTTTAACTCTTTCCTCTCATCCATAATATAGATCAGCACTCTATTTTCCTCATAAACAGTGTTTCCTCTTAAAGCATGTTTTTATTTTCATCTGCAGCTTGACTGTCTGTCTGTATATAGACAGCTGTTCTGAAATGCTGAGTTCATATATGTGCCTAGCTTTATGTATAGAACCCTCCTTGCAGAGGGGAGTGGGGGCTAAACAGGAGACAGCACAGTGTTTCTCACATACTGTGCTTTAACATTCTTCCTCCTGATACTTTTTTAATAATAGTGGTCTTCATGAGTGTTTTTTGACAATTTTTTATATCATTTAACATGTTTATTTTGAATAAAATATTAAAGCATTTTTAATATTAATGTTGATAATTCAAGGAAGGTTTGGGGGGCAATTTTCACTAGTAGGGCTTTGAACTTTATCTATGGTGTTCAGTGATTGTGGCTTTCTTTTTTTATAGGTTATCCCCTTCATGCACCTGAAGCCTACTTTCCCTATTTCAAGAAACATAACGTCACATCAATCATAAGACTAAACAAAAAAATTTATGAGGCAAAACGCTTTACTGATGCTGGTTTCGAGCATTATGACCTGTTCTTCATAGATGGAAGCACACCAAGTGACAGTATAGTTCAGAGGTTCCTGACCATCTGTGAAAATGCTGACGGTGCCATTGCTGTACATTGTAAAGGTGTGGGCACTTACTTCTCGGATCAAAGTTCAAAATATCTATAAATCCATAGAGTTTATCCAGAAATAAAGCATTTAACAAATAACACTTCCTGGTTGTGAAAGTAATATTGCTTTATGATACTTGACTAAATATATGCCAAATATTTGTTATTTTCATGTGTATATTAAGTTCTTTCATCCTACACTGTTACTTTCAGCAACTGACAATCTGTTGTTCATTGTTCTGTTTTTTTCTTAATATCAACTTGAAAACATGAGATTTCGTTGATGCAGGTTTCTCCTTTGCATTATGCTTTTACAGCATTATGATAATTGGCTAGGAAATGTAAAAGACTAAAAGGTTTTCTTTGTGCTTTTGGACTGTTCTACATTTTTCTGTTCAGTATGAATTCCACATTTCAATTTAATATGAGTTATTGTGATGCTAGCATTTCAAACCAGCCTAATTCAGCAAATCAGCCCAAAAATACACAAAATATGCTTAGAACAAAGGCTTTGAAGGGTTCAGCTTGATTTATGTTTCGTGTTGTGTAAAGACATTGTGGAGACGAATGTCTTGCCGATCAGAAGCAAGAATGATGCTATTCATAATTTTCCTATGAACAATAAACATGCATATCAAAGATAAATGCTTTATTTGCTAACAAGTTGCTATGGTTGCTAGAAACCAGAAATTGTGGCATTAATAAGCTGGACATCTGCTATTTGGCTAAATGAGAGTATAAACTATTGATTAGCAGGAGTACGTTATTCTCCAGGTTTGGTTGCTAAAGGAATATAACATAATTTCTATTGAGATATACATGTGCTTTCTAAACTGAAGTATTTTTGGTCTTTTGTCTGACCATTTAATAAGCAAACTAACGATCTTATTCTTTTTAGTTTTTTACAGCCTTCTAGATAAGCCTATACAAAGTTAAATCAACAGCTAAGTCAGACCTAACTCAGATTTAATATATTGCAGAGATATTCCAAATACAGCTTTCCAACTAGAAATTGGTTGTCCCAAAAGTTATAGAAAAGTTCAATGCAAAGGATTATAATGGAAAGTTTGTAAATTAGCAGGAAGTTAAAGAGCAGAACTGAAATCGATACTTCCCCTTTTAATTGATTCTTCAGATCTTGTCTTCCAGTGTACAGTTACAGAACCTCAGTTTGTGAACTTCTACCCTCATCCTTTTACCTTGGTCATCTTCACTTTCAAAAAAGGGCAGGATTTAGTTATTGGTTAAATGTAAGGAGCTCGTAGTTGTGTATGGAATTATCAGCAGATGTCTGGCTGCTTAGGGAGTTTCCATGTGGATTGTTGTTGGTGCATAAACAACAGTCAGCCACCATGAGACTGCAAATTGCCAATATTGTACTTGGGGGAAAATAAGGTTTAAATGGGGTGATGCTTTACTAGTCGACAAGACACAGGGCTAGAAAGAGATTAATCCTCACTCTATAGTTAGAGATTTTGCTGGTAGTAAAGCTAGTTTTTCTGTCTCTCTGTTCTACCCTTAAAACATGGATTACTTTGTGATTTGGGGGGCAGTGGGTTAAATTATTTTAAGCTATTGATATCTAATATTATGTCCTGGTCAACATTCATTGTTCTTTATATAGATAGCGGTGAATAGTTTTTTGAATAAGTTTTGTTGGTTTCACAACAAAACTTTTTCAAAAAGAAAAAGCCACTGGCTCAGAAGACACGTGCTCTCTGTGATGTGCATGTGTATTTGCACCATACCATGATTTTTAAGTATGTGTGCTGGCCTCTCAAAGGTACTTTGATTGTGGTTTTTTTACTGGTTTTATAAATATAAAGTTGGTATTCAGCTTGATCACAGCTTTTTTTAAAGAATATCAGCCTTTTTTTAAACAAAATATGAAGTAGAATTGAGTGGCACAAGTGATTGCTGTTGCATGCATTCTTCTAAGCACTGTTTACTTTTTATAAGAATGAAATAGTTGTTCTTATATCTAGAGTACTGCAATCCAATTATGTGATAAAGGGGATACTGAATCACAAATTCTTTCTTCAAATACTAAGATGGTGAATAACATCACATAGAAGTCTTCTTACATCCCATACTTTTATTTGATAATTATGAAATGCTCACTACTGACTGTTGATACTTGTGTTTCTGTAGCTGGCCTGGGGAGAACAGGAACACTGATTGCCTGTTACATCATGAAACACTACAAGTTCACACATGCTGAAGCCATTGCTTGGATAAGAATATGTCGACCAGGCTCTATTATAGGACCCCAGCAACACTTCCTGGAAGAGTACGTATATATGCACCTTCTTTGCTAATAAGAATCAGCTGCTTCTCTACATTCTTTTCCATCTTGCATTATTTATAGGATCTGCTTCGTCTACTGACATTTGCACATCTGTTCAATATATTTAAGGTTAGTTTCTCAGGACTTTAGGAGTTACACAAGTGTGTTCGAAGTGGACAGATGTGGACAAAAGATTAAGTCAACAAATAGGATTTATTAAAATATTAACAAAGGAAGAATAGACTTTATATGTAGTTGTGACTTAAAATGAATCTTAAAATGGTATCATTGATATGTTTTTTTCTTTCTTGTAACTAAAGATTAAATAAGTTCTCGGTGGAGAGCTTATGATCTCTGACAGATTCCTTAGCATAATGTATGAAACATTTCTGATTTGAATCTAATGGTTGTCAGCAAAACAAATGTATGGTTTTAATACAGCTTCAGATTTGATCTTGACTGGCAGTGAGTAACGATGTAGACATTAAGTTTAATGTCATAGTGGTTTCTGCATTGTACATTTACTATTACAGTGGTTATGCTGCTATTTTTGAGCTGATACCCTGAAAATATTTACTTGAAGGCATTTTCCCTGTTATGAGAGAAAACATGTTAAGAAAACTTACTACAAATTTGTCTCTTTGGAAAAGAGAGTATTCAACAGCTCTTCCAGACACTGTGTGAATACAGTCAAAGATGCACCAACCTTGCATCTTAAAATCAATAGGATATCAGAGAAAGAAGTATTACTGTAATGGATAAGAGAAATTGAGCAAGAATAGGGACTTTTATTTATTATCCAACTAATGGGCACTCCTGTATTTGAGAGGTGGCTTGCTATTATTCAGAATACTGTGAATCAGTATTCTGAATAATACAAGTGTTAATTGGAGGCAGAATAGTCGTCTTCACACTGTGCTGATGCTTGGATGATCGTACATTCTTAAAATACCTTGCACAATAGAGCAAAATTATGAGGAAAGGTAATAGATAATGTGATTAGTAAGTACTGTTTACTTATAAGAAAAACAAGGCCCATGTCTTTTCTTGTTTTGATGGATTGAATACTTGGTTTGATTTTATAGATAGGCAAAGGTAGTTCAGATTTTTTTCCACTTATACTTACATTACTCCTAGCTAAGAGCTGTAGCATTGTTCAGTAAGAATTTTCTAATGTCCTAAGGGTAGTAGAGAACTGTTTCAACAATCAGACAAAATTCAAGCAATGTCACCAGTAACGTCAAAACGGGATTGGGAAGAAACATCAGTTCCATCATTCTAATATAAAATATCTTGCCCTCAGGGCTGCAAAGTTGCATCTGACAAAAAGGTAAACCCTTTCAGCTTTGATCTCCCAAACTTCATAGATGTCAAAGCTTCATCTCTTAGGTTCTTTGAGGTTTAATAAAGGGGTAGTTCGGGGGTTTTTCTGTAGAAACACTTCCACCCAAGTATGTATCAAATCAGTTTGTTACTGTGAATGCAATTAATCTTGAAAGATTTCAAAGGTATTTAATTCAAGAATGTTTTCTAGGCTACCTTTAAAATGTAATTGCAAATTCCCATTTAGTTAATCTCTTTTCCCAGAAGGATTTTGTAAAATGAAGTTATTCCACCTAGGAATGAAGTTTTAGTACTTGTAATATTTGTGTGATGACTACACACTCGTTTGGTGATTCAGGGGGTTTTTGGTTATTATTTTTAACCATAGTTTTGGGGGGTTTTTGTTTGGTTGGTTTTTTTTATTTTTTTTGTGATAGACATTCAAATTCTTTTTCAGATGAAGATGCAAATGTTGGCAATCTGTAAGAGTAGCATGTTTTCATATTGGCTTTTTTATATTTATGAAAATGTGTTGATATGAATGGATTTGGTTTTGTATCCTAAAGGAAACAAGCAATGTTATGGCTGGAGGGAGATCACATCCGATCAAAGCAGAAACAGCGAGTAGTTGATGAAAACATTAACAGAGTCCTTTGTGGCTTGAATGACATTTCCATCAGTGACAGCCTAAATAAAGTACAAGACTTGGATCAATACAGGGAGGTAAGTGTTCTTAGGAAAAATTCCAAACAGACTGAAGCTGAGCTTTTAATAACTAGCTGTAGATAACTTTTATATTTTTGAGGTTTATGCTTTTATTAGTATTAGATTGCTTTTTCTCAGATAATTTTTTTTTTAGTTCGTAATTAGAAAAAAGATCAGGTAATATTTAAAACTGTCATAGGTAATTTTGCAAACTGAAAAGGTTTGCATTATTTCCAGGGATTCCATTTCTTTCAGGGATTTCAGTTCTTTGAGAATGAAGGAAAACAAAAAATCAGCTTTCGTTCCTATTAGTTAAAAACTTATTCCAGGTTTCTAATTAAGAATGCATCAGTGTATGAACACCCATTCCTTTATCACAGTATTATGCATGGCTGAGGTGATGTGCACGTTTAGGGTAAGGACCTTATGACGACTTTCTGGGAGCACAGGCATGAAGTCTTAACTAAAGTGAAAATACTTTTGTTTCTGGAATAGTAAAAATCTTAAACTTTAGTTTCCTACACTATCTGTAAGAAACGGTTTAGATTAATTGCATCAAATGCATTTCATTAATCTCTTCTCAGCTCTGTAATAACTAAAGAGGTTTTAGGTTGCTGATGGAACTCTTTGCTTGATGTGAAAGACCAGGGATATAGTGAGCACCTTCTTCATATAATTATTAGTATAAATTAAAATAATCATCTGTCATAATCTGGAAGAGCATCTTGAATGGATTTCTGTACAGGTACTGTTTCCCTGTATTTCGCTTTTTTACAGATGTCACATTAAAGTTGTTCAACATTCAGATTTCAAACCATTTGACTTATCTCATTATCTCTTTGGATATTTGGTTATATCTCAAGGCCTCATTAAAATAGGGCTCTCTAGAAGCTCAAAACAAAGTAATATTCTCAATCCCAAAAATGCATGAGGTCAAAGAATCAGAAGAGGGGGCAGCTACATGCAGTAACTGTAGGGCAGGTGAAGACTGTGAAACAAAATTTATCAGCATGTGGCTGAATGATAGGTAACAATGGCCTACCGTATAATCTCCAATGAAATCTAGCTAAGATATTTGTATTTTCCTATAATTAATGCAACAGTTAGACCATCACATCATTTTATCAACTTCTATCATATTACTACTTCTGACAATCTTTTATGTTGGTTAATGGCATAAACTATTGTTCTGTTTTATCCAAAACACTGAGTTCCCTTAGGCACAGTAGGAACTGTGGTAAAAATACTTGATCTAGGGTCAAATGAAGTATAATTGGTATTATTGTATTTTGAGATGAATCTGAAATTGTAAATAGGCATTTAAACACTCTATTTCTTAGACTGTTTAGTGTTTTCTAAAGCTAGAAGAAAAAGGATAAAACTCTGAAATCTGTTCATTCTGTATTCCTTAGTAAGTTCACATAGGAAATTTTTTTTCAAAACTTATTTTTCTAGAGATCATGACAACTTTAACTTGTTTATTTTTTAAATGTAGTAATTTAGTAAAGTTGATTTTTAGTGCCTCTTGCAGGACATACAGCTTTATCTAAATTTCTTCCTCATTTGTGCATAACATAAAATTTTGTGTTACTGCTTTCCTTCCGTGCTGATGATAACTTTAAAAGTACTTATGGACGAAGTAGTTGAGGTTTATGTTCTACAAAACCAGACTTCTTTGAAGTAGATAAATGCTGGCATTAGACTTGAGCATCCTGAACTGACTTTGAGGTCAGATTCTGCAAAAATCCTCTGTGCGTGTGTGTTTGTACAGTGACACATTTAATCTGCTGGAGCTATGCGAAGAGTAGTGCCGATGTATGCAGAGGACTGTAGATTAGTCTTTTAGATTTTAATCTTCATGAAGGAGATGTTCAGTTCTTTGAAACTACACTGCTCCAAAGGATTTGATATATTCTCTTGCTTGCATCCTTTTGTGTTTCCCAGAATGATTTTGAAGACAAAGCAGATGTGGAAACTCAGAATGGCATGACACAGGGAGATAAGCTCAATGCCTTAAAAAGTCGGAGACGGCCTTGTTCTGCTACAACTGGAGCTCTGAGGTAATTGTCATTCTGAGGTAATTTGCAATTTTAGATTCTGTCCATGCTATCAGTCTATGTGGCAAGTACATGATCTTGTTTAAGGCAGTGGTACTAACTGTAAATTGTACCACTGTCTGTGGTGGAAATTTCTCTAGGTATATATCTATTAGTTGCAGATTTGGTTTATTAATTTTTTCTTTTATCTTCTTTTCCCCTTCTGTCTCTCTGTTCAGGATCTCTTCTTACTGCGTAGCCATAAAAGATAATGTAAAAAAAAATTCTGAAAACCTTCACATTTCTATTTATCTAGCATTCTAAAACTTACGACTTGAACAAAAATTTTCTTCAATGAACTTAGTTGTCTTTCTATAATTACTTTTCTGAACCAGTAAAAATATGAACTGTGAAAATAAACCTGAAGTACCTGTCTGCTGTTTACCTGTAAATTAAGATAGTGACTGTCAATAACTCTTAACTCTTGGTCTTGTATTTTAAGCCCGCCTGAGACATGAAAATATACTTTGGCAGAGGGGAAAGGCTTTTTATCCTTGGATAAAGACTGCTGCTTTTGTTTCTTTAGGCTGCAAGACATGAAACTGCACACCAGGTCAATATCACAACCCTTCAGGTATTAACTTTAAAGTTCTAGTTATAAATGTGTACCACTTGACTTGGGTCTTAATTTTCAGCATTTTCGGTCATAGTTATCACATCAATTGATTAGCAATTTCTGGCTTACAAGAATAGGCAGGTAACAAAGTTTTTGAAACACCTGCAAATTGCATGCTTTACCCCATTGAATCTAATATACAACATATAAGACAAGATTTCTATCATTAGAAAGCATTAATACTGAAAAGAGCACAATTTTTTTAGTTTTGTGACCTGGATTTTTGAGTTGGATTACTCCCTATGGCTAACTTTGAAAATGTCTGTTTTACCCTTTCTTGGTAATTAAAGCTACTTCTGTTTAATGCCATTCCTTCTGTGCTTGTATTTGGAGATTTGTACCCAAGTTCTTTGATCTGTTAAGGTCTGATCATGATAATATCCCCTAGTCTAAGGATGGAGAAAATTATTGTTCTAATAAACTATTGTAGGCAGCCATAATGGTAAACATTATTGAATAGTCCAGTGTAACATATATACAGCTCAGTTTCAAACCAAGAAGAATTTGGTCATTAAGACCCCCACTCTAGAAGGAGCTGTATGTTCTGTGCAACTTTGTGAAAATGTTCATGCTGTCATTCGGAAATGATGATGATCTCATGAAAGCTGCAGTGTCATTTTCTTCTACTCATACTCAATTTATAAGCACAAAAAGTATTCTTTCTCAAAGTCACATTTAAAATCTATGATAAAATTTACAATAAATCTATAAAAAACGGACACTTGGCCTTTGTAAAATATCAAAGTGAAAAGTAGCCTATAACTGTATAATAAGGTGCAGCAGGGGAAATTCTTGAAGTGGAATATTTGGAAAATTTTTTTAAAAGATACTTGAAAACAGCCAAATTGTTGCATTTTTGGTGTTCTCAGACTTGAGAATTCCCATTTTTTAAAATACCAGTCTGTATATTGAAAGACTAGACTGTATGTGTTTGAGATGTATATTTTAATTATAAAATCTTGCTTCTCACTAAAACTCTGCACTCCTTTTAGACTGAATACTTCAGGTAGCACAGAAGGATCCATGTCTCCTCTGAAGGCCTCCAAAGTGATGGCAGTTAACTCACCATCTGCAGAAAGAATAAGCAGACTTGCCACATCCTCAGGATCTAACCTCAAAAGGTTTTTTTCTTCTTCTCATTTTGGTTCAAGCACTTACCGTATTCTCCACTGGTTGTCAGCACATGTGCAGTCTGTGAAGCGCTTACTGTTCTTGGGTGTAAGAAGGCTTAAATTTATTTACAAAGTCATTTGCTGTTCCACGAGCCAAGCTTTAGTTGCCTGCAGATTTAAAAAACAAAGAAAAGCTAAAACCTGTCCTCCTGGTCTGAGCATTTTGTTGGGGTTGTGTTGTCAGAAACAGTAGTACATTGCTAAAGTTTTGGGGGTTTTTTTCACTTACGTCAGTTCGTAGACATTTTGCAGGTATTCCCACAAGTGAATATACTGTTACTCTCAGAAGAATACTGAGTGGTAATCAATATGACTTTTATGAACCTTTGATTTCTTACTATTTATTTCCATTATTACTGTTGTCCTAAGTAATTATATATGTTAAATGAAATTTAGAATGATAAATGCATTTTTAATAACTCTGGGCACAAATATTTACCTGAAGAGAGTAACTGACTTGAGATATTTCAGGACACCCTATTTTTATTCTCAGATTTTATCATATTACTTCTTGGTTACTTGAAGGCTTATACCACATTACTGATTTCAAGCAGCAGAAGAGGAGTTCCTAAACTGTCACATGTACAAAAAGTACTTCAGCATAGATCAGACACTGCCTAAACCTTTTAACACGATCTCCTGCATGTGCATATGGTTTGACAGAGCTGAAAGCTGGCCATGGTAGTGCTGAATAAGCTAAACTTGGGAACTCCTGACAAAGAATTCTGCTTTTCATTACTTAGGAGCTAGAAGATGAACCTGTGTGCGAACACAAATTATTTCAGAACGGTCTGTGTTATTCACCTAATGCCTTCTGAATTGTCTGTTACATTTTTGTATATATCTCTACATACCTTGTGTATATTTTTTTCCCTGCATGTGTTTTCCATTCAGCGTTTCCATAAACTCCAGACTAGCCAGTTCTCTAGGGAACCTGTATGCTGCTTCAGATGATGATGGGAGCAAAATGACATCATCGTGCTCTAGGACAGGTTTTTCTGTAAGCCATATCTCCAGTCACCTGAATGGCAGCTTGCAGCTGCCACACAGAAATACCCATGAGCTGAACAACAACTTGTACAACAGAAGCAGCAGTAGTGGCAACAACCTGAGCAGCCAAAGCAGTTTGCACAGCGCCGTGACAGATGGGTACGCACCAGCCTTCCTTTATGGGCCTTACAGCTCCTCCAGCACCATACCAGAGTCAATTAATTCCTGTAAGTTCATACTCACAACAGCACTTCCAGGCAGCTGAGTGATGCTTTTCTGCCTTGCTTCTGTGAGCAAAACTGTCGCAAAAAAAAAATCTTAACTCAGCATAATTCTCTGACTTCCTCTAACACTTCTGAACAGCACCTTTATCTGTTATCTTTTTAAGTAATTATCATTTCAGCTGGGGGTTTTTTCCATGTCTTTTAAATATCTAGTACATGGAAGGTTCACTAAAATAAGTGACTCCTGAACTTTCACACCTTTTCTGATTTTTTTTTTTTAATGGACCATCCTATCCTTTGGATTTTTTTATTTCAAATTATGCATAACATAGTTTATAACTTTATTATGTATCTTTATCTTCATGCAGTAACAGATTTAAAGAAGGTTTTCTATGTATCATACTAAATAAAAGGTAAACGTCCCTAAAGATAGGGCTTATTTGAAAGATTAGTCCTCCTGATTTGAAACCTAGTCCTTTTCTAACACCAAATGTGAACAGTATTATAGAGCAAGATATTTCTGATGGTTTCACATTGCAGCTTTCATTCCTCAAAAACTTTGCTGTCTTGGACTTATTTTATGCTCTTTTTTTTGTGTGAAAGAGTCTGTATAAAGAGGATGCACAGATAAATTAATGCAATTTGAAAGTGATTCTATACAAAATGCAGAGAAGAGAGACTAGAGAAACTCCCATTAAGAAATCAGAAATAACTTCATCTAATCTAGGGAAAAAATAAATATATCTGCTACTAAAAATCTAAACCCAATTTAAAATTTCTAGTTTTCAAAGATTTGATATCCTACTAATTATAAAACTTAGTGCAGTGTTTTTAATAGAGTATTTTGCCTACAATTAATTGAACCTGTCAGCCTCTGTTTACTAGTACCGACACTTCAGATTTTTATTTTTTTTACCTGCTGGAAATAATATTGGCTTTGTGTATAATTAACTTCAGAATATTGCACCTCTCTCTCCTATTTCAGTATAAAGAAAATTTTAGTGTTACACCTGCTCCTGGTTTTGAGTGTGGTGAGTCTCTGTCTTAAAGCAGCTAATAACACACATTGCACGTAACTAGGATGTCAGCTGAAAAGATCATTCATGGGTTGTGTTCTCTTTTTCCGGCAGAAGTGGAGGACCTACCCCCATGTTAACAGCTAGGATGTGGCACCTCTTACAATTCAGAAGCCGCATGTTTATAGCTCGGGGTATGAATTGCACTTTCTGAGGATAGATGGCAGTAGGAAATAAATTCTCATTGTCCTATTGTGGAATTAAATTGCATGTGACTGAAACCTAACCTACATACAAAGTATATTGAAAATGGGGGAACTTGATTCTGTGTTCTCTTTAAGTCAGTGGCTACTTCCTACTGTGGTAGGATGTGCTTAACCTAAAGCAGCTCTTTAAAATACTTGATGCTTTCAGACTCCTCGTTTGAAAAGTACATTTAACTTCTTATCCACTATAGCTTATCTGGAAATAAATGCTAATATTCCATGATCTCAGGATCACCAAGTCATCTGCATTGAGTTTAAACTTTACTTTAAACAGCAGCAGTAACTTATTTGCAAGGGAGTTCTTGAATATTGCCACATCCTTTCAGTTTTTTGAAGTTGTTTCACATCTAATGTGACTGTTTTTTCCTACTGCATGGAATTGAGGTAAACTGTATATAATTGAGGCTTCAAATGGATACAAAAACCATATCAGTTTTTCTATGAAGAAACAAATTCTAGAACAAGAAAACTGCTTTAGTTTAACTAATTAATTTAATTACTTCAGGCACAGAGATAAGGAGAGGGATGAAAAGCTGCACAGCAAGCAAGGAATGTTTGTTTTGAGGCACATCAACGAGTCTTTTATTTGTTCATGAATTCTGATTGCTCTGAAGAGTCATCCTTTTTAGGTGTTCCCACTCTTTAATCCAGCATGCTTACAGAAATTCAGTCCTCAGGACTGACAGAGCCCCAGTTGGGGGTAGTACACCAACAGTGGTTGAGAGCAATCAGTCATCTGAATAACTAAGTGGTAAAGTGACTGATTTGATTTTTTTTTTTAATTTCTCATTTTCAATATTGTCTCATATTGAATGTAATGAACAATAATTCTTTAGAGAGTCAGTCCATTCTTGTTCTTTTCAGTTCTATCTTTTGTAAATTATATGCTGCCAGCAGCGTTTCTTTGAGGTTTTTTCCATATTCTACTTACAGCTGCCTATTATGCATTAAATATATGCACGTAAGCCTACATGCAGTGCCCTAAGGCGAAGAAAACACCTTGTAACTGTAATGTGACTTAGTTATGAAAATAAGCTGACATCTTTCACATTTGGCCAAAATTTACAAGAGTATTAAATGGTAATATAAACAATTACAGGAACAATAAGCATGTTTCCTCAAACAGCTTAAAAGGTTCAGTGAAAATATAACATTTTGAAAATAAAAACGGTCATTTCCTTTGGAGAGGTAGTTGCCATACCTTAATGCTACAAATAATTCTTAACAATGAGAGCAAAGTTAGTGGGCTTGTTCCTTAAGCATAGGATAAGAAGTTAATTACTGGTGCCACTTTGTTTCTTTTTTATATCTAGATATTTACAAAATTCTAGGTTAGCACTAGGTCTCTCTTTAATCTTATAAACCCTTGAGGTTCAATATAATGGCAGCAACAGAAAAATTTCCCAAATATATGTGGGGAGAGGGCTGGGCTTACGGTGTAACTGACTCTTCCACTGTTGTAGCATGTCTTTCCTTCTTAGATAAAGGTGACTTAGAAAGAGGGAGAAAAACAAGGAATGTTAGTTACTGCTTAACTTAGGGAAGAGAAAAGGAGCGGGTGAAGAGGTGAAATAGCCATCTTGACAGCAGAGAAGGACTTCGTGCTGTGTGCGTTGTGGTGAAGAAGGAAATTAATTGTTGTCTCCTTGCAATAGAACTGTGAAGTGATTTAAAACCGATTTAAATGAAATATGTTAAACATAGTATAAAGTTTTAGGTTGACTGGGAAACGGTGAAGAAAAAAGTGCTTTCTAAAATGCACATTTCTCCTGTTTAAGAACATCTTTAGTTTTCTTCCTACCTATCTTAATGACTTAGTAATACATGGAAGGATGTAAGGGTGTAATCTTTGAATAATTCTTGGCTTGATATCATTTGCTGTTGAGGAGTAGAGGTTATACCCAGTTGAATACAGCAAGATCTTTATATGAGATTCTATATCCAGTCCTCTTTGAAGAGTGAGGTGAGATAAAAATACTATATTTTATATAACATATACTGCAATATGAAAAGCAGCATTTCTTAGGAAGAATCATGCCATGCAAAGTCTGTGTAGCAAAGTACAAGTTTCTGATTTACTGTAAAGTAATATTCTTTCAATATAATGGTTAAAAAGTTTTCCTGTTTGGAATATGTTTTTCAAATATGTTCTGATTAATGCATTTGCTTCTAAATATACCATATGGCCCCGTGCATCTCTCACAGTCACAGTAGAATACACTAAATTGTTACCCATTTTATGCACAACTGACTGAGTTGAATGTAGTTACTGTGATGTCACGATGTGTAAGACAAGAGTAGATTATTTGATCATTTAGTCTCTGAATGCTTTGTGCCTGGTAGTGAGCATCTCACTGGCTTATACAGATGGCTTATTTTGAGGACAATATAATTTTTCTGAATGATTAGTCCCACTGATTGAACACAGTCATGCTTAAAACTATTTCACTTTTAACCTGCAACTTTGTTTGTCTTTATTATGTCACTGTTATAGTCCTTTATTATCTTATTTTCTTGTCATGAAGACATCTCGTGCTAGTCATCTCAACTTGATTTTCTTTTGATAAGCTAAGTTGGCTCAAATATCCTTTTGGAAAATGTTCAAATTCTTTAGTTTTTGAAAATCTTTCTGGTCCAGAAAGCTGCTACTCAGTGCTGTCCTGCTCGTTAGTCCATAGCTTGTTTTATCTTCTTAACTGTAATATGTTGGAAGTTTAGGGGAGGGAAAAAAAGAGGTCTTGCCATCAAAAATACTGACTTGTATTTTAGTCCCATGTCCTGCATTCCCCATGGGTTTTCTTGGGGTTTTTAATGTGGAATTTTGTGGAAAAGCATAATTTTTTTCGCCATCCCCTCTTCTTAATGGAACCAATTAGCCAACCAAAGATTTGTTTTTTCTTACCACTTCAACCACTGACATCCAGCTACTTTGCTTCTGGTGAAATGCATCAGTGGGCTGAAGCTCATGAGCAAAATATGGAGTAGCATCAAGCCTTAATACCACTTCTGGCAGAATTCTGTTAAAAACAGAAAGAACTGCAATGTAACACAAACCCTTTCTGCAGCAAGACTAAGATTTGGCTGTCAAGGCTTCCAAGCAATTTCACCATTGAAAGCAGAGAAGTGGAAATCATTAAACAGAATTCTAATTGGAGCACATCAGATAAGGTACCTGACAGAAGTCTGTTACATATACTGGTGCTTTATGCTTATTCACTTAGCTTAGCTCATCAGAGGACTCTTGAATGATACTGATTAATTACCTCTCTCTTTTATTGGCAAAATCTCCCTTACCTGAGTTAGATATCAAGCTAACCAGCTGTAATCACATACTCTATTTTAGAAAAATCACCTTATCACTCTTATTTGTCCTTCTTTGTTAACTATCAACATCAGTGGTGCAGGAGCATTTTAAGATGGTTAGGACAGTACTTTTTCAGTTCTCATTTATGTTCTTCATTATGTTCTTCATTTCTCATTAGTGAGAAAATTTTGAATTCCATTTTTATGCAAGTACTTTTTTTTCCCCCCAGTATGGAAGAGAGTTACTCACTACTCTTTTTTTTTTTTCTGTTTTGTAATGAAACAACATTAATACTGCTGTTCCACGTCCTATTTAACAAAAAAGAATAATAAGAAATAACCATGACTATGACTTCCTGTTGTTGTCAGCCATATATTTTTCCTTAATGGTTTTTGTCCTTCATCAGTGCAAGCTTAAAATCCACTTCTTTTTATCATGTTTATGCTGATGAACTAAAAGAAAATCTTGATTTTCAAAGAATGGAAAACTCGCCATTCTAGCCAAATAGAATAAATATTTTATTTGCAAATTTTACAAATTGGATGTTTTGATTAAACAGAATGTCTCACAATTATAATTTGCAGAATTATTCTTTTCAGGTAGAATCACATTTAAGGTACAGTAATAAGATTTTTACTTTTTTAAAACAATATCTCTAAATTCAAATATCACTCTTAAAAATGTATTTTCATTGGAGAATATGTAACTGGGTAGTCTTAAGATGAGTCACCTTTTGCTTCTATAGCTGTCATGGAAACTGGTGCAATTGAAACATTTGAAAAAAAAAGGGGAAGGTAGCAGTACTTTAAAATGCATATACATCATTATACCTGTAGAATAGTTTCTCTTAATAAGAACTTACTATTAATTCAGGACAGCGTTTGCAAAAACATAGACAAATGCTAGTGCATCTCACTGATCTGTAAATTTAGCAGATGCAAAGGATCACTTCAAGTGTGTCTGTATTTTCTGTAATATATCCTGAATTAGTTTATTGGGTCTTGTGTATTCACAGTAATTCTTGCCTACTGCAACACTCCTAATTGCAGCGGTGTTTTGGGAGAGTTGATGCACAATGCAAAAAACTTAAATTACATTTGTGCAATTATCTGGGAAAAGTACATGTTCAAATCTTAACAAATAGCCCTAAATCCTACAGGGTTGTTCCCTATTAAAGGTAACTCACAGCTGACTTGATCCTAAAGTTGAATGTGTGCAAATACAGTTCTAGTGCCTGGGTGGATCTGTTGCTTATTTTCTCTTCCAGGAGGCTTTCTGTGCCTAGTGATCTAAGTAGTTGCTTTAACATGAACTTCATTAGATATCCTTGTGTCTTAATTCTTAGTTCTTTGGTTAAATGTCTGGTACTTGGGTATAAAATGCCAAACATGACACAGCATGGGACCACTGTAGAACACACGGAGACTTTGACTCCATTAACTGATTTTATACTCATCATTGCAATTCAGCAGTCAATTTTCTTTGGTTTTTTCCATCTATTTTTACCTCTATTTCAATAAGATTTTAAATACGATTTTGTTAAATCCAGATATTACTTGTAAAAGTGGATTGGGGCTTTTTGTTTTTAATAATGCTTTCAGAATCATAGGCCATACTTTGAGTCACAGCAAATGTAAATTTTAAAATAGAAAACTCCTCAAAAGATTAAAAAAAAGAAAAAAATCTCAATTACAGGCTTTGAAACATTACAGTCAATCTCTTCAGACATGTGAAGAGATTTAAGAGCACAAATTACTTTTCCTCAGAAGCAAAAAAAACCACCAGAACAACAAACCTTCCCTGCTATATTTTAATTTTCCAAATTCAAAAATGAGTATCTGTACTTTACAATAGCTCAGTTGTTAGGGCTATCACCATGTTTTTAGTAATAGAACTTTATGTGAAGTCACATAAATGGATCTTAATCTGGAAAATAATCCTGTTTAGATTTAATTATTTCTGTATATTCAGAAAATAAAAAAATAAAGGACTGGTGTTCACAGTTCTTTGTCAGCAAACACTGACTGCTTTTAAGATCACCAAAAGTGTACAGTGCTTTCTGGTCATCTTTCATCTGTCCTAGCTATAAGTAAGCTATTACTGTACAACATATGAGAGTATATAATTAAATTTCATGCCTTTTTTTTAATGTTTGTTAATCAGCTTTACTTGGAATTCAGTTTTCATGAATCCATTTCAAATACTGCTCTAATTGAGTGTAACTGTCTATTATTAAAATACACATCTGAAAATGAGACACCTTAGAGGATCATTAAGAAAGAGGGCAGAAGTTTCAAGTGCTCATTAATGAAGACCTATTCCTTTTGCCTTGCCTTTACTAAAACCAGACCCTTTTCAGTCAGTGGTATTCAAATCTATATGCTGTGACAGCACTTCTTCTTCAACCTAGGAAAGAATATCCAGATGGTCTCAGATCTTCAAGATGTGAAAATACTTTTAAAAGACAACTTTGGAAATATACACTAAGATTTATGATATAGGGGGAAAAGTGTTTTTGTGATATTAGTTAGAACTCTAGAAGTTTATATATCTATTATGCACTTCTACTAATGGGTTTCACTATGGGTGCCAAAGAGCATTTCTGTAGTGACTGGTTATGAATAGTAGGAAAATGGAAGGCAAGACTCTGAGGTTCTGATCTGTGAGGTTCTGATCTGTGTTAGGACTCGTGTTGGTCTCCAGTAGTTCTCCCTAATTCTGCTGCAGTTCTTAAATATGCTTGGGGTTTTAATTTGCTATTTATTTATAACCATACTAATACAGTGATGAGCTCTCTCATATAAGACTTATTATTCATCAGAATGACTTCTTAAACACATCTGTGTATGAGCTAATAAAATGTTTGGATAGTGTCTAAACTGATTAATAAGTTTTTAATAAAACCTTAGATTTCAGTAAAAACAGAAATGTCAATAAATACAGAATAAATACAGTAGACCGGGTTGTACTTTCCTCTTAATTATACTGACTTCTTACTAATCCAGATGAAACATTTGCAGTGCTTCATTTTCATCTGTTTTTAGTAATCATGGATAATTTTATGCATATGCATAATTGTGCTGTTGTAGCTTTTTTTTTCCCCTCAATAATTAGCTACACCATATGTTTCCTGTATCATTATCTCAATCAACATCTAAGGTATGCCTAATTTTTTACAGTAGCACTTGGACTCTCATTCAGGATAAGGGGAAACAATTCAGTTATACTAACAGCTATCATATACGTCCTCAACACATTTTAAGGTATTGTTTTAATGTGGTATTTTAGAGGACTTTTTATACTTTATTTAAGAATCTCAAAAATTTGTTTGGAAAAGTAAGTGTAGATACAGGAAAGTTGATGGATTCAGACTTTAGTTTCTTCTATTTTATTCATCTGTACCTGTGCAGAGATTCAGATCCCCCTCCAATTCTGTTTATTTTTCTCCTTCCTGTCCTTCCTCTACTCCTTATCTTTAAGTGAAAGATACATATTATATCCAAATACAACCTCTTCAGTGAGTTTTAATCAGTTTTTCTTCTCTGCACAGTCCCTTCAGTCTGAGTATGTTCAGTACTAAAGCCTTGCTGCTTTGGTGAAACCTGCTGAGCTCTTCAAATTGATGTTCTTTATGAAGGAGAAGAACTGAAAAAAAGCTGCTCATTAAGAGGAGGAATCTTCAATACAAGCTTAACACCAAGAGAAGACCTCTTAACAGGAGAAATTTCTTGTTAATGACTACTGCAGATGCATTGATGTTGAATTTATGGAAATTACTACCCCATGTTATATACACATTTAAATTTTTTATGTTGAGACAGCTTGAATATATTTCTAATGAGTTTCATTAAGACATTTATTAACTTGTGTACAGTGTTAAAATATCTATTAAGAGAATATTTTGGTAAACTATAAAAATTATGTAAAAATTAGAATATATTTTAATTTAGTGTCTACTTTGCTACAAAAATGTGTATTTTAAAGAATTTGTACATGTTTATCAAAGATATAAAAATTTTTTATGAACAAGATGTTTTTCTTGTTTAATGGGTCCATCATTATTGCTTGAAGCCTCATGTAATTACTCTTTTACTAATTGGTTTTCTGGTAACTCGATGGAAGTCCTAACTAATGAGAGACTAGTTGTTACAATATCAACTAAAAGCGCTTGATAAATAGTCTGCTCTCCACTTTCAGCTCCTAATGTTTCTTAAGGAAACGCAATGAAAGAAAACTAAAGGGAAAATATTTGTTGAGATATGATGTAGTTACATCTTTCACTGCAAAGAGAAAGTAATTTATTTAATGATTCAGTTGTACAACTAAGACTTTCAATTTGTCTTAAAGGAATGTTTTGGTTTTGATGTAGAATGTTAAATTTTGCTATGCAATATATACTGCAAAAATGAAGGCAGACCAAACTGAAGTTGGTAAGAATGTACATATACAGTGAATTCAGCAGCACTGCATACTTGCATGTTTTGAACCTACATTTGGCAGTATGTGTACAATTTCCTTAGCAACACACACTAAATGTTGGAAGTATATTAAATTTTCATTTCTCAGTTGGATGCTTCATACACCTTTAGTTTTTTTGTTAAATATATAGTTTAGGTAACCTCCTGTATCATGGAATATTTTTGCCAGTAATAAAGATGCTCTTTAACATATAGTTAAATCAGATGTTATTACCAATGAGACTTAGAATTAAATGGTGTTACAGTGAGGTCCTAGAGACCAGGTGTAAAATTTTCAGAACTCCAGAAGGGCATAGTAAGGAAAGTAATGAGATGATTTGATTTGCCACTAATCTGTAAGACAAAACCAAAACAGATTTGTTACCTATTAGTTTTCCCAGTATCTACAGAAACTTGAAAAAAAAAAAGTAAAACTTGGTTGAATTATCAGGTTTTTTTCCTGAAGACCTGTGAATGCCCTGCATTTGCTTTACAACTGAAGTCAAGACAATGTGCTACAACATTTTTAAAAAAGATCAGATCATAAATTGCTATAGCAAGTTGTACTGGAAGTGCTAATAAGCAAAACTGAGAGCAGCTAAAAAAATCATTGAATAAAATTTACTGTACTTTTTTTGCAACTGTGTATATGTAACATATACACACACGAAGTAGCATATGTGTGTGCATATATATATAAAATATACTGTATATGAATTATAGAATAATGGTAAGGTAATTCTACCTCTTATAAAGAATTTTCTCATGTACTTTGTTATAAATAGTTTTCCTTAATAAAATATTGATTAATTTTGAAATGTAGATATATATACATATACAGCTAATTGATAATAAAATGCCCGTATAAGCCAGCTTCCTTGTTTCTTGTTTTCTCTTAGAACTGTTCATGCAAACTAATGTGATTTGATTTCTAACTGAAGATAGCTATTCAAAATCATCTTTTTTCTTCTAAAGCATGTAATGTATTTCTAAGTAGGATGATATTGCAAAAAAAAATTAGCATGATAGATACCTTTTTTAACTGATCTAACTAACCTTCTTGTATTTGCTTCTTGTGTATTTGCATAATGTCAGGTACGTAATCAACATGTTGATATGATGTAGGGGCTGTGTTTCAGAATGCCATAATTTAAAAGCTGTGTCTGAATAGAGGAAACCTTCCTGGGCGAGGGCCCTTTTTAAAGGTGTAACATGCCTTGTCTTTTTTGCATGTGCAACAGGTTTCTTAGTCCCACCAACAGCAGAGTCTTTGTCCATAAGAATCTCAACATGCTTTCATTTAGCTTTTTGTCCTTCCTTCGTTCAATTAAAGATTAGTCACAAATGGTTTTAACATTGTTTGACTCCACTGCTGATTTTCAGCAGATTTGTTGCATTGCATGATAATTTATTTACAATACTTAATATTCCTGTCCAGTAAGTCGCTACTGCGATAGGTGGTGTGGACAATATGTAACAGTTCCACAGCCCCCCTCTAAAGGAATAGCAAAGCCAGGAATAGAGTAGATGCATTAGAAGTTGCCCAAATTCTAGTGACAGTCTAATCTAAGAACACAATAAAAACTTCTGTCACTGCATTCAGATGAATAATAGATGATTTGGATATGTAAATATAAAGGGAAACCAGCTAATTAAAAAGTTTCTAGTACATAGGAATCAACCTCTCCCTTGGCCTTTTTTCTAGAATTCTGTTCCTTTATTATATGAAATACATAAATGTCAGCTAATGTACAACCTTTTTTGTGCTTAAAAATGAATTATAAGTAAGTCAGTACTCTGTAACAATCAGCTTCTTAACAAAAAATTTGGGGACAGTGAAAGGTTCTTTTAGAACCATGTAGCTTTTAATAAATACTCTGAAACTTATTTCATATTCTCTGTTCACCTATCCTTGAACTTTACCATTTCTGTTCCTTCATATATAAATAGATCTTGTTCTGGGAGAACAAGCTGTAGCACATAAGATCTTAAAAGACAGGAATGGATGTGTTAAATAAATCTAAAGGTCTCTAATGGGCCTATGCTACTGTGGCTAGTATCTTTTGAAACTGTTAATCATCTCTTTTTAAAGTATGCTTTATGAAGCTTTTTGGTTAGGGAGCTATTTCTTGTTGCAAATTCAGAGAATATTTTTCAATTACAGTACTGCAGAAAGAGGAGGATTTTGGTTTCTATAATAACTGTTCTTTACTGACAGCTAAACAATGAAAGGCCTCAAAAGGTTTGACACTTGATTAGATCTACACTGTAAAGTGCAGCAGGCAAAAAATATGGTAATTAAGGGCCTGATCAAGTAAATCACTCAAGTATGTCTTTAACCTTCAGCACATGAGCAATCTAATTAAAAGAGAGCATAGATATTCATGTTAGTAACAAAGCCACCTTTGGATCAATAGGTCTGTCAATTGCAAACATGAGCCTTCCTGTCCAATAAGAAATGTGCTGTATTGCAACAAAATAACCCATTAACCCACACAAATTAACTTTGTTAACTTAAAGAAACGCATATTGTAACTATAACTATCTCCTAATACATGATGTTGGTATTGTCATTTGGTAGCATCAGGAGTTACGAATGTCTAAAAATGCCTTGCAAAGGTATCTTTGGCCAATGTACAGATCATACCTTATGAGCTGAGATTGCTTCTGTTGCCTACATATAACCTACCTGCAAAAGCAACTTTTCTCCTTAACTCATCACAAAATTAATCAGCATTCTTTTTCTGGAAAGCTTTTGAGAGGAAACAGAAGTTCTTTTACTGAGTTTCTTAGTCTTTTCCAAGGGTAGAGTTCCTGGGAGAATCCCACTACTAATTATTATCCGTTTGGAATGGGACTGTTAGTTCCTACTCTTCAACAAGTTTTTAGTCCACCTGAAAACCTGTCACTTGTCTGTGAAGGAACTAATTTTGGTGTGAGATCATTTCAAATGCTATGCTGGTTCTGTGTTATCTGTGTACTTACCAGCACCAGTGTTCACCTCCAGCAGGTTGGAAATGCAGGATTTCCTGCAGGCTGAGACAGGCCGAGGTTTATGAAGAAACGTAAAATGTTTAGATTGAGAACCAAATAAGAAGTACTGTCTTACCAAGGATCAATGTATCTATTGTGTTTGAAATATTTAATTTGGAAAGTATATTGCTATTATAGAGCAGTTCTAAAATTAACTAAGCTTGCAGAAGCATAGTGAGCTTTCTTTTAACAAAAAACAAGATCAGAAAAAAATCAGTTTGAGTATTTAGCAGAGGAGTTTCTACAGTAAATAGATTGTATTTCAGACAGAAGTGACTGATACTAGTTTGAAACCTTGCTTCAAATGAAAGTTGCGTAAATGGGTTAGAACCAGAAAACTGGTAAGGTAGGGAAAAAAAGTCAGACTGTGTAGTTGGAGTATTTCTGGAGCATGATAGGGTTTGTTTTTTTTTTTTTCTTCTTGATTTAACAAGTTGAAAATCTGCTGAATAATTCATGAAGAGTGGAAGGGCTGAATCTTCCTGGAATGATATACAGTGTGCGTACTGTGGCACAGGAGAAACTGCAAAGCTTTGTATCAGTTGCTGCCGTTCCTGCTGCCGACTGCAAGGTGCTGCTGCTTTTGGTGTTTTCACAGCTACAGAAACCTCAGTCGTGCTCTGGTCTGCCAACAGCCATTTGCCTCCCTATGGACCCACCTTCACTAGCTACAATCTGTGGAATCTCTTGCTGCCTACCTGCCTTGGACACTGCTGTTCTCTGGATCGTTACTGCAAACTGTTTTCTGCACCTTGCAGCTTGTATGACTGAAACCTGCCTTAGAGTCCCTCAGCTGCACATCCTCCTGTGTGCTTGGTGAGGACTCCTGCAGCTGAACTTCTGACCCAGACAAGAATGGGATTTACGGGGCAAAGTCAAAACTGAGCTGCATTCAGCGAGATGCCCAACGCCTCTTCCTGGAGTGCTAGCTCGCCTCTGCTGCTGCTCTGGGAGGACTCCTCCGGGACCCGCATCTTTCTCTCGCTGCTCTACGCAGTCTTAGCTATCTCAGGGACTTTATCCAATGTGATGGTCATCTATTTAGTCTTCTCCTTCAAGAAGCTGCAGACAACCAGCAATGCCTTCATCGTGAACGGCTGTGCGGCAGACCTAAGCGTGTGCGCCCTGTGGATGCCCCAGGAGGCTGTGTTGGGGCTGCTGCCTCCCAATTCCTCCTCCCTTCGCTCGGCGGAGTATCGGCTGCTCAGAGGGGGGCTCCTGGGCCTCGGCCTCACCGTCTCGTTGGCTTCACACCTGCTGGTGGCTTTCAACAGGTACGTGCTCATCACCAAGCTGCCCAGCGTGTACCAGGCCCTCTACCAGCGGAAGCACACGGGCTGCATGATCGGGCTCTCCTGGGCCCTCGCCCTGCTCCCGGTCCCGCTGCTGCCCGGGCTCTGGACCCTGGGCTCGGCCCAGTCGGACGGCAGCTCTCGCTACACCGCCCTGCTCCTCGCCCTGGCCGTGCTGGGCCAGACGGCGCTGCTGCTGCACTGCTACCTCGGCATCGTGCGGCGGGTGCGGGGCAGCGCCAAGCGGGTCAGCGTCCTCAACTTCCACCTGCTCCACCAGCTGCCCTTCCCCGCCGCCCCGCCGCCGCCCCGCCGCTCCCAGCGCCGCCTCAGCAGCGTCTCCGTCCTGCTGCTCTGCTGCGTGTTCCTGCTGGGCACCCAGCCCCTGGTGTGGGTGAGCCTCCTGGGCTTCTTCCTGCGCCCGGCGCCGCCGGCGCTGCAGGCCACCAGCTGGCTGCTGCTCTGCTCGCTCTCGGCGCTCAACCCGCTGCTCTACACGTGGCGCAGCGAGGAGTTCCGCCGGGCCGCCCGCTCCGTGCTGCCCCGCGCCGAGGGTCCGGGGGCCGCCCCGCGCCCCAGCGCCGCCGCGGGCGCCGCCGCCGCCCCGCCCTGCCCGCAGCTGCCGCGCCGCCGGGGCACGGCCACGGGCACGGGCACGGGGAGCGGCGCCAGCGCCGCGGCCGCGCCGCGCTGAGGGACCCGCGCGGGAACCGCTGAGGCCGTTCCCGCCCGCCGGGCAGCCGAGCCGCCCCGGCCCCCTCCGCGGCAGCGCTCCTTCCTTTACGCATTCTCCTGTCGCTCCTCTCTGAGCCCGCGCACTTCTCCCCAGCTCCCTTTCCCACCGTACGGACAGGCAGCCGCAGGCTCCGGCTGCTTTCCCGAGGCACCGGGACGGACAGCAGAGCGGGATGTCCCGTCCGCCTCCTCAGCCCCGCTCCCGCTCCGCCCCCGGCAGCCGGGCAGGACTCCAGCCAAGGCGGTGGATTTGGGAATCTGGGAAAACCGGTAAATATGGCAACGCACGTAACTGTTGTTATGCTCTAAAGATTTCAGTATGAGACAGGCATCTAGACAGCTCTTTCTGAGATGTACTGCAAGTTTGTTTTTGTAAAATCGATGTGATTCTTTCAGCATTTGAAGTAGCTCTTTGAAGTGAGCTCCCTGAACACCAGGTTCGTTTGTGAAGAGCTGACAGGTGTCTCATTGCACACACAGACACCAGGAGCTGCTTCCTTTCCCCGAGGTTACCTAATCTCTATGCTCCAGCTTTCCCTGGCAAACTTCTAGATGATGCTGTCTGTGGAAACTGTTAAAAAGGAAAACACATATACCTTTGTGGATCCAGTTTGGATATTTTGTTTTGAAACCTCTTTAAGACCTGTTTTGGCAAAGGCCTCTGCCTATGTTAATGCACTTGATAAAATACAACACAATATGGAGGCCGGTGTTGTCCATCTAACCTTGTCACCTCTTCAGTTACCAGTTTGTTGTGTTTCGCTTAAATGCGTTTTTACTGAAGTGCGATTTCACAGCCTCTGCTAAATACAAAATGACAGATTCTCTGTGGCATTTGGAAAGGAGACAGCTCCTCACACTGAAACTGCAGTGGTGAGTGCTGCAGCCCCATTCCTCCAAGGAATGATCTTAAAATCCTTATATTTCCTTCTCTATTGCTTGACCACCTTCTTCCTCTTTTCCAATGCAGTTGCTATTGTTTTCGTGTTGATGATACTCAGTGCTCTGTTTGCTTTTTTGGCTGGAAAGAAGGTAATTGTTTTCTGAATCCATGGGCATCCACAAGCAGTATCACCTAAATTGTGCTTACTTGAGAAGAAGAATGGACACATGGGAACATATGAAATTTTGTCACAGCAAGTTTGTTGTGACAAACTTGTTTATTATTTGTGTATTAACACAAACTTAGCAGCTCTCTTGAGGATATTTGAATGATGGGACAATAACAAGAAAAAGACATACATGACAGGTATAACATAAAAGGCCCTCTGGATATATTTTATAATGCTCAACACGCTTGCCTTATCTGATGATGTTTGAGTTTCCACAGAAATTGCTTTAAGAGTAAGGGAAGAATTTCGATTTTTCTCAAATCTAAGAGCTTCTAGGTGTCTGTGATACAACAATGCATCTACAATTCCCATACCAATATTTAATTTTTCTAAATAAAAAATCCCCATCATCACAGAAAAGATTCTTATCAAGGTCGGGATTTGACAAAGACAAGGAACAAAGGCTTGAAAAGGAAAATTTAAAATATTATCTTGACATCTTGAAAATTTATCAATATCCTGAAAACAGCTTCAACCACTTGCGAGGACCTGTGGGAAAGTAAGAGAAGTTTCCTTGAGTCTGAGGCTTACAGAGAGCTTCCTCCTCCGTCTTGGAGACAGTGTTCCTCTGAGTGACGGCATCAGAAGGATGGGTAGGGCTAGCAAGGAAACATGGACATACAAGATATGCAAGATTTGTTTTATCAACACTGTGCACATATCTTGGAGAGTGAAAGAGCCGCTCTAACCTTGTAATCTCTCATCCCAGTCAGAGTGGCTGTGCTTTGGCTAACTTTGTGCAGCAAATGGAGAAGGAAAACTGTTTCAACCACAGCTATACCAATACTGGAAAATATTCTGGTTCACTTCCAAAATAAAGCTAAACCAAGGCCCACCCAAGGGTAAGACCCTGTTTAACTATAAAATCATCCTTAGGCTGGAACCCACAGAGAAGGATCCGCATTACCAATTCCCACCATGGCTAAAGGGACTGAAGACACTTGGTAAAGCACAGTACTGGGCCCATAGGCAAAAAAAATCAAACTTTAAAATAAAAACTTAGGCAACTCTTTCCCCTGTTTTTTATCTATGGAACACATTAGTCTAGAATTAAAGCAATAACCTGTTTCAGAATTCAGTGTCCAAACCATCAGATAACTGGAACTTCTGGGCTTCTTCCCTTGTAAAATAGCATGCAAATTAAATCTGAAATGCCTGTATTTTATATAGACTACATTTTAAATGCAAACATGTATAAAAATACTATGATGTACAAAACTCCAGACAGCTATCCTTATGCTATGCATCAATTCCAGAAAACAACTGGAAATCCCTTGGAAAGTTTGATGTAATTACATCTGACTGTAAATCTTTAACTGTTTTAAGATACTCAGGTGACCTAAATAGCATTACACAGAATTTTAATTTAAAGTTATTAAGACAGAGTATTTGTCTCAAGATCAGTTTCTCTGAGAACTTACTGCTCAGAAAAGTTCTGTATGCCTTGCTCTACAGCCATAATCTTTGTATTCCCGCATTGTAAATACTCCATGGTAAACTGCAATGGAAACTTGGCTTAGCTCAACTTCTCCTGGCTCTGTGGTGCCGCTTCTTGGTTAAGAAAATGGATCTAACTGTCAGTTTTTGTCATCTGTGCTTTACTTTAGAGCTACATGTGTCCACTGCTAGTTTAATTCTCTTCAATGCGAATTTCTGTCATGCTCAAAGAACTCATTACAGGCAAAAGGGATATGTTGCCAATTGTCATTTAAAATGTCTTGACCAAACAACTTTCAAGAGTTGTAAATGAAGATGATGGAACATCCTGCCAGCAATTTCAATGAGGTTTGCTTGAACCAAGTTGCTCCTTTGCTCTGGTGTTGTGCCAAGCCAAGTTGTCTGAGCATGGCCTAACGCTGCCCTTCCTGGAATGGCTGGCATTCACATATATTAGCTTGCTTCACTTATATTAGACGGGAGGTGTGATGTCATTAAAGCATTGAATTTATTATACAGTAGTGGAGATCAGCCACATTATTCATGTGCAATGGGTGCCTGTTCCTTTGCTATTTTCTCAGGGGTTCTAGAAATTTGAAGGTAAAATTGTGATGCCTCAAAATAACACCCTAAGGCAAAAATATGGTTATTGTGAAAATTGCTTGTAGAGGGTGTTCATGAAGTTATAGTTTGGATTAAATCTTTTGAACTTACCCTTAATTTAAGGTAGTTATAAAAAGCCATAGAGTTGTTTTCTGGAATTAGGTAACCACAACAATATGAGCCTCCAGCAAAACTGGGCAATCACTACCCTAAACAAAGGTGTGTAAAAAGTACAGGCAGCAAACTGGAGCTGGGAAGATATGACAAGAGGAGATGAAGATAGCAGGATGGGGGCATTAATGGTGTGATCTTGAGGACACAGAAAAACATCTGAAAGCCAGAAGAGGCCTGGGATTATGATGAATTTGACCATCTCAAGTTATTTGATTCTTTATATATGTGAGGAAATAGAATTCTATGCTTTTCATAATAAATAAAAACATGAAATTGTACTCTCAATTTCTTCTTTTAACAAAGCATACAGTACACCAGCAAATTTTCTTTAAACTCTGAAATAAAAAAGGACTAAAGGTATGAATTGCATCATCATTCTTGTGGAGACTGCATTCAACAGCATTACTGGACTGACAAGCAGAGATAACATCTTAGCTAACCTCCAGATTCAGTCAGCCATAAGCACATTGTGAACCTCTTTTTTCTACCAAGTTGATGCTATTTTTAAAAAAAACCCACATACAGATTATTTTCAAATGAAGACATTTAAGTGTAGCGTTTCATTAAAGAAAAAAGTGACAACATATACTTTAGCTTTCTATTTCATCTTAAATCACATAACTAGATTATTGCAGTATTCTTTAAATTCAGAAGTCCCTTTCTGAAGTGGCAGCGAAAATAGCTTTTCTCGTGACTGTTTAACTTCTAAGAAAGCTACTTTTTTTTCCTCTTTTATGTCAATCCTTCCCATGCACTGTCATCATTTTACCAGAGTAATAGTCTATTTTCTTTCCTTCTTTTTGCCTTTCTTCAGTATTTTCTGTAGTTTCCTTCACTAAGGGAAAAGTACTTGATCTTGCTGATCAGGACACAACTGCTTGAACAGTGGAAGTTTTGGGAGACAATTGTAAACTAAGACTAAAGAACTGAGGGGCAGATCCCACAAACTTAAATGTCTAGAGAGCGAGTAGGTTTTGAAGGTGGGCTTTTCCTGTGTAGAATAGTGGACAAATGCTGTATCCATATTTACAGATACTTGCATTTGATTAAGGCTATGTAAAAAACCAGATAATATGAGGGAAAAAAAAGTCAAAAATAGTTTGAAGACTGGAGAAAAAACCTTTGTGGCTGAAAAGTTCAATATGAGTAACTTAACAAAATGGGCATCATTACAGAATATACACACTCATGCAGGTATTCAAAGCAATCAGTTATGATGGTGATCTAATGATCTTTTCTGGCTTGGAAAACATGACTTTAAAGGAAAATAGCTCTGCTTTGAAAGTGTGGGCTACCTTGTCTGTTTATTGCCAATGGGTTCAACATGGCAAGGCCTGCCCTACACCTGTTCTGGATGGGTATTCATGAAACTACAGAACTCAAAACAATCCCAAAGAAAAACTGCTTGTGGCTGCTTTCTTGCCTGAAACTTTGGATTTCTGGAGAGACATCATAACCACTCCAGGAAAGTTTGGTGTTTAGGGAAAACTATAGGATATCTAACCTGCAACTCCAGACATCAAGCCTGTCATTAGTTTAGAGCCAAGCTTTTGAGAGTTGTTCAAAAGGAAAGAAAACTGCCTGTTGGAAGAGGAGCTCAAACCAAACAAGGGAGCTGTGTAGCACCATAGGCTTTACCATGCTGAGCTATGCTTTTGTGGGACAATGGGTTGAAATAATGAATAATAAAAATGTGCCTCTGCCAAAATTTTTCAGCATTCTTTAAATGTGGGATTTTTTCTACACTTTTATGAGATCTTCCTCTGCTTCAAAAGTTTTCCTGCTGCTCTAGAATTGACACCAGATAAAAACCATATTTAGTGTTAGTTACTAAAGAAACATGAAGGATAAGTGTCACTCTCAGTGGACAAAATCAGCTCTTGTGGTTCAAGAACCAATGCACAAGGAAAAAGGATGGAACTGCTGTTATTGAAAAGCTTCACTCAAGTCCAAAGATGCCTTGTGTTTAGGCTGTCTGGAGTCTTCACCTATTCTGTGACAGTCTCAGGGCAAAATTAGAAACACAGCTGTGCTCCAGGCAAGAGCTGCACCCATGCCGATATGTTTGGAAGCTGATGATATGATGGAGGTGTAATGTCAGTCTGAAAGCAACAAAGTGAGCATTAGCAACAGAAAACTGCAAGAGAGAGCTTGAGAGACAAAGTTCATGAATTGAACGGTTTTGTAAAGTAAGTTTTGTAAAATGCTATGCAAACTTTGCTTCCTGTTCATTCTACTGAGGTGTCACAGGGAAATATCCTCTATGTTTTCTTCTGACCCTCTGGCTTTCCTCAGTGTACCGTAGTGCTGGGATAGCCACTTTTTTCTCATCCTAAAACCTCTGTCATTGACCTTGATGTCATTTCTTTAAACACCATTTCTATGATTCTCTATAAACTTCGCATCTTTTATTCTAAGGTTCAGTGAAATGGCTGTAGCAGTGTTGTAGCTGTGGAGACAGGAGCAGCAAGGTTTGAACAGTTAATAACCAGAAATATTGTGAAGATATGTGAGTAGTACTTCTTCCTATCTATATTTAAGTATTACTCCTTTGTTCTGTTGCATTTTGTCCATTGCCATCTACAAATATTGGACTAGGTTCATTGTAGAAATGTCCTTTTCCATAAAAATATCTCTTTAATTAATCATTTTTTATAAAGGTAGTGATAAATTTTTGCAGTATTTGAAGTGTGCAGCCATGTTAGCTCCTCCAGTGAGCATAATTGTCCCTCTTTCATTCAACACACCACCTTCGTTTACTCTTACATTAGTTTTTCTCAGTTTGTGGCATTATTTCTCTCAGGCAGATGAAGTGAGAGAGTTGGTAGACTGCAACATGGGAAAACAGAAAACAGCCTCACTACTGCTTCTGTTTGATTTCAAGGCAGAGACACTTTTCATAGCTTTCGCTATGGCTATCAGCTTTTTTTTGTATGCTATTTAAATCAAGGCAGTAGAACTATATTGTGTTAAAAAATAGAGATAAATAAGAACACAAAAACTATTCATTGTATATGAAGAGTAAATGTAAGATCTCTGAATTCTGCAGCAGATATCTTGCTTGGCTCTTTGTTGTTTAATATAACTCGTGTAAATAAAAACAGGATTAGGAAAGTCACATGCAAATATAACAAATGGTGGCTCTGAGTTGAATTAAAGGCATGAATTAATTTTCTTCTATCTCATGCATCATTAAATATTGCTATTGTACTGTCTACTGTTTATCTATATTATACCTGTCACCTGATAGCAACCACGGTCGTTATGGTAATGTCAAGATTATAATTATAGTCCCTTCTGCAGTGTAGTCATACTATGCTAAAAAAATCCTTGAAATGGTAGTGGCCCATGCTTGGTACCAGCATAAACACAAATACATTTTGAGATTGTTGAGGGGAAAAATATTTTGTTACTTACATATACTTACGTGTACATATATGTGTATGTAATTGCAAAATATGCAGCCTTTTAAACTATGGGTTTACTTCATTTGACATAAACCAAACTTGCCAGAACTTCTTATCCCTTAATGAACATCCCTTCAGCTGAGTTTGGTAATTTAAGATATTAAAAAAATGCAGTTATTGCTCGTAGATCAGAGAAATCCTGTGAAAGCTTGTTTGGCAGTGCATGTCAGTGTGTTGATTAGCCTGTACCCTTGTGCAGCAGAACACAGGGTGCCTGGGGTGTTCCAGCTGTTCCCCCAAGGTCACTACCCTGTTGGACACTAGTGACCTCTGATGCCCAGAAGCTAGTCTAGGAATCAGAGCCAGGACTCCTGGGAGACATATGTTTGTGAGGCTGCAGGTTGTGGGTGGTAGATAGAGTGTGTCTTCCCAGAGAATAAAATAGGTGACCCCACTTCAGAGAATAGTCTGATTTCTGTAGAATGTAAGGCAGAACCATGAGAACAAATTTTAAGTCATTATGTGGTAGCTTCTTCAGATTTATTAATACAGTTAGCCTATTTTCTTTTAGATTCAGGAGACAATTTTCATTTAATTATGAAGAAAAAAATATTGTCTCATCTCCTAAGAATACAAATGTATAAAACAGTTCTCTTCCCAAATGTAAAAATGCTCTAGGGCAACCATATCGAGGAATCTGTATGAATGCAGCTCGTGGAACAAATAGTTACTTACTACAGTTGCAAAAGGCCACAACTACTGAATCCCTCTAACAGCTGCACATTTATGCCACCTTTACACATTCAGTAGCCCATTTATCCTTATCTCTTCACAGACTTAAGGTGGCTTATACAGAAAGGAATAAGGGCAGTGGAATTTCAATTAGTTTGTTAATTATTCAGGGATTAAGGCCTTATTATACCTTAATCATTTAAGAAGTGTGTTTGATTGGTAGGATTTCATGGGAAATCTTTATTTTGACATTCATTCTGAAGTAAGTGAAGACTTGGCTGTTTTAGTACTAGGCATTAATAGCAGAAGTGCGTGTAATGGTGCCAGCTGAGGAAGCAATCCATGCCCACAGGACACAGCAGGAAATACCTATCCCTCCTAGCAGTAACAAGCACATCAGTGAATTAGAAAGAAAGAAATATTAAGAAAACTAGATTAGATCTTATATAGTCCTGGTCACCAGAAGCTGCCAAGGACATGAGTCAGACCCAGACATGGAAGAGACTTTAACTGTTCTACTACTGCGGCCCTTTTTATGAGGTTGCACCTTTGTTAAGGGGACTGGATTTGTTGTGTGCTTGCATATAGGGAGGTCCTGTGTGTATTGCAAAGGCAAATGAAACCCAGGCATCTTTAAGGGGGTCTCAGATTCCAGTTGTATACAAGGAAATCCATTACACACACACACACACACCCTGCATCACGTGAAGGAAAAGTTACGTTCTCTAGCCATTTTCCTTTCTTGGCAACTCAGGGAATTTTCCAAGTCTTTTCACATATTTCTTGTGTGAAAGCAGAGATTTTTCTTTAAGAGACAAATGCCTTCAGCAATGTGAGAGGATTTAGCCATGCCATCCTTGATATCCTGGGAAGTGAGCGTTAGTATTGGTACAGTGCTAGAGCTTTTGCAAAGGCAGTGGTAGCTTGCCTAGGCCATCAGGATGGATCTTCATTTTCCATTTTCAAGGGAAGCAATAAGACCTATTCCGAAGGAAAATGCATACTTTTGTCTCACATTTTTTGATTGGATGATCAAAGAGGAGTTTATTGTCAGGCTCCCCTTATTCAGCTGTATGTCTAGACAAAGTCAAGACTAACCTGACCATTTTTTCTGTTAACAATGGTTCCCTGGCCCTCCTTTTGCTACATCACAGAACTGTGTTCAGCACATGGAATTACTGTGGTCAGGAAAAGAGAAGCTAGATGGCACTATGGTCCAAAGGGATCATGTTCTGCTGGTGAACAGGATGAAGCTGTGCAAGTCATCTGGTCTAAAAAGCCTCTAGAATTTAATAGATATCAGCAACAACAGGGTCAGAATTCCTGAAGTGGAATTAGGGAGAGAACAGGCTTTCCACTGATACAATTAATTAGCTTTTTAAAAATAACACTAACAGGCTTAAATGTAAGCATACAGACATGAAAGAAATTGCAGATGTAAAATGCCTTTAAGATTGCCTACACAGATAAAACTGTGATAAATAGCTTGTGCATCATTGCCGCAACATAACTTAAAGGTATTTGTGTTTTTTAAACGTATACTCTGATATTTCTGTTCAAATATGGTATTATGTATGGAAGTAGATAAGCTATGTACTGCATGTCTGCAGTTACAGGAAACCAACACACTCATCTGATTTGGTCAAGAAAGCTAGAGGGGAAAAAAAATACACCCTAAAGCACTCATTAAATTTTCCTTTAAAGATTTTTTTAAGGATAGAGGTGAAGGGACCTGCACTGCCAAAGCAGAAATTTCGTTCAAGCAAATATCTGGGGTAATTACTGTAAGACACTCATTAAGTTATCTTTATATGCATAAAAATATGTAAAATTTTTATGTGTATTTTTTATATTTGTATGTATTTATAGACATAAAATATACATATTCTCACTATGATATGTCAGTTTCCCTGATCTCAGTTTTTAGAGCACAATTATTTTTTACTAGTTTTTAGTTAAGTAATATATGTAATTCCTCCATTTGTGCTTTTATCAGAAATGAAAGTTAGACAAGATAATATTAATATAGTTTTTATTAAAATTATAAGGCAATCCTAACCGGTAATTACTATTTAAGATAAAAGTAGGCAGTTTAGGCTTAAGAATTCCTTAGAAGAATGTCAAAGTTATTAAAACACAAAACAAATAAACAAAAATATCCGTAAGCTTTGGAAGGTTGGGGAGGTCTATTTTAATAGTGACTTTAAAGAAGATCTCAGCATTTGAAAGTAAATAAAACCCAGTCAGCCAAACAACTTTGCATCTGTAGTAAAGCCAGCCTCTAGGCTTTTTCATTAGTATCTTTTGCTTATGCAATGAAGGGGCCTGCATTGCAGCATGCAATGTTTGAACCAAGATCTTTTGCTGAAGAAAGAGTACTTCTTTTAGAGGAGTTCAATAGTTGTTGGCTCAGAGGTGAGGGATTGCTGTAAAAGTTACACAAATGTGCATCTGTCACAAAACAGATGCAAAAAATAACTGATTTATTAGTATTTTATCATGGCAGAAGGTAACCAAAGAATACCATGCTGTTCCTTCAGAGTTCAGTATGTCATTAATGTGACAGTAAGAGTCATGGATGAGCATGTCACTAATTTGGAAATGCTAGGAAAGCTACAATGTGAGTAGTTGCTAGGGAGGCACTTGAGGAACTCCTGGGAAACCTGCAAAAAAAGGATGAGCAAGATGACATTAAAAACTCGATATAATTACAGAATTTTAATGCTTACACATTTGCAAAATAACATAGGAAGGTCAGTGAAGCCAATTCATAGAGCTGCAATCCTACCAGGACAGTGTTAAGGAACAAGCAGGAAAACAAATAGAGCAGAGGAGTAGGAACAAAGAGGAGAAAATGGGCTCGGAAGGAATGGAGAGCAAGACACCTACTTGGAGGTGAAAATGAGATAATGGACAGTCAATACTGTCAAGAAAACAGGAAGTTTATCAGAGATGCTTCAAGAGAAGCTAGAAGAGAGGCAATCATCTGTAGACAGAAGGCATAGTGGAGGAAGTTCAGAAGTTTGTAAAAAGTGTGCAGAGAAGTAGGTGCATATTAGTGGAATTGCAAATTCGAAGAACCTATTAGAAGGCTATTAGAACAACCAGTAGTAGCAAAACAAATATCCCTTAGACTAGCAAATAGTGAAAAATCAGTTACTTTTTACGTAGCACTCTGTTTAAAAATAAGAAAAAAATTAATTTAACAGAAATTATTTTTGACATCTTCCTTCCATTTCAAGATACACTGAATTTGCCAGCTCCTGCTTTATTGTTTATTTGATGATTCAGGAGTCCTTTTTAGCTCCTGTGTTTCATATCAGTGTGCTGGGAGGACATACTTCAAGTTTAAATGGGAAAAATGATGCTTGCCAAGAGATGGAAAACATAAAAAGCCCCCATCACCAAAATGGCTAACTGAAAGGATTTAGGAATAAAATTTGGAAGAAATTATAACAAATTAAAAAAATCTTTTCCTTCTCTCAACAACATGTGAAAAACTCTAGTTCCATTTGGAAACCTACTTGTTGATCTTCCTGTTGGCATCAAATACACGGATGCCGTAGGTTACTCAATAGGTACTACCATTCTTCCAGCTTATATTAAGACATGGCAGATCATGAGCCTTGTCCTTAATTATGGATGGATTACTGCTGCTTTATTAAACACCAGCCTTTATTTTGTATTTTCTTCTTTTTTCATTTCTACGGGATTCACACATTTTTTTTTCCTTTGTGGGAACTCTACCATGCAGTTTTCCAGTTGGCTCTGCACTTTGGCGAACTGATGGCAGGTTTCAGCCTTCAAAATCCCTAAAAGCTACAGTAGGGCTGAGGCAGTACTGGTGCAGCTGTGAGTTTTGCTATGTGCTGTGTCAGCAACAAGGAGCAGAACTGTCCACAGACCAATATCTGACCTAACAGTGCTTCTGTGTTTTTTTTTGTTTTTTTTGCCATTCAAGTGCTTTCTGTGTAGAATTCAAGGAAACTCACGTTTTGTTTTTTTCTGATGATGTGTCAAATCCTTTTAAAGTAGTGTGGATGTTGGCTGAACCTTCTGCAGGTTCAGTCTTTAATGGCTAAACTGATTGGAAGCCAAGGAGTTCTCCAATGTCTATTATAAGTCAGGGGTCATGTTGTATATGAAGCAAAATACACATATAGTGACAGGAAGCAGAGTTCTCCCTATGTTTTAAATAAACAATAGCAGGTCCAACTTCTAGTTATTGGTGATAGGAAGATCTTTGTTCTGTCAGATTTCTGTTTCCTGTGACACTCTGTAAGGTACATGTCATTCATGTTTGCTGGTATTATTTGTATTTTCTAAATGTGTGATGCAGCACATTCTTAAAAATAACCATCAACTTTGTGTTTGTTTTCCAGAAAGTGCTGATACTAAATAAAGTACTAATTTTGGATTGCAGCAGCAGCCGTAAAACAGGCACACTCAGCAAGAAATCCAACATGACTGTTTTTTGGATTTAGTGTCATAGGTAAACTGAAGAAAGCACAAGTTGATAAATTCAATGTACTTTAAGTCTGTATGTTTAAAAATAATTGTTCTAAAAATTAATATATTTTTTAAAATTGCTTATCACACATTGAAACTGCTTATTTTACTTCACTATCCTTGGATGAATTTATCCACAAGATAGTTCATCAAAACAGTATATTTTAAGGGCAATATATTTGTAAAATGCTAAAAGTAATAAGATAGTTAAATTTTGGCTGGTGTCTCTTCACAGGAAGTCCAAACAGGGTCTATGAAATAGTCCTAGAGTGAAAACTGTGAGTTTTCTGGCAAAAGACGCAGACAGTACATGAAAATATTAAGGGTCTTAATTTCTTAAGGGTCTTAAATGATCTGAATTAAGAACAATTATTTATTACAATGAAGATAATTTCTGAGCAATACTAGGAGTGCATTAGAAAATGGGATGTTGAATAGGCTCTTCATTGGCATGGCATTTTGCACAGTACTAATTTGAAGAGCAGATGAGATTTTCAAATAGTTATTATAAATACATTTATACTGCAATAGTCACTTCAAAATCACTCTTCTGCTTAAAAAACCAGCTTCTGCCAAATTAATTTGTTTAGCAGTCTTGGAAAGCACCAAATTAATGGTGTTTGTTTATTTTAATCATCTGTGAATATTTGCTGCAATATGCCATTTCAAATTACAAATTCCCAACACTGGCTCAGTATTTGCAGAGACACCCTGACTTAGTTGCCCTAATTCATCTAGGGTGTGTCTTCCAGGCTGCCTGCTGAAGAGGGCAGGCTGGAGAACAGAGTAAGAGCTGAGGTCAAAGACCATTTTTCTTCTTGCCTCAGTTTGGGATGCAAACCCAAGCCTGCGACTGCATTTGCAGGTAAAGGGACAGCTTGTGGAAAGCCACACATCTCTCTTTTCATCTCCTATCAAAACTCTTAATGTTGCTGGCTGTTGTAATAGCTTATGTGCAAGTGCCCCCAGCCTGTCTGCCCAAGGACTAGCTGCAGCTTCTGCAATTGCTCCTCACCCACAAGCCACCTGCCTCGGAGCAGTAGCCTTCCTTCCAAGGCCAACTGCATGAGGGAAGGACTTGCCTGTCACTCTTTTTTTTTGCCTTTCTTCTTTCTCTGTTTTCTCTCTGAGAGTAAGCTTTGACCAGTAATGCTGCTCTAAACTGCAATCCTTCTGTTATGAGCAGGAATGTCTAAAAACAGCTTGCTGCAGCACAGGTGAGGACTAGGGAAAAAAGGCAAGAACATTCATAACCAGTGGAGCGAGGCAGAGTAAAGAGCCTCCCCTCCATGCACCTGGTGTGCTGTCTGCAGCATTTGCATGAAGCAGGAGTTGATTTGACCAGGTACATTCCTTTTCCTTTTCTTTCTGTTGTAGTCTAGACTTGTGAAATGCAAGAGTTATTCCAACAAAAATTAAAGAAGGGTCCAAGAGCTGACAGAGATTAGGTTTTTACTGAGAAAGAATAGCTATAAGCAGGATATAGAGGCCCCTGCAAATCTCCACAAAATATCAGGAATTTAGAAGACTTTTCTGTATTCCTAAACGTTCAACTCCATCCATGACTAGGGTATTAATTTTACCTTTTATATTTTGGAGTAATAATTAATGGATGTGGGGGGAAATTCCATTTCCTCTCTTTTACAAGGGTATTTCCACAGCTTTCAAACCTTCATTTAACAGCTGTCTGCTCTAGTACATATGTACAAAACATTTTCAGAACTATTAATATGTGATTGCTATAGTTAAGGTTTGCTAAAGATTTTTTACACAAAGTCTCTGAGTTCATTGCTTAATGCTCCACCGACTAAGGGGAGTGTTTCTAGCATTTTGACACCTTCATTTACCATTCTTATTTAATGATTGTAAGGACTCGTTTAGCAAAACATTTAAGCATATATGAGAGTTCAGTTACGTAGTTAACTGGAGCTAATACCCTCACTGATATTATGTAGATATTTCAGTATTTTGGAGAACTAATAATAAGAAATACACCTGCGAAGTAACATCTAAATATTCTTTTCAGTTTTGAGAGTGTGCAATGTGCTGAGAGCCTACACTGAACTTAGTGTGAAGAGTATTAAGAGTATTTTAATCCTATTTTTTGTTTCATTTCATAAATATCACGTTTTACCCATTTTCTTTCCTTCTTTTTTATTCTCCTGTAGAAAGTTTCAGTTTTGATATCTCGGAATTTTTTTTCAGCTTTCTAAGTAGGTGGGGGCATTTCCAACAAGATAACCGAAAAAAAAAGAATAGTAGGAAATCTTAGTTTAATTAACTGATTTTGTACAAATGAACTATCTGGAATGACAGAGCAGGAACTAGGTGGGAAAAGAACAATGGCATGATTACGCAATACTAAGAAGTAATGTAGGACTAGATTTGGAAAGGATTTGGAAGCAAAGAGTTTGAGAATTTAGCTAGTATTGGAAGTTATAAGGCATGTAAACAGGTTAAATGCCCGCAAATATCATGCTATAAAATATCTTTCAGTTCTGCTAATTTTAGCTATCAGAGCAATTGCAGGCTACATTCAGTAGTGCCTTGAACCATTAATGGCTTTTGAAAAAGTAGTGATCTTGCTAACTCTTTCCAGGTACAAGTGAGAAAAGGTTTACAAAGGAGTAAGAGAGGTGTCTGGCATGCTGGCTGTAATTTGGAATGTTAGAAAATGGCTCTCAGAAAGGCATATTGGAAAAGAAATGAGAGCATTTAGCATGAGATCTTGAGAGGACTCGAAAAAGATATATATATGGTGATATAAAACATGAGAACTGTCAGTGTAGAAAAGAGTCTTTAAAGAAAATAAAGGCAGAATTTTGAAATTACCCTCTCAGAATGGGGAAGAGAAAATAAATATGCAAAGGAAAACTGGGTGTCCTTTAATGTATAAAGGTGCAGGTGATTTCATAATTAAGGAGAAAGATCGTGAAACTGAACAACTGAAAATAGGATGAAAAATTAATTACCAGAAAGAAGAGTTTCAAAGTAATTCTTAATTTACTGATAACTGAAAAGAAATTGAAAGAGGAGAGCCCAGGTACTTAAAGAGACACTACTGTAAGAAAGGTTCAAAAGTTTTACATGCCTGATGTGCCTGTAAATGCTAGCACTTGCAACTCTTCTACTACAGGAGAATTGTAGAATTGTACAATTTGGTGTTGTACAGACTTGGAAAGATAAAATGACAGAACAAGGTACCTTTGGCAGCAGATTGTCTTCATCATTCTAGGTTAGTGCTGTTTTCAGGGACAAAAGTGCTGAAAAATTGCCAGGAACCAGAGGATGCTAAGGCAAGTGATAATCAAGAAGGAAGTATAGAAATGTGGTAGTGAAGCAGGAAATATTTTAAGCACCTTTGAGTCTGATAACAGTTTTATATACCTGGAGAACTATATGCTTGTGAGTAGATCTTGCAGGTACTTCTCAAACATAGTGTGTGAAATGTTTCAGTGCTTTGCACAGGAGGGCTTCCTCACCAACATAACTTGGGGCATTTGCCATTGCAGTACTGCAAAACTGCTTGGCAGAGAGGGAACTTCCCAAGGATGAATTTCTCTTTGTAGCTGTTTTTTCATAAGATACAGAGTCTTTGCATGTTTGTGCTTGTTAAATATTTATACTGTGACTCCTTACTCTCCACTGCATGAGACCATCAGCATACTTGGAAGGCATTTCTGACTGTCCAAAAGGAAGAGAACAGAGGAAATTACTGTGAGAGCATGACCTACCGTTGTCTGTATGTCTGAATAAGAAAAACTATGTACGTATTCACACAATGACAAAGAAGCCATTGGGGATCAGCCGTTGGTAATTTTATCAGGAAGGAGCTCTATTAATGTGCATCAATCTGTCGAGCAGCTGTTAGGAAACCTATTACTGTGGGCTGGTTTACTTTTTCTGGGTAAGTTAGAGCATTTAAGAGAAAAGGAAATTTAGAAAGGTGATGTTGAGCTTCTGCACACTACTGACAAATTATACTATTATGCATAAAATTGTGTATTTAGTGAACATGTTAAAAGGCAGACTTTTTTTTGCCATTATATAATGTAGGCCACTGTGCATGGGACATCTAACTGGGAATGATTGGTAGCACAAGTAGTTGAAGCATAGGATTTTTAAATGAGCAAAGGTTTCTCTCATACCATAGGCCACTCTGAGTTTGAAAATTGAGATTATAATAGTAATTATAGAATCAGTAAGGTTAGAAAATACCTTGAAGATCATCAAGTCTAACCTTTGAATGTTCTGGAGCTTTCAAGACTTCCAGAGTATATACTTTTGTGTGTTTGTCGTAAATAAATCTTTTTATGGTAACTAATAATATAAAGTTATCTGATATTAAACAGGCTCAATTCCAATATTTTCTTCTGTTATAACTGCCTACTACAAGTGTTATGTCACACAAAATCCCCCACTGTTAGGAATCACTGTTGAATCTAAATTCTGCATGAGGCTTTTCCTCTCCGTAGCCCAAATGTTTTCTTTTGGTTGATGAGCTCTCTGGATAGATTTTTCATGGTTCACATTAAGACTTTCTTGTAGGAGGCCAGAGGAGCCTGTGCTGTGGAGGGGCTCATAGCAGTCGCAGCTGGCTGCTTGGGTTCAGGCACCTGGGCTCTCCACAAGTGCTGGACTGCTATTTTTGAGTTGCTCCTCATCCAAGCTTTGTTGATCTCAGATTTATTGTGTTTTACAAGACAGATTGTCAGAGAACAAGTTCTTTATCAGGCCCATTTCTAAACAGGAAGTGTTTTCCTGGTGTAACCGAAGGACTCTACATGTGTGCTGTTCCAGAGACTTAAAATCTCAGTCTCTGCTCAGTTGTGTTATTTCCCTCAATTTCCCTGGAATTTAGGTGCACTTAGTACAGAAAAAATCATGAACTTCTGTCCAGAGAAATTGCTGTGAGGATCTGGGTCTTGCTTGGTGTTCTTCCCTTGTAGAAGTGGATGTGTGTGTGGGAAATGGGACCAAATGGCTGTCACTTCCCATGTGAAAAATGTCTAGAAGCTGGATATAGCCTAGAACTGTTTTTTCAGTTGCTGTGTTACGATGCCTTCTCCATTTAGTCTGTAATCTCAAAGCATTTCCTCATAATCGTGAGGATATTACGGCAATTCCTATTAGTAACGGGATTTAAAAACCTTCCCTTCCCTTACAGCTTATTCAGAGGATAGTAGGTGTACTGAATTGAACAAATGTGGTTTTTTTGTACCTAGGCCAACATAGTTGATGGACATTACCAAAACATGGAAGACAACTGCCACTGATTAATTTATTGTTGTTTTCCAAACACTTCTCTGGAGCACCTAATTCCATTAACTTTGAGTTAGGCACCTAAGTTGAGCGCCTGAATTTTCAGAGTAAAGCATTCCTTACTACTTTAATTAGATAAATGATAGTGCTCACTAAATTTAGTTATGGCTAAATGAGAAAAGTTCAGGTACCAAAGGTCTCCTTTGTAGTCCAGCACCTCATTCTTTATCACAGTCAGTTTATCTCCTACAGTAAAGGAACTGAAGGTTTCCCGGGGAAAAAAAAGGTATGTGGGCACGTAAGAAAACCTTCTCTTCTTTCCTATTTTATAGAATGTGGATTTGCAACCTTAATAGCATTTTTAAACAAAATATCTCATTGCAGAAATTCCATCATATCATGTCATCCTGACAGAGACCATGGGAATGCATCTCCACCAGATCAGCTGTGCTGTGCAGCTACAATGTAGGTGCATTTAGGACTATCTTGAGAACATGCAAGCAAGAGCTGAACCGTGTTTGTTTGTTCTGAAGGGACGGTGTGTATATGGCCTGGTCATACTCGATATTTAGATAATACCTCCATTTGGAAAGAACTGAACTTTTTGGTAAAAAAGAAATTGAATGGTTAAAATTTGCAGAGTTGTGTTTTACATCTTAAAATAAGTAATGTGAACAATTATATATTCTTGGGTGCAGGATATTAAAATTTATATTGTAAGAGCAGCATATATACCATAAAATCTACTGCCTCGAAGCTTAACAGATTGGAAAAAAATTAGGAATATCAAAAGGGATGTTGAGTATTTTCAGATTTTACCTAAGAAATGATTTTTTACTGATTTTTAAGGATGTTGGTAGTATGGAAGATTTACACAATCAAGTGAACGTTGCCAGGGGTGCAGACATTTTCAAAATAGTCTTAATTGCCAGATAATATCTCAAAGCCAAAACGCCTTTATAGGAAAATACAGTAATTCCCATCAACCTGCTTTAACTCATGAACTGTAAAGACAATGAGTGGGGACTGGCAAGGCTTTGTATTTCCTGATCAAATTTTTTTTTTTTTTTTTGAGAGGGCAGTTCATTAAAGTCTTAGAATCAGATCAGGACAGTAAAGCAGCAGGACAGGTCTAAGCAGGTTTCATGCTGTTGCAACCTGTACTTTGAAAACTATTGCTTGTGATGTCAGGAAAAAAAAAGATGCACTAATCAAACAGAGAAATTCTAGAGAAATTCTCTTAAGCATTATTCATATTTTACCTGAAAAAAAATCTGAAATAATTTTGAAGTATGTTAAGAGCTTAGATACAATTTTGGAAGGGCAGTACTTCCTAAGCATCTACTCTCCAGGTTTCTTAAAAGCCTGACTCATTCTCTTTTTATCAAAGACAGAAAATGGGCTAGTACAGGAGATACGCTTTGAAAGGGACCCTGAGATGGATTTTGTTTAATTAAATGATGTCAATACAGGTTTGACTATATAATTTTTTTTTGTTTCTACATATAGCTATTGATGTGGGAGTTTCTAAGAAAGTGTTTTGATCAATAGTCATCTTCACCAGAACAAGTTTGGAAGTACAAAGCACTTCCATTTTGTTAACAGTATTTGATCCATGACTAATTGCTTTTATCCTGTGAAGCTGTGTTTCTGTAAATGTATCTTTATGGTTTTAATGAGTGTTTCTGAAGTCTAAAACTAACCCTTATAGCTGTATGAACAAATTCTTCAAGAACTAGGAGATGAGTTTAGTTCAGTGGTTCAATTTTCCCTTTTTTTTGTGTATTTTTAAGGCTTTTAATTATTACTATAGCATCTGAGAAACATGAGGTACCCCACAGTGAAAATGAGAATACAGATTCTTATTGCAAGTTAAGTTACATCAAGTTCTAGTCTGGGATGTAACAGTGGTCAGTTTGCACAGGCTTCACAGCTGCTTGAAAGCTTAATTTCAGCGACTGAGATTTACAAACAGGGCATAGGGGCTGTAAGGAGATGAGATATATTAAAGTGAATCTTTTATCATTTAGCATCAGTAGCTGAGGTTTTGAAAAACAGGAAACTCTTTCAGGGTGAAGACTCCAAAAGCACCTACTGTTCTTTAGTGTAATTGTGTGAACTGCCTATGTTTCTGTAACCACAGTTTTCTGTAACATAGTTGGGATTTATTGTTTTGAATGGAAGGCCCTACCTCCCTCTGCTCCCCAAAATGCTGTGTATAAAAAAATTTAGAGGGAAATTTCCAGTGACCTATTGCATTGTTTTAACATTACTTTTCCTAGCAAAGGCTGGTTGTCTTGGCAGTCATTCATAATTTTGAAGTCCTTCCTAAGGAAGATAAGGCTCCATCCTCTTTGCATTGGTCCAAAAGAATCAAAATGCAATGGCTAGTGCTAATTCTTGAGAATAACGTTCTGAAATTATTGCAAATAAAGAACTTGCAGTGACTGATGGATGGCAACATTTACAAGGCCCACATTAAGAAAATCTCATGGATGTTTGTAAGGCCAACTCACTCTGGTCACATATTTCTCTGTAGAGAAGCAAATAAAAAAATATTAGTGCCTCTCAACTGCCTTAATTTTTTTTTCCCAAAGTAATGCTATGTCTCTGATTATTATTGTTATTGTTGCTATTGTTATTGTTGTTATTATTAACTCTGATGCTTTACTACATAAAAATGTTGCTAGACATTTATAAAAATATGACTAAAATATAAAATAAAAAAAATCTAGACTAATATGATAAGAAAGTAGATGTATTACACAGGTAAAAAAAGTCATCCAGGATATTGAAAGCAATTGTGTACTTGCATCAGGGAGATTAGTTCTGTGTTCTGTTGGAGAACTCACATGACAGTTATGTCAAAATCAAACAAGATATGGGTATTTACTGGCTTTTAACTAGAAATATTTTTCAACCATTTTTTAAAGGAAACTGAAATTGAGATTGATTTCTCCATTTGCTTGTATGTGTATTTTATGTGAACATAGTACTTTTGAAGATAGATGTAATTCAACATGTAGATACATTCAACATTTGAGCTACCTAGAAGAATTCCAATAGAACTTGGAATATTGTATTGGTTTTTTCTCCCTTTGCTACTACAGTTAAGTTTTTAGCATTCCTGCATAGGTCATTCAGAGTGAATGTTTTTCATCACAGTTTGAATAGCAGCACACATTTCCTTTGAGCTTAGTAGACAAGTCAAATGGCAGTTTCCATCAGAAACAGTAAGTCCTTGGCCTTCACTTGTATATGTACAAACAACTTGGTGATACTGGCATTCACCAGCAAAGTGAGAAAAACATTTATAAATGAACATAAATGAACATTTATAAATGAACATTAAATTACCTGAGATAGTTTAAGATATAAATTCCCTGTCTTATGTAGAATGGGACTAATAAGTTCATTGTTGAAATGAGTCTTCTCGTTATGGAGTTTCTTCAAACTTACAAAATAGATGCAGATATAGTACTTTTGTGGCATTGGGAAACAAATTTTTGTTTTATATATCTTTACTAAAAGATAGATTATAGAAGACATTTTCAGGAGTAGTCTGCAGTATATACATAAATCACTAAGTAAAAACTTTTTAGAAAAAGAATTATAATATGTTGAGAATCAGATGTGTATTTTCTCCTTTACTTAGTCTATTTGTCATGTAGATATTAATAACTTGCTATATTGATATGTCTGCATACGTTTTGCAGAGCACAGAGCATTTATGTGTTTTAAGTATAGGCCATAAAGTTTTGTGTTGTAAGGAGTTTTAAAATGTAACTGGGACAGAATATCCTTTCAAAGGGACATAACCAAATGGGGTTAAACTGCAGATATAAACACTGCAATATAGGATATCTGTAGGTGTCTATATGTCAACTCACACAGTGAAGGTCAGTAAAACTGGTCTAATTCCTACAGCTGGGTGGAATGTGTAAAAAGTAAAAAAATCAGTTTTTTACATGGCAGTGATTCTAGACCATCGTTAACCCTAAATTCCGTTTTATAAAATATTTTTTCTTCTGTCTTTCTATAACTTGTTTTGATTAAAAGTCAAATATAAAGGCCACAGACTAAATACAAGCAATTCCAGTGTTATAAATAGCACAGCATAATGAAATGAGGAGGATTACTTTCCTTAGCTGAAGACTAGCAAGAACTGTGCTTTAGTAAGTGAGAATTCCTCTCATTTCCAGTCAAATGTTTCACATTTCCTTGAATTAAGTAGGTTTTGATTTCTCAAACTGATACTGTCTGATTATATGATAATTTGTAGCTGGGAAGCTTTCAGGAAGTTTCTTGCTGTTTTCAGAGATAAAATGCTCAAATTACACAAATTTATGTGCTTGAGTATTTACCAAACTTTTTATGCAAATGTTCATTCTGCATCTGGTTTTGACTTTAAAAAAAATTGTGGTTTTTCACTGTTGAAGGAATAATCTTTGGAGTAAAGCAAACCAAGCTGAAGAAGGAAGTTATACCTCAAGTAAGGGGACATAATATTCTCAGCAAATACGACATTATTTAAAACAGTGCATGATGAACTTGGCCCGTTATGTGCAGTCTTCATCTTCCGCTCAAGGAACTGCTGGTGACTGTAGCTGTGAGTTAGACATTGGACTTACAGTAAGTGTTGCTGATGTGGCAAATGATCTGATCCTCAGGCAGATTTTGCCAGAGTATGCTCTAGTCTTGCACTTCTGCCCTGAGAATGATGGGTATCTTTGTCCAGGTGGCCAATATTGTCAGGACAATAAATCGATGTTCTTTCTTCTCTGGCCGGGAGGAAGTGTGGAGGAGGGAAGATGGTCTTCCTTCCAGAGGATATTTGCCTTTGCCATAGTGATAGAAAAAGCTGATGAAAAAAAAAGGCAAAACAGAAGGGTCAGAAAACTTATGGCAAAGGAAAAAACAATGAGAATATTGTATATGTCAGGACTCTGGTTGCCATTTCGTAAACAACCTTCTTCCTATTTTTGTATATTTTACTTGGATATCCTGTTTCTTTCTTTATCCCTTGTGTGACACTGGGATTCTGTGAAGGACTGAAGCCATAGAAAGTTTTCATCTATGGTTTATTTGTGGAGATTTTCCTGCTAAAATTGAGAAATGTTTAAAGAGTGATAATAGATGTTACTAAAATGGTAAATGCCAACTTTCTTCCCGGAGAAGAATGGAAAGAAAATCAACAGAAAATAGTGATTTTTACTATATGCATCAGAGATTTACTATTTCATATATTTAATTTGAAACATCTTTGCATTTTGAGATCAGTTTTGACATGATCTTTAAGTTGTGTTGCAAAGCCAACTTCTGCTCTTTAGGTAAAGATACTCTTTCTGATAAAATTTGCAAATTTTTGTACTATGGCAAAGAGCCTTCTGAGCTACAGCCAAGCTTGGTGCTTCAGCCCTGGGCTGAGTGGTGCAGCATAGCAGGAGCTCATCTATAAAGTATCTAAGAATCATATTCCTCGTGACTTCAGTTACACCAATCCTTGTTAGCAAAGTCACTTTTTAGCCTTTGAGTCATTCCAATTTGCAGCAGTAGTAAATGAGGTGCTTTCAATGTTAAGAAAGGTAAGACCTTACACAGCTGAAGAGAACAATGCAATGTCTAATAGTATATCTAGAAGATTCTCTGTTCGAGTCCGTTGGGCTTTAGACTAAGCCAGAATGAAAACTTAAGTAAGAAGGGAACATGATTAATTTAAGGAAAATTTTAGAGGCAGGTGCCAACAGGCAGCTTTGTAACAGTTGTACTGCCAAGTCACCGGTTGGTGAGGCAGCCAAAACAGGGTGACAGGACTGTGAGATGGCCTGGGAGTAATGCGTTAGCAGCAGTTGGCAGGTTGTACAATTCAAAAGTTTGACAGAGTCTCTGTGCAAAATTGGGATGCTCAGAAGAGCTCATTTGATAAAGTTCAGTGGCATTCTAGATTCAGGAATGACTGAGATGATTATTTTGCAGTTGCATGGAGAAAAAGATTTTGTAGTAGTAGTGCAGAGGAGAGGCGTATAAAGCAGCAGAGTTGGTTTTAGATTGGCAGAACAGAGCAGGTGATTCCTGAGTTCTAACTGAACTAGTGTTAGTTAATACTGTGAATTTCTGTTTTTCTGTGTTGTTTAGAATAAGATTTTGAAAGGCTACAAGCTTTAGAAATACATGTCAGTAAATTTGTATTTCCAAAGCTCTTAGATATTTCTTTCCATTTACTCATATGATTTTTCTTGTATTGAATTATGCTCTCAAAAACACAGATTCAGTGCAAAGAGGCCATCTCTCTCTGAGTCCCTGTGTAAGGAACTTGTATGACTTGTGCTTCCACCATTCTCAAGCTTTTATCTTTTAATCTGCTTTTGGCCAGTTTCAGAGATGAGATTCTGGCTTGAAAAAATTCTGACTGGTTGCAAGTGTTTATATATTCTGATAAAAATCTAAGTTTGATTTACCAAAGCCTTAGTGGAGTGTCAAAGCCTGGATACATTATCTGTCCATCTCTGCCTCCCTATAACAACTACACTGATGAGCACATTCAAACAGGATTTGAATTGTGAAACGCTGGAGATGGGAGTGAGATCTAGAGAACTAGCTAGTGTCTGGCCTACTTTCCATGATTCTTATCAGGATTCAGTGGAATATTGAATTGACTGGAAAAACCCTCTTCCTCTTGCAAAAGTAGACCTTTATGTCAAAATTTTTGGGGTAGAGTTGCCTTTCTTTTAATATATGATGGAAAAGATAAAAAGCAAAGAGTTCAGAACATAAGGGAGAAAGAGCAGCAGCAGAACTTATGTATGAAAAAGTTTCCTTTCGGTGTAAGAAGGTAAAAAGTGTAACCTCCAATACAAAATATTTAATGTGTTTTGTAGTATATGTAAATAAGAATAAGAGAATAAAAATATTCTCTATAATAGTTTTTCTGCTGTATGTGGTAGCACTCTTTGTTCTTTTATTTCAGCTACTTGATAAGACAAACCAGTTTTACTAAATTATGTGAGATGTTGAAGACAATACTATTTAATAACATTTCCAGAATTTTATTTAATATCTATTTCCTTTTTCCATTTTTTCCATTTTTTTGTTCTTTTATCTACTTACATTATTTACTGTGTTTTGTGGAGCAACTCTAAGTGATTCCTGGTTTGTCAGGAAAGATTTTAAGTTTTAGCATAAGAACAACTTATGGTGTTTGAAAGCATTTGTTTTACTATTCTTTCGAATAGCCTCTCATTATGTGAACCCTGGAAATTTAACAAAGAAATTAGTGCCAGGGCTTACATTCACACATACCTTGAGTAGTAAGTTTCTCAGAGAAGAGCCTGTAGAATTTATTTCTATGTAAAGCACTATTATATTGACAATGGTAGATTTCATTTCTCTTTAACAGCAAGATCTTAAGGCTGCCTCGGGCTCCTGGGTAATTCCTGCATATTCCTATGGGAAGCACAAAGCTGCTGTCACTGTTCCTGAACACTTCTGTGTGTTGTAAACCCAGATGTGACAATACAGCCTATACTTGCTTTCACTCCATGCTCTTGACATTCCATGTGCTTGAGGGAGCTCTCTGAATAATGTAAACATTTCTCTTTTGAGACACAGGGAGCAATCACAGCCAAGATGAAACTGAAAGCTCTCAGTCCCATATTGAGTTAGGCGTGTGTTGTGTTTAACCTTCAGTGACCTTAAGGAGTTACCCTGAAATTGTTGCAATTGTAAGTTGTTGTGACTTGGTTATCATGAGATTACCAAGAAGTCACAGATGATTTCTTGCTTGGTTTCATGTCCCTATTTCTGCTAATTAGATCATGACAGGATTTCCAGTTATTCACAGTGGTTTGCTTCACAGCTGTGTGCCAGAAGAGTGCTATTCACAGTCTAATAGATAATTGTGTCTGTCAGTGAAAACACTAACTTGGTTGTCTGAGTTTTTGTCTTAGTTTTCCATCTAAGAAAGCTTCGGAAGGATAAACCGAATCCTAAATGGAGTATCGTACAATACAAGTCCTGACAAAAACAGGTGAACACCATAATATGAAATGCATTCATTGAAATGATAAATTTTATTAAGAAGAATAAGAAAATAAAAGATCGAGGTAAGTTTAGAGATAATTCACAGAAACAAAACTAACTTGACAAAGAATGTTATGCAGAATCATCAGTTTAGTAATTGCTTTCCCCCGGTTAGTTATGGATTTTTAAACACACTGCTTACTTTTCAACCTTGTGGTAAATTTCTGTTCGTTCTTGTAATCATTCTGTACTATAGCCTTCACCTAAAAATTTGTCCTCCTTTATATTAAATTTGCAAACCTTCTAGCAATCTTTAAAAAATAAATTTTATTTATTAATTTTTCAATTAATAAATTGCATATAAAAATAAATTTAAAATAAACATTACAATTAAGAAATACAATATACACAATAAAGGGAAACAATTTTTCTTAAATTATCTTAGGTCCTAAATTGTCGATAGAATATATTTGATAAGTAATGGCACATTTTGTGAATCCATAACCTACAACAGGATCCATATGCTTACCTTAGAGGCAGAATGACAATCTCTTCATGCCACAAAATTTAGTAGAATTAGTACAAGACACCTGAGAGTACAACAAAAGCAAAGTCAGAAGCTAGGTATTGGTACCCTAACAGATGAATCAGTATAATAAGAAATCATTTATAGGCTGATAGTTTTGTATCAAGCACTTTTTATCCATAGTAACGAATTGCTAGAGTGTATTTCCTTTCAGTGTGAGATAATTGTATTATATTCATTCAAATAATCTAGGAAACTCAGTGTAAGATAATTTACTTAAAATCTTAATGAATTCACCCTCACATGTCTCTGGAAATTCCTATTCCTTCGTCCTGTTGGTTTTGCAGGTACCAAGTCACCGTGCTACTTGATATTCTGCATAGAGAAAGATGTTACAGAGGTAAGACTAATCTCAAGCTCATGAACCTACCAGAACTTAACTGGGTTTGATCCTTCATCCGCAAAAGGATTCAACACTGCATATACAACATTTACATCTTCCTTATCTTTTAGAAACTGCCCAGTGCACGGAATTGTTTTCTTTCCCGTTAGGATGTGCCAGCTTCCAAGTGAACTCCCTCTCAGTAGCTGCATGATCATCTGACTTAGTCAATAGTGATTTCATTCAGCAGAGAGAGAACCTCAGCCAGAACACTGAATAGACAGAGCATTTGTCTGGAGCTGAGCTTTTGAAAGAGAGGTACCAACATCTGTTCCTCATGGTGTGGAGCTTACTATAGTCAGAAATTCAGTCAAAGCAAAGCAAAACTTATCCAACCAAAAGGGTCATTAAACCATCTGTTACTTATGATTTGGTATTCAGATACAATTCTTGGAAAATTTCAGGAGGGATTCTTGGCTAAGAAGCATTGGAATGTTGGCAGTCAAATATTTCTCATACTAATTCAGCACAGACCTTTGTCCTGCCTGTCGGCAATTTCAAATGTGTCACATTTCTCAAGTTGCCTCTCTTATCACTAGAGAGTAACATGGTCTGTGATTGAGGGTGACACAACTATGAAAGTCATTCTTGCTCCATTGTCTATATCAGACTACAAGGACTGGGGCTTTGATGCCTAGCCAAGTAATTGTCGGGGAAGGGGGAATAAATTCCAGTAGCTTGCGTCTTTTTTACCCTTGCCTATCTAGAAAAATTCAGCTGCTCATGGTTTTTGTCACCTAGCCACTCCTACTTCGGCATATTCCTTCCATGAAAGTGTCAACAAATGGAGCAGTTAAGATGATACTTAACTGTGTGGGGAAAAAAAGTAAAGAGTGAAACAGTCTAAGTAAAGAAACAACATGTTTTTGATTTAAGGTAGAGCACATTTAAGAGATAAAGGAAAGGTGCCAGATCCCTAATAGATTTGCAGCTGGTTTCAAGTGTCACTTCGTTTATCAGTATGTGTACAAACACACAATCATACACAGATACTGCAAAATGCTTTCTCTTGGATACTTGTCATTTTGGCTTGATGGAAGTAAAAATCGGTTCATTCCCTTTTGTTTCTATTTGGAGGGTCATTTTCTTTAGAACTTTCAGTCCACTTCCAGAGAGAGAAAAATTACAATATCTAGATAAAAGAAAGATTTCTTTATGTGTCTTTAAAAAAAGTGAACAAAATAATGAGACTGTGCAATCCCTGTAATTCATACCGATATGGAAGATTTAAAAATTATGAATCTTGAATCATGCAGTGTTAAGTAATTTAATTTCTTTCTGATATCTGTGTAATATTTCTACCTGTTAGTGAGCCAATCCACCTTAGGAGTACAACGATAACATTTCTATAATACAAGGCAGCAAAAATAATATCTATAGAGCTGAACGTGGTTCTTCAGAATATGAACAAGTGTAAGAGAAAAAAGAATGTATTCTCATAGACAAGTTGAAGGATAATCAATTAGTAGCAGTGCAGTTATCAGTAGGATTCTCCTGCCTAGGAGAATCCAAGTTCTGCATTCTTCCAGGTGAAATTGTCTGTTACAGACCTTGCTCTCATCTTGGTCCATAGGGACATACATGTACCTCATGACTGAAGAACAGGAAGGAGATGGGAAATAGGGACGTGACTGATCCACAGGTGCATTGGAGAGTGACTGCTGGTAAGTAATAACAAAGCTCGTTCAAATAGTTCTCCACCCCTGTCTTGATAAACTTATTTTGATCCTGTGAAATACTTGCCTTAATGAGGTACACAACAATATTTAGTGGTATTGGAATTTCATGTAGAATGTTGAGGGAATTTATTAACTTGGTCATATTCCTTCTTAAATGTTTTCCTCTGACTTTATCTTGCCATATCCTAGGTTCTAGCCAGCATCTGCACTTTGACCCATCTACACTTTGTCCCACTCTTTTACTCTGACCATTTTGAATTAGTTTTGTCTGAAAAAGGTATAGCTCCAGTGAGAACAAATGATTTTGATACGTATTTGTGTATTTGGATGAAAATAAAAGCAGATCTGAACTCTTACTTCAAAATTCCCAAAGAAATTTTGAGTGCTCCAAGGCTTGTATTTGATAATGGATAATATTTCAAGCAGGAAACTTTTTTTTTACCTATGTCACTATGAAGACAATAGGAGCTCAGCTATCGAAAATAATGAAGTTTGACGTGCAGTACAGTACTTGGCACTTTAAGTATGTGGATTTAAAGGCTATTCAACAGTTTCATTTTTAGATTCAGCATCACTAAAATCATACTTTCTTTTTTTTAGAAATAGAATTTGGAATTTCCACAGCTTGTTTTTTGCCAGCAACAATAGACTATAAAAAATAGGGACTTTTTTCTCTGGTGGCTTCTATTTATTAGTAGATGAACTTTTGGTTCTTTCTGTAAAGTGAAATGGACAATGCGTCTGAATAGAAGAAAATAAGAAATTAGCTGTTTTGTAGTCTATGCAAGTTATCATACTTCTGTATTATTTTATCTGGCACCTTTGTGGATTCTGGATGCCTTCAGACTCACCAAACAGGAAGTGTCATAGCTGGGAAGCTGGTGCCTGAGAAAGATAAAGAGGAAGTAGATGCATTTATTTTTATATACAGTATTTAAGAAATTCCAGAAAAGGGAAAGAAGCAGATGATAAAACTTTCTTAAGATGTTTCTTTTTTTTTTTTTTCCTTCTTGCAATAGATGACAAGTTAGATGTGGAGTACAATTGTAAGGTGTGATGTGGGTTACAGGGTAATGCGTTGGTGTTCTTTTTGTAGTTAGGTACAAAGTTACAATTCCTGAAACAGACACAACCCTTTAAATAGATCTGCATGTAGATCTCATCCTTCCCAGCCGGAGATGGAAATTATAGGGAGTCAGTGATGCTTTCCTCCCCCTCTTGGGGCTATACTGAGGTTGTATTATTGTCAGGTGATGAGAAAGCAGGTGGAGGGAATCAGGAGAAGTAAAGGGTCAAGAAGTTCTGGGAAACAAAAAGCCAGTAGGCACTGAGGAAGGAGACAGTGTATAACCCAAATAGCAGGCTATTGAGGTTGCTGAGAACTGAAAATTTAGACTGGCAGATCATTACCTGCTGTATTAGCCATATAGTCAGCAGTATTCATATATGTCCTCCAGGTTCGTGTTTTTTCTATTACTTCATCAAGATTTGACCATATTAAAGGTATTTCCTTGGATGTGGTGCCTGAAGAGCATTCCTTCTTTGCTGATGCATGTCTGTTTTCCCTCTGAGAATAGTTCTCATTTGAGTTACAGCACATTGCTCTGGCTCTTGTCCTTTAGGCATGATCATACTGTAGACACTCTGAGTGGGGTGGAAACTCTTCATTCCAACTGCTTCCATAAAGCATCAGAAACTCTGGAAGAGGCTTGCTTTACTAAGGCACCCAGTGTGCATCCCAAGGATATCTTTCCTGAGATGTGTGAGGGACCTAAGTATAAACTTGCTGTAATACCTCTGTGATACGAGGCTGAAGAACTGTTAAGTCAGACTTTGCTGCATCCTCTCACCTGAGTGTCAAGCCTTCCACAGAAGAATTCTGTCCTCTCAATCTGATGGGACACAGAGATCTTAAATAATAAATATATTGGATATGTTTCTGTGTTGGGATCCTGTACAAAGGCTGTAATTCCAGTACTGAGTATTTTTAGGAGAAATCCCAAATGGTAGCTCTAGATGCAGATACAGGAGTGAAATGCCATGAAGCATTTTGTTGCTGATGCAGGAAACAGAATGTCAAATTAGATGAATCTCCTTCTACCTTCTTTTTTTTAAATTTCCTCTGCCAAAAGGATTAGCCCTCCTCACTGTAGGTCCTTGGCCATAAATCACAAAACCAGTGGTGAAGGTTTTAAGACCTCAAATTCTGCAAGAGGTTTTGCCTTTCAGCTTTCCCCTGATAGCCTCCTGGAGACAGGGCAGTACATTAAAAATGCAAGAAGAGGATTATAAATGTTGGATAAGTAACACATTGGATAATGTGCATTTTGTTCAAATAATTCATTAAGGCATCAAGAACTTCCTATCTCTTTTGTCAAGAGGAAACTAGTAAGTACATCATATAGGTATTTAACAGGATTGTAGAAGTGTGAGTTAAAGCAAATACTTAGCACAGTTCTGAAACAGTTTCTTTTCTTACATTCTGGAAAAGTCTGATGTAAGTTTGTTTCCCGAAGGACATTTGTGTATTCTGATGCCAGGCCAAAAATGATGTGTTCGGTATTTCCAGACTCCCTTCTGAGACACACAATTGTTTTGTCTTTGTCCATCAAAGCCTGAGAAAAGTCTCTTTTGATTAACGGGTGTATTGGAAAACATATATTTATGTCCCAGTGCGTAATTCTTTTAATCTTTTTTGCCTTTAGTGATATTCTTGTAATACTTGTTTCATTCCAGACTTCATTACGCTCTGCATGTGTCAAGATTTTTTCCAGTTGATCCTATAATACTTATCTCACTGTGGATGTAGATGCATCCTCTGTTTTTATCCCCAGCATCCTCCTCTGTGCTGTTTGAATAAAAACCTAGATTATTTGAACTCTTGAGGTAAACTGCTAAAACTTGTCAGCTGATCTCTGTTTGTTTTCAGATAGTACAGACGGTTCTAAAAACAAGCAAACTTGGTACCCATTTCCCTATTTAGAGGCTGATGCTGAGACTAGTAGGAGTAACAGTAAAGTACATATTCTTTTTAAAATATATAGGAAGCTCACATTTGAAGTTGGGTAAAGAGCAAATTTTAAGAATTTTTTTAATTTTGTGGCAGATCTGTACTTTCTTTAATAATATTTGTTGGCTAACTCTGCTCTTACCTATACTGTCTGAGTTAAATTTGTCTGATCACCCGGTATAGTAGTCCCTCTGGTAAGGATCCAACTGCACTAAAGTTAATGGCAGCTGTCCAGTTTAATCTGCTGAGAGCTGAATCAGAGTTATTTCCTATTTCATGTTATCTGATGAAGGACTTAATTAAAATTTTTCCAGCATGCGGATATGGCCTCCTATGTTCATATCTTTGTTTAGAAACTGATTTCCCAGAAACAAGGAAATTTTGCCCTTTCTTCTTCAGCTTAGCTTATGACTATTTAAGCAGTCCAAGCAGAAGAGTTTCATTTCTTGCTTCTCTCTGCCTGTGATTTTAAAGTATTTATTTGCAACTTAACTGAGAGAGTGCTTTTCTTCAACAAAACCATTTTCTGTGAAATCAAATAAAATTCTGTAAATGTATTGTTATCTATTCTGGATAGATTTTGGATTTTTGTATTTGATAGCATTACTTTCAGAACAGTATTCTGCTTTCATTTCCTGAGACTTCTGAGATTTTTTTTATTCTTCCTCCTTCTCTAACAAAGAAAAAGTTATGATGGTGATAATAAAAATAAAATATTATGGTAGAAGCTACTGTGACATTTTCATTGAATTTGGTTAGGCATTGCTAGATGCTTCAGATTTCCTTGTCTTATTGTCTACTGGGTAATTGGGTTTTCTTGGGGTGTTTTGTTCATTTATTATTAATTACTATTATTTTGAAGACATCCTTTCTGGCTGAGATCACAATTTTATCTTTCCACTATCATGAATTCCCTTTCATATTTATGAGTTTATGATAAGCGAGGAAAAAAGTGGTTGATGCTTCCTATTTTACCCAGTGCAGCTTGTGCTGTCCAGCTGTCCTTTGATGAGGATGCAAAGGTATGGCTGGCTGCAGTTAGGTGAAAAACAACAAAAAATAGTGCCTGAAGAAGTCGTGGTGACTGTAGGCCAGAAGGACCATTACATCCTGTGGTACAACTCTCACCTGAACAGGGTATTTTAGAACTAGCATTAGGTTATTAACCATATAAAATCTGCTTCACTTAAAACATATATTGATGTAGTGCCAACTTTTCAGCAGATAGATTTCTTTAACATTTACAATGTTGTCACTTCAGCCCTTATTTTTCCAAGTTATCACTCACTTACTAGATATTTGAATCTGTGCTGTTTATAAAATGTGCTATGTGATTACAGTATTTCACAGACATCAAATGTCCAAACTGTTACATACCAAAAGATTTACCAGAGACGTTTTGAAAACACATGTTTTGTTCTGAATTTCTTGCTTCTTTTGCTCAGTGATTTGTAACTGACCAGTATAGAATCATAGAATCCTTTATGTTGGAAAAGACCTCTTTTAACTCTGCACTGCCATGTTTACCGCTAAACCATATTGCCGGGTGCCACATCCAGACATTTCTGAACACTTCCAGGGATGATCATTGCACCACTTTCCTAGGCAGTCTATTCCAATGCCTAACCACCCTTCAGTGAAGAATTTTTTCCTAATATATAATCTAAACCTTGCCTGGTGCAATTTGAGGCCCTTTCCTCTCGTCATTCCAGCGTCTCAATGTCTTTCTTGAAGTGAGAGGCCCAAAACTGGTGTGGCCTCCCCAGTGCCAAGCAGAGGGGGATGGGCACTGCCCTGGTCCTGCTGGCCACACTATTTCTGATCCAGGCCAGGATGCCATTGGCTGTTTTGGCCACCTGGGCACACTGCCGACTCATGTTCAGCCACTGTCAACCAGCACCCCCCAGGTCTTTTTCCCCAGAGCTGCTTCCCAGCCACCCTTTCCCCAGCCTGTAGTGTAGCCTGGGGTTGTAGTGACCCAAGTGCAGGACCCAACACTTGCCTTGTTGAACCTCATACAATTGGCCTCATCCCGCTGATCCAGCCTGTCCGGATCGCTCTGCAGTGCCTGAATTACGCAAGTAGTCGAATACGTAAACAACTGAGATGTAGAAACCTTTGCATTGGTAGCATTTTCCAGCTGAAAATTAAACACTGAAAATGTTAGTTTACTTTTTTCATAACATTGTTGCTATATTAGGCAGTAATAGTTGTCCTCAGAAATATTCCAGACTGGCTTTGAATACCCATTGGAAAACAAATACTGAAAATAATCCCCAAGCTCTTCTATAACTGCTATACTTCACTTATATATAAACAGGACATAAGAGATCTGAGAGGCATATCACTAATGGACATTTTTAAATGGAGTTGGGATTATTAGTTCATTTTGAATAGTATGAGCCTGTTTCAGGCTGATTAAGTCAGATCTCCGGACTTCTGTTATCTGACTTATTTCTTCATGTTTAGGGATCAAAATTATTTCGGAACGAGTAACATCACCTCAACTGGTAGCACAGTTTTCAAAGGGAATACTTTGAAATGCTATTTACAGCACAATGCTCTTTACAGAGCTGAGCATTGTTAAAAGTGTTCTCAAGATTCAGACCTACACAAATATTTTCACTGAAAACAAAATTGAATAACTTTTACATCTGAGATAAAGTGCCATTCAATTACTTGGAATCACCCACATACTTCCATTTTATCAGTTGTTTGCAGGATCAGATCTTGACTTGATCTTTCAAAGTGTAGTATGCACTATATTTACAAATGTTAATGTTTATTATTTTCCTGGCCTTTCACAAAGCAGCAGAGGGCGCTGAGCCAACCGGCACAGCCCGATATGGGTCTTTTCCTCCCTGCTCTGGATTTCCCTGTCCGGGGATTTCCCACTCCAGCTGGAGGAGAGCCTTTATAAAGAGCACGCTAGAGCTCTTCTAATAAACTGTTGCAGAGCAGCAAGATCTCACTGTGCTTCTTCACAGAAAATAGAAAGCAAAAGTTTTGAATTTACTTTCTTTACCTGGTAACAGCAATTACAAATGTTGAAACAAATGGGAAGAGCAAGCCAGGCTGTGCTAGTAATTTTGTATGTGCTAAGGACTGGTAAGTTGGGGAGAGGGGTTGCTTGTTTTATTTGGTTTTGTTTTTTTTAAGCATAAACTGACCTAAAATTTACTGTTTGATCTTTATTTCTCTTTGTTCCAGTTACTTTTTCATTTCAGTGAATACAACTGTCAATTAAGTAGTTCTGTCAAAATGTCAGGAACCTTTTTTTGACACTTATTTTGAGCTTTTCTGTGCTCTGCAAAGACACAATCATTTTCTTACTGAGTTTGCTAAAAGACAGTCTAGGAGACAACTGCAGTGTGTCACTGAATGTTTGATTTTTACTGTTGTTCCTGACAGTATTGGTGACTTTTGGTACTAAATGTCCTGTTGAAAGTGTTTCTAAAGTTGTCCTTGCTATCTTACTGTCTCCCCTCAAATGTTGCAATGTTTTAGAACCAGATTCACCTGACAAAAAAAATGTTATACTGTGCCAATGCATTTCTTTTCACTGACAGCATTGGGTTTATCCCATTTTATACATGAGAACTGTTTGTTAGTCATCTGAGTCTGTATTACCTTAGACAAAATAACAATGCCTATGGTTATTGGAGATGTAAACCACTGTACGAGTTTTTTTAGTTTAACTTCCATGTATCTATAAAGTAAATTTGAAACATAAAGACCTTATATCACAGTAGAACATGAGAAGAAATAGAAAATAAATGTTGAGAAAGCTGCTGAATTTGTGTATTTTCTCCCTATTATAGTTAAAGCTTTTGAAATGGAGATTATACCTGCTAATAAAATTGTTGCCCAGATTGGAGAAACACTCGTACTCACATGCAATACTACTGGCTGTGCATCACCAAGTTTTTCCTGGAGAACACAAATGGACAACCCCCTTGGAGGAACAGTGAACAACCATGGGACATACTCTACCTTGACTATGAATCCAGTTAGTGTTGTGAATTCTCATGATTATCTGTGTACTGTCTTCTGTGATAAGAAAGGGAAAAAAGAGAAGAGTGTCAAAGTTGAACTTTACTGTAAGTAAAAGTAAAATTCTCTGTAAGTAGTGCATGATTTTTATGATAAAAAATCCATAATTGTGGTTGGTAGTTAACTTGTAATTTAGGATAATGAGTTTGCTATAGCTCAACGTGTATTTCCTTGTAAGATTCCTTTATCTGTCTGTGAAGGACACTTTCTTAGCCTTTTTCTGCTTAGCTTTCTGGACTGAGCTTAGTAGGTACTAATCTTAGTTATTCTTATTCTTGGCTCCCTGAATACAGTCACAGAGCTGGGGGAAAAAATCAAAGCCTTTGTAGTTCTCAGGGGAATGATTCAGATGTCTAAACCCACCAGGAGAGAAAACAGGATACCACCAGTGCATGAATTGCTCTGAGTACCTGTGTTTAGGCAGCTGTACCACTGCCAAGGTGCCTTGCTGGATCTTACTCGATTTTTTGCGATCATATTTCAGAAATTGTACAAATAAAAGACCTGTAGGTCTTGTAATAAAGTTGATATAATGTCATGTTCTGAACACCTCTAAATTCAAGATGTTTGCTATCTGGATCTTGCTCTCATCTTGACTCTACTTTTCATCTCTGCTGGTCTAAAGAAACTGATTTTATTCTTTTAGCTTTCCCCAGTGATCCTGTCATTGAGATCAGCCCATCCTCAGTTGCTGGAGGAACAGTCACTGTCATCTGTAAAATTCCTGATGTGTATCCTTCTGAGCACCTGGAGCTAATCCTAAAGAAAGAGGAACATGTTCTTCACGAAAAACATTTTTATGGAGATGACAGCACAAATACAGAGACCAAAACCGTGACATATTCATTTATTCCCATGGCTGAAGATATTGGGAAAGAGATTATCTGTGTGGCCAAGTTACCAGTTCCTTATATGGACTTTAAACCCAAAGAAAGAGTATCTTCTCAGAAACTGAATGCAAATTGTAAGTATTTTTGTACTAGGACTTTCACACAAAGGCACTGGTACTCGGTCAGAAAGTAAAGATCAGAAGAAAAATGGCATCATGCAAATAAAAAAATGTTTTTAAAATTGGAATTGTATGCCTAGGAATTCCAAGTTTATAGTTATAAACAATAAGGAGATTGAAAAAAAAAGTAAAAAAAATTGTATACATTTTGTCTAGCTTAGCTTTCAAAGCTGCAAGCAAAATGTCTTATCAAGTCTGGAAAAATTGTTCCACTGTGTTACTGGGATACACATTAATAATTTTTTCTTGGTATTCTGTGAAATGTAGTTCTAGAGAAACTAGTCTTAAAGATGTGCTCGTCATTCTTCATTTACTTACTGATCTTGTCTTTCTTTTGTTCTCTCACAGTTGGTCCACAAAATACTATCATTACTGCATCTCCAGGCAACTCACCAATGGAAGGAGACTCTCTAAAACTCACTTGTGTGACTGAGAGCAACCCACCACCACAAATAGTCTGGAGAAAACATTTGGCTGACGAAAGCATTCAGCATCTGATAAAAAACAATGTCCTTTCTATTCCCCATGCCCGTTTCAGTGATTCAGGACTGTACATCTGTGAAGTAATTAATCTGGTAACTAATAGAACAGAGACTGCAACTGTGGACATTGTTATACAAGGTACAAGTCTGCTTGAATTTAACTTGTATTAACTCATACTTAACTGGCAGCTGCTTGTTAGGTTGAAGGATGCTGAAACACTAAAAATTAGGAAATTATGGAGTGCTCCTTGTTATATATTCAGGATTTAGCTTCAATTTATGACTGTTCTTTTTGGGCTGTACTTTATCTTTCTATGCTTAATTTTCAGTAGCTAATTCTGTCTTTACTGTTGTATATGCATACCTCTGTACATTTCCCACAATGCAACATTCAAAGTCATAAAAGAATCTAAGAAAGTGGTGAGGGGACACACACTGTTATTTCCTTGAAATATAATGTACATAGTGATTTCACAGGAACATCACATTCTCCTTCTTTTAACTAGTTTTAGTCATTAGTAATGAATTTAGTAGTAATTTAATGGTAGAACTATTTTGTTTTTATTATTATTTTTATTTTTATTGATTGCCGCTGTTTCAACAGAGCCAAAAGTCTCAGATAGAGTCTGGGATCAAAACCAAAACGAATAGATCCTTGGGCAAGCAATTCCTACTGTCTTAAAACCTTCTGCATCTTAAATACTTTTACATTAGTATAACATCCTTTTATTTTGTCATGCAGGTGCTCCGGTCATTACAGAGCTCTCCATTGCGCCTTCTACAACAGTTCAAGAAGGAGAAAATGTTTCCATACAATGTTCTGCTGAGAGTAACCCTCCTCCCAAGATTATTTTAAGGAGAAAATCTGACAGTGCAGACATGGAGCCTTTCAGTGCAGGGAGCATTCTCCTTCTTCCATCTGTGATGTTCCTAAATGGAGGAGGCTATGAATGTGTAGCAGAAAATAAGTTTGGGAACAGTAAAAGTGAAATAACACTTAATGTGGAATGTAAGTATATGTAAAGCTTTCCCAGTCATTTAAAAATAATTAATTGAATCTTCTGTGATAAATATAACTATCAAATTAAACAAAACCCTGTGAGTACAAAAAAATCAGTATGGTCCATTGCTCTTCCCAAAGAAAGGAGCAGTGCTGATGAACAAAACTAAGTCATGAAATCTTTAATGTAATGACAGTCTTAAGTCAGAATCTGAATGAGTGAGAAATTGGTCTGCCTTCTTAACAGTCTTGGTTAGAGTACTTGGTTAGTATGTTTAGGCTATGGAGGGTTTGTATGGAAACTCTGATACTGTCTGCTTTACTTTTTCTGAGAATGAAAAAGAAATTAACTTTGGGAGGCTGACAATCTACCGTCCAGTAGGACATGTTGGATCCTTCTCTGAAAAATCCAATCATGATTAACTATAGGACTCTTCATTTCAGATGGACCAAAGAATACAATGATCTCTGTTACCCCTGCTACTGCTGTTAAAGAAGGAGAAACTGTGGTGATGAAATGTACTAGTTCTGGCAATCCATCTCCTGTGATCTCTTGGAAGAAAAAGAAAGCCACTGGGGAGTTTGAGAAAATTTTTAGAAATGCAACTTTAACTATACAGAACTTAAAAAGTCAAGATCTGGGGCTTTACGAATGTGAAGCTTATAACCAACTTGGCAAGGAGGAAAAAGCTGTGAAATTATTTGTTCAAGGTTTGTAGAACAAGATGGAAAACAAATTTTTTATTTTACGTATATTAGGTCCAGATCTCCTTCTATGAAGAATGGGGTGGTTCTGTCTTTGATGTCAATGGAGTTAAAATGTGTCCTTAATGTCATTAAGTCATTTAGGCAGCTTTAAACAAAAGTCATTTAGGCAGCTTTAAACAGTGAAGTGTGAAATCTGCCTTAGTACAGATAGCTTATGAAAGGTTCTTATGTCAGTTGAGCTTTCACCACTCCTTCCAATTGCCAAATGTATGCATCAGGTAAAGAAGGTGTGTAGTGCCTGTATTTTCTTCCAAATAGGTCTCAGGGTATATCTGCATACAAAAGATTCAAAGAGAAAATACATGCTGAAACTTAACTGTGGAAGCACTGTATTACAGCTCCCTGGCTCTCCTCTGAGTTCAGCTCTGTATCCTGTTCTTTCAGGCTGCCTTTAAGCCGTAACAAATGCTGATTCCTCAACTGACCTGCAATGGTAGCTAAGTTCCATTTTCAGTAGTCAGCAGGCTTCTCTGCTTTAGCCCTGCCACTTTTGTCTATTGCATAGCAACAGTGTATTGCTTAGGGATCACTTCTGCCGCTAATCCAGCTCTCTCCCCTATTCTTTACTATTTTTGTAGCTGCACCAAAAAATACACTTTTGATTTCCACTTCAAGTGCAGTGATACAAGAGGAAAGTGTTACCATTCCTTGCATATTTTTGGATGTTACATCTGTTCAGGGTACTCTGTAAAAGAAAAATAGATGATTGGTTCAAAACCTTGAAACAGTAGATGGCAAATATACCACAGACAGGGCTCAGCTAAAGGGTGCAGGAAAATACACATGCATACCATTAATGAGCTGGGAGAGCAATCTCAACACTGCCAAAGGTTACTTAAAATAACTGCTATACTGAGTTAATATTAGGATTTGTTTTAGACAGACAGATTGACATCTTCAGTTTCATTAAGAATGAATTGTCTTTAAACAGAGATGAGTTGCACAGGTTCTTGTTTTAAGTGCTAGGGTTTTGGTGCTAATGAAAACTTCTGTCCAAAATGGCAGATGAACAAAATAATTGCTGCTTCAAAATTTTTCATAGTTCCACTTCCACCTTTGAAAACAGGATGCAAAATTGCAGAACCTAGTGGAAAAAAATACAGTTCTAGGATCTTTCCTTTGCCTTTTCTGTTTCTCTTATGTTGAAAGAGGACATCGACTTCTCTGTCCTTTCATGAACTCAAATAAACAGTGAATTTAAAATAAGAAAAGAAGAAAAGGCTCCATATAATGTAAAAGATATCTATCACTTGATAAAATGTTCTTTCTGTTGGCTTCAGTGTGTGAAGGATAGCTAGTGGCAGAGTAGTGTCTAAAGCTACGTGCTCAACTATTATAGTGGGTCCATTAACTGGATTAGTACTTCGTGTGTAAAAGCTGCTGATACCTCAGGAGTTTTCACTTCTGTTTGTTGCTAAATCCTACCTTGCATTTCTTTTCAGTTCCTCCCCAAAATATTACTGTGTTAGTATATCCATCAGAAAATGTTAAAGAAGGGGAAAATATCACTATTACGTGTAGCACATACAGTAACACACCATCAGAGATGGTCCTGAAAAAAGTCCATCAGGAGAAATTATTCTACCATCAGTGAATGGAGCCTTTTTACTCTACAATGTCAACAAAAATTATATAGGCATATATTTGCTTCATGTTTTCAGTACGGTTGAAAACATCACAGTGATTGAGGTAGCTGTTGTAGGTAGATAGATCTATTGTCTTAAACATATTTTGTTTGTACTTTCTAGTAAATTTTGTGTCAAGGTGAGCACAACTAGTTCATAGCTGATCCTTGCACAACAGTACTGCAGTTAACCTAAAAAAAAAAAACACCCCAAATCAACCCAAACAATAGAACACCTAGTGAGAATAAGCTGTATTTAACCTCCGTTCCGTGTGGATGTTACTTTCTCTCTAACCTGAATAGGTGCAGTAGCTTTAAGGGTAGGGCCAGAAAAAGGTGAATCCTGGCTGTACTTCTGTCCACATGCATGAACAATGAGACTAATCCAGACAAAGTTCAGTTACAAAAATATCTAAAGAGTGGGCTTTTTAAACATGGTCTTCCCCTTGAAGCATTGATTCCAGGAGGTTGAAACATACCAAAATGTTTCCTGGGTAAAATATGTGGTATTCCTCTGGTATTCTTCATTAATTTTATGGTATTCTTCATTGTAGATGGTATCAGGTGGGTTTGAGTGGCTAGGAATTAAAGTGTGTAATATGAAGTTAAAAAAAAAAAAAAACACGTAAGGAAAATGTTTTGAAATGTGCTTTGTGCATGAAAACAGAAATAGTGTTCCAAACCCTGCCTGTACAGTGATTTACACATATCTGTTTCAGTCAGTTTTTACACTTTTTTCTCCTTTTGTTTCCATTTTCAGCAAGATTGGAAAACCCAGATCAGATGTTACCACTGATTATTGCATTCTCCTCTGTAGCAGCGGTAGCAGTACCTGTAGTTGCAATTTTGATCTACGTGTCAAGAAAAGCGAAGATAAATGGATCCTACAGTCTTGTAAAAGCACTCAGGTTGAAAGTGTGATCACATGAATATAAGTCTTTAGTTGATATTAAGCAAATTTATTTATTGTTGTGGCTGGTTCTACTCTTCTGGTAACAAACAAGTGACTTAAGAACAGCGCCATTAAAAAGCCATTAAAAAAATGGCTTTTTTTCATGTTTTGATAAGTGTTTTGGTATTCAAATTAAAGGAAAAGCTAGCATCCTCTCCTAGAAATTGGTAAATCACTTCTGTGTTGAAGCATGCTGGACAAAGAGTTCTGTGGAGAACCAAGTTTGTACATAGTGTATAATTTATGTTATAAATATGTTCAACTAAATATCAGTTTGTAAAATTGCAGTCTTATGTACAGAGAAATTTTGTTAATTCAAAGATATAAATCGTCATTGCTTGAGCTCATCAGGTGATATTTTATTTTGTATTACTCTGCAGCATGAATGTTTTTAATATTATTTGTCTGCTTGTGTTTGGAAAATGTTCTGGTTTCACTGATATTACCATAAATCCTATACCTTCAATGAAGTTACACAATCACTGGGCTATGCATTTCTAATTTATTTAAATTAATTTAAGATCTTGAGACTCATTTTTGAAACATTTTATTTTAAATATTAGTCAAAAAGTATCTGGGATTATAGTCTAGTTAGTTCTAGGACAGGTGAGATGTTTTTGTAGGCTTTAATCATTCTCAAATCAATGTCAGGGCTCTGTTATTTCGTGACAAGCCAAATCAGACCTTTCATGTAAAATATAAGCTGACGATAAATATGCTTTACAGATTTCCACTACAAAATAAAACTACCAGTAGATTTCTTTGACTAAATCCCCCTAGTGATGCTTGCTTTAGGTTATGTCAGAATATACATTAGTGTGGAAGGAACCAGTGAAAATTATCCTTAGCAACAGCAGATTTGAGTGTCGTGGGAAGCCTTGGCTGTAAAGGCAGAAACCAGGCCAGCAGCAATCTAAAGGTATAGGCAAGGGGGACAGGCAAAATCTGTGCAGCCTCGGAAGTGGTGGTTGTATTGTGTCCTGAAGAAATACTTTTCCCAAGCTTATCACTGTGGAAATCTAAACCTTTTTGCTGTCAACTTGTCTTTTGATGGAGAACCAGTGTCTGCATTCTTCACCCTGGTTAGTGCCTTTTTCACTGCATGCTTTCCAATGTTGGCAAAGTGGCTGTGAAAATAGTGGACTTTGTGTGCAGGGGCAAAGGTGGAGTTTGATAGTATTCTTCCTTACATCCCTTCTCCTCACTAGCAGTGGTGCTTTGACTCATCTGGGTGTTGATGTTCAGCACTGAAAGCAAGGTTGTGGGAGATGCAGGCTCTGTGGCTGAGAGTTGAAGTGCATCTTGATCCACTGTGCCCTGATCCACTTGCTAGGCATGGGAAGGTGGGCTTAGACCCACCAAACTTGCATACAGAAGGTAAAGCAGAGGTATGTGAAAAGAATATGCCTTTACATTATACACAGTGTAACAACTCCCAACAGCAATGCAAATGCAGATGCCTCTTGGTAGCTGCTCTGGGGGGAGGCAATGGTGCACATCTCCCATATCTTTTTCCTAGCATGTTCAGTAGTGTTTTGTGCACAGTAAATCAGTGCATGCAGGATATCTATCTAGACTGGAAAGGGTGGCTTGGAAAGTGGGAGTGTAGCAGAAAAATGGGAGAGCAGTGTGGACTTGGCTTGGAGGAATGTGAGCATGCAGTAGGAGGGTGAAGAAAAGATTGAAGACAGAGGAGGAGGAGAGCTTTGACAGGCCCATGACATAAATTTCTTGGAGGTGGTGCCAGGCATATTTATTCAGAATAATGTCAGGCCTGTCTCAGTGCTGTCTTGTGAATAAACCAGAAAGCATGATTTTTTTCCACTGTGTAAAAAATTCGGTGCACACACGTTTTGCCTACTGGGTATGGTTCTGGTGTCTGTATTGTGGGAAGGACAGTTAGAAAAGATACAGAGAAGGAGGACTTGAAAACAGTAAAAATGAAATGCCTGGGACTTTCCAGTTTGGAGAGAGAATCTGAAGGAGGAGGGGATGTGACTGATGTTTTCCAAATTGTGAAGGCAGATGATAGCAAACAACAGATGCAGAACTGCTGTTTGCTAAATCATGAAATGCCAGAATTGCAAGACACACCAACTAAGGAGAAAGTAGTTTAATAAAAATAATAGAATAGTACTTCTTTGCAGAGTGAATGGTGAACTGCTGGAAGCTGCTGCAGAGAGTTCTGGGGCATAACAATATTAACTGGTTCAAAAGAGGAGTGGAAAAAATAATGGGCTAATGGTCCATAAACAAATACTAAAGGGAGTAGGCAGAAATATACTGTATAACATCCCTAATTCAATGGCCATTGATGCTGAGCAATCCTCAGGATATATACTGCAGAAAGTGGCCAGGTTTGTATGATGTCCTGAAATAGTATCTTCCACTGTTGGAGACCTACTGCAGTAGCTGAATCACTGGTGAGGCCCAGTAAGGTCTGCCTTGCCTTCTTACACCCTCTCTGAGCAGATCTGGGACAAACCTATTTGTAGAAGGAGCATAGAAGTTCCTGTGCTGTTTTCTCCTCTCCTGTGATCCCTTAGGACTAAAAAGAGGAAAGATGAGTGGGAGAGAAATAGGAGTCATCTTGCAACAGTTGCTTTGGTGCTTGTGTAGTCTTTACTGGAAATTCCTTCACAAGTTCCCAGTATCCTTTCAGCTCTTGGTTTCACCATATTTCTGATACAGATACAGACCTTAGTGTCCGCATGGGCTGGTCCACCCTCTCGGGGTCTCCATTAAGGTATTAAATAATTTAAGTCAATAGGAGTTGGCCTGTGATTTCAACAGGGCCGGTTCTTTGCCCAGAAACACTAAGTGAATAGATTGAGCTTATAGTGCTCATTTTAGGAGAGGCTGCTCTTGTGTGGGCAGCAAGCTTCCTCTCAGTGAAATCACAAAGAAGGATCTTGACAGGGGATCTCCTCCCCTGCTGCCTGATTCTCGGTATTTTCCAGGACACTTAACGATTTGGGTAGAAGCTTGTCCTATGGAGGTTAAAAGTTCACAGTCAAATAACTTCTCTTATTGGAAATTACAGAAGGAATATTACTTCTCCTAGCACAATTTCTCATCAGGACAGAGCCTCTGTCCTGACAAAAAGTCATGAACAGCAACTCCAGCCCAGGAAGTGCTTTCAGAACTAGGTAAGAGTCCCTACCACAGGGCCTGTCTTTATGACCAAGAAAGTGGTCTGTAGAGCAAAGGGCTCTCTACAAAGTCATATGAAAAGGGGAATTTTTCTTGACACTACTCTATATTCAGTTTGAAGGCTACTTCACATTTAAAAAAGAAAGGAGAGAAGTAGTCATATCAGGGAAACTGCCTCTCTTGTTCTGTTGTATTTTGTGCAGCTGAACAGTCTCTAGACATCCCAATCTTTTGGTCTCCACATGCTATATATCCTGCCACCAAAGTGGTGCAAGTTATGCTAACAGAAATATGGAAATACTTGTAAAAAGAGCGATGTGCTTTGCTGTTAGCTACCAGGCATCTTAGTAGTTAAAATGTATTGTTCTGAGTACCTGGGTAGCCACCAGGTATCAAAGAAGAGAATCTCCTGTCTGTCCCTCTGCCCTTCCCCCCTGAGGTGTCCTTCTGATGCTGTTGGAGTACACAGAATGGCCACATGTGTGTCTGTGAGGTACAGGGGTGGAAAGTTCCCCTTGCTTTCTATGTCCTTTGTTCCTCTCGGTGATTTTGCTGTGTTTAAGGTTCATTGCAAATGAAAAAAGGGAAATAGGTTTTTTGATAGATTGAAAATTTACCCTTACAAAGGCACCTTTTGCCTTTTGTGGAGCAAAGAAATTCAGACATTTAAATTCTAAAACTTGTGCCAGGACTAACTGAAGATTTATTTTTTTAAAGGCAAATAGATTTATTTTTTAAAAAGGCAAATATGTATTTTATAAACAGATGTGATAGAGGGTCTGGGACTCTGCTTATGTGACTTGAAGTAGAACAACAATGACTTTCTTTATTTTTTTATTGCAATAATAAATACTATACCGGTATGTGTTAAAATAGACAGAAAGGAGCATATAAAGAAACTAAAAATGGCTTGATTTAAATCTTCTTTGCTGTGCATAACTGTAAAAACCAGAATTTTGTGACCTAATCCTGCTGATTTTTTTCTTTTAAATATTCTACCTTTCTTTTGAATGAGAGGCAGATATGGGACATCTGCTCTCAGCAGCTGAAAGAAATGGTGCCATAGATGTTGAATGAATTCATGTTCCCAACACAGATGTCATGTCTTGAACACTCCCACATATTTCAGACTGTTATAATTTATGTTGTTCTTTCGTATTTATTGAGGGCTCAGAGACTTAGAATGATGGAGACTATCAGTTTTAACAGTGGTGTAAGTTTGAGACTGCTACCAGTTGAGCCACAGGGCCTCTTTGCTAGTCACACCTGGTAGATTTTTACATTCCATGTATGTATGCATGGAAGAAAACAGCACTAGATTCTTGCACACTACTGCTAACATGCAGGTGAATAGAGAACTTGAGAAAATGGAATTGGGCTATTTACTGACATTGTATCTCAGCCTTCATGTAATAGGTTTAAGCAAAATCTTACCATAAATGTGCATTCATTTGCTTGTTTCAGTGTCAGGAATACATATAAAATAGAGTTAAAACACAACTGCCTTTAGTTTTTAAAATTACATTGAAAGTTTATCTACTGTTGTATCTATTTATTCCCTGTTCAACTACGATTCAGGAACGTTTTGTCACTCCATGTATATCGAAGCATCATAACAGTAGAGTGAGGCAAGACAGCATGATTCTTCACTGTTGAATAATCATTCAGGCACTCTTATCTGAAAAGCATACAGAAATAAACATTTTAGGGAGATAATTTAGGTTTTGTAGATAAGCTCTGAGAAAGAGGAAAGAAAAATTCCTTCTCACAAGCAAAATGCAGTTCCAGTGCCACATTGTTGTTGAGGCTTTTGTTCTAGATCATAGTCACAATGGCCTTGGTGCCAGTAATAGAGCAGAGATGGAGCAGATAGTAAGATTTTGTTTGTATTGATTAAAGAAGATCACTTCTGAGAAATTATAACAATGTTGGCATAAGTCACTCCTCCCAAGTTGTCTGAGATGAAGTAAAAAGCGAGAACAGGGCAGAATCAGGCTCTACTTGCTTTGTCTGAGAGCCAAAAGAGAGGTATATCTATAGAAGCAGATAAAGAAATGTATAGAATACGTGAGAATGTATTTCCACATCTAAAGATAAAGTCATAGGCATTCAAAACAGAAACATATTGAAATATCTTGTTTATTTTATTATATCTATAAACTTGTTGTCAGGACTTGATTCTTCTTTGTCTTGTTCCCTGTTTTGTAGCAAGCTCTGTAGTAGCAAGCGGTTGAAGAGTACACTTTACCAGTAGTCTCCATGTAGGATTATTTCTGTTTTCTTTCCTGTGTCTAGCTCACCATTAATTCAATAGAATGAGGGTGTA